GGGACAGCTATATCTATCTAATGCCCAAGGTATTGTGCAGTTTCACAAAGTAAAGGATGATGTTTACGATTGTGAAATAGTTGAAAATAATTTTAACGAAATGATATTGATTTCACATAAAATACGAACAGCCCTGCTACGGAACCTGCAATTATGTGATGATATCGGATTAGAGTTTCTTAACGGATGCAAAAATCTATGTTTGGACAACTGCCGAGGTAGAATTGTCTCTCCGCAAAATGATTTTAGGAAAATAATACTGTGCAATTATCGCCGAAATTTTCTAAGTCACTATCTATCATATCCTGTGTATGAAATTGAAGTGTCATCATGTAACATCAACAATGAAATTTTGCTATTGGCAAACTCCATAAAAAGAGTGCTGTTGTATCGGCTCCGAGTAGCCTTAAATTCATCCATTGTGGTAAATCATGAATGTGAAAGAATCATCATCAGGAATTGTATAGGACAGTTCGGCATCCCGCTTGTCTTGAAAATGTCACCAGTATTCTCATCAAGCTTACACTTGTGTGCCGGTGATTTGGTGTTTGTAAATGATTCGTCAAATGCCAAACGTCGTTTATCAATAAAGAAAGCTACTGTTGCTCATGAAACAGTTATACAGAACAACATACACACGGTAAACTTAATATCTGTGGTGGTACACGAAAATGTGAAATTAAGGATTAATGATGATTGTGAAGTTTTATTGATCGATAATTGCAACGGAAAGATCGAGTTCTCAAGATGTACTTGTTTAAAATCACTGACCATAAAAAACTACGAGTTTAATCATTGCAAAGATGCTTTTAACAAGCTTCTTTCGCTGTCGCTTGAGCGTGTGACAATAAATGCTTCGGTTAAATTGAAAGAAAATATCAAAACAGTGAAATTAGTGAATGTAAAAGTGGGAGAGTCCTATTCTATGGAAATCAATGAGAACTGCGAAACAGTTTATTTTGATGGTTTCACTGAAGATTTGAGGATACCGCATATATCCAATTGCATTGAAAAAAAGTTCATTGATAAACAAGTAACTATTTATCATGCAAAAGTATTAGGACAGTTTGGCAGAACAATATTTTTGAAAGACTTTTGTTTAAGAGATAATTACGAAGTTCCTAATGATGTTGAATGTGTAATTTTGCGTAACGTTGATATTAAAGAAGGGACAAATTGATGCTTAACAGTGCGTGCAAGTATCTAAATATTGAAGTACAAAAAGGTTGTATTGACGTATCTAAGGTAGAAAAATTAGCAAAAGTCGTCTTTTTTGATTGCTTGCCTGTTTGCGAAGGTAACTTGTGGATATTTTCTGCTAAACATAAGGATTGTACAGATACATCGCAAAAAAAGAGACTGGAGCTTCCTAATTGCATCGAAGATATCGTACTTGAACATGTCAGTGTCCCTAAAGACACTTTACTGGTAGTCAATGAGGGTTGTCGAAATGCTGCTATAATTTTTTCCAAAGGATATTTTGATTTATCTAATGTTAAGCAGTTAAGAAAGTTTAAATTGCTTATCACTGAGCAAAGTTCAATAAGTATCGAATTTCCAGGCTTAAAAAATGTTGTAAGTCTTGAAATATCATACGATGGAAACGAAAGGTATTTTATGTTTTTGCTATTGAACTGTATCAATGTTAAGGAAGTAATTTTGTATAACACTGTGTGCGAGCTGCATGATTGGATAGGAAGAGATACATCAACCATTCCTGAAAAAGAAATGGCACCATGGGAACTGAACGAGTTGAGGGCAATGATCAACCAAGAAAGTTGTACTTCTCGGTGTCGATCTCCACATGTATGTTTTAAAGACTTTAACGCCAGATGTAATCCAATTTTCTGTTGGGAGAAGCGTAAAAACATACAGAATCTAAGCATAATAGCCTTTCAGATTAGTGAAGAATGTTTAAAACAGCTAAGAAAGTTTATATCGCTAAAAACACTTTCTATTATGGCACAAAACGTACGAGCAAATATAATTTATTGTTTGCCATTCAACCTCGTAAATTTCTCTTTGATGCCGATTCAATGCAATGCAATCCTTGAACGCGATGTCGTTGAAAGTGTACAAACAGTTTTTGGGGTAGTTAGTTCAAAACGTAGGCATCTAAAGAATTTAAAATTACACTATCTTTTTTTCATAAAAATAGCGTGGTCTATGTCTTTGCCAGAGGAAGTTGACGTGTTAGAAATTTTACCTTGGCAGAAAATCATGAATTTGAATATACTAGTTCATAAAAAGATAAAAGTAAGAAAATTGGTCATTTTGAAAATGAACCATGCAACATGGGCGACAATTTATAAAATTTACGAGCCAGAATACTATTTCAGCCAATTACTGTGTTCACTTTCACAATATATCGATTTCTGTTCTGTGAAAGAAATTAAAATTTTGGATCAAAAAGTAGAAAATTCTTTTGATCCCTGTGGTTATGATTGAACTGATTAAGCATCGATTATTAAACGTAATTTAAAGTGAAGCATTGTATCTTGTGCTCTGTCGCTTGAGCTTGTCTTAGGAAAATGTTACCGCGATTTGTATACACTATCATTCATTGTCAGTATAAGTTGAAATATGAGTCGAAAGCTAATCAGATGATTGAACTAAAATGTATAATTTCTGTTTTGCATGAAACTTAAGACTACAATTTGTTAATATGCCTATTTTTCACGAATCATCATCAATACGAACAAAAAGACAGTTAGGAGACTGATTGGTCAGTTTAGAAAAATAAATCATATTGATCATTTAGAAACAAAAACAATTAATGTCGTGCCGAATTTATTAGTTATGTTTAGAAGAAAAATAGTATTGTTGGCGAATTAAAGTAGATTTAGGGAGGAAAAAAGGTAAAATTGTTGGCAACCAGGTTCATAACACAATCCCACCGAAGCATTCTTAATTATTAAATCATAGTTTACATCCTACATGATAGACTTCGGTATAAACGGTAATAATGAAAGGCTCATGATATAACGGGCAGATGTAAAAATGTGTATATACGGTAATTAGGTCAAAAATTGAAGAAATTTAATTAATATCGGTAGAACACACGATCCAAAAGTTGATTAATACCGAGTAAAATTACAGAATCTAAAAAAATGATGTCAGCGACTCCGTGAGAGCAAAGGAATCTTCCTGTGTATTAATATGCAAGCAATTTTGGTTAGTTGTTGATCACATCCATTTGAAATATGAGACGAAATCAGTGTTCGAAAATCATAAAAACTATTACCTACTTATGATGCACTAAATAGATTGTCCATCATAAACAACAATCGCATCTACTTTCTCAAGTTTGCTAGATTCGTTAAATCTTATCATAATATCGATGCATAAAATAGAGCTGCCGCAGTAAAATAGCTATGCAGTCCATAACCATACCAAGTTGCTGTGGTCTTCACAAAATAAACTCGCCATAATCCTCATTTAATAGAAATACTTTCCGCCCTCCTCAACGAAATTCTCCTGTCTTGCCAAACACTTCTTAAAAACCGGGAATTCAATCTCTGTGTTACCCAGAATTTTCACATTCTCTCTTCGTATCTCATCATCATTCAACTCCTTAACGCTAACAATATCAATAGCTGTCCTTCCCACACTATGCCTACCTGCCATGTCGTTATACATGTCGTTGACCACATCAACACGCGACACTCCTCTAAACTCCTTGTACATGTTGTGTGTGTTCTTTTTTGACCTATACGTAAAGCGTATGCCGTACGGCCTGACATGTGATATTTGTTCTACCACAGGCACAATTTTTAGGATGCATCCGCTGGTACTTTTTATCTTGTGCTGCTTTTTGAGCACATGGAAGAATGTACTGCGCGCAGCCACCTCATTCTTTGCAAACACCTGCATGACGTATATTTGGGGGGACGGGGCCTGTGTTGATGGCAGCTTGCTGCCGTACACTTTGTATTCTTTGTAAGGATTCATCGTTCGTGAGGGCTGAGGATTAAAAAATTTTTAAGCTGCGTAAACACGTGCTACGCACAGTTCAGTGATTAACCTGTTAAAAGCACCAGTACCACATAAAACAACGAAGTGGTGGTACGTTTTATGACAGGTACCGGAAAATAAAACGGTAAAGAATGGATAGCACAGTGTAAGGAAAGAACGCCATATGAAAATAAGCTACGGCCATTTCATAATTTGAAACGATGATCTGTAAAGCAAAAGACTGACCAGCATTGATGCTCTTACTTACTATGCGCACATTAACCACGTCACTTGCCAGTACGGTATAACCTATCATTCTCCGTATCATCCTGTGTTTTTAACAGTCTCACCGTACATGGTGAATACAAACACCTCCACTAAAACACCACAATCATTTTCTCAAACATTACATCATGAACATATTTTGTTATGAAATGGTTCTTTAGCAGGTATAATATGAAAAGATGCCCTTTTAACATTTGTGTTTCATTTGAACTGTTCGATGAGGTCCTGTCCGTTTTATTTATTTGATCTTGGTACTTTATGATTTAAGGATTGTATCAAGGATTATTACCACAGCAAAATCCCAAACTGTTTAACTTATCGCTTTACCAACCTTTTTCTTTCATTCCCATGCCTGTTCCACAGCCACGGTACAAACCCACCAAATCACACACTTCTCATCAATGCCAGTGCAATCCACCGCAGAACAAATACCTAAAGAATAACAATTTTTGGTGAATGCCGTACTTAACGTAAATAGCAATTGAACTACGCTTGGCGTACCATTTCACGTTACCGTTCGTAAACAACGTTAAATTTATTTACTGCTCTATTTATGTTGGTGACCACTCATTACACCACGCCTATCAGATAGATCTACCAGGACAACCGATCCGTTCTGCTCACACTTCTCTCCATATTTGGCTCAATTATAAGTTATCCAATTCAACCAGCTCGTTGAACACAGCTAGTTCATTATGTTCACCTCACTCATCCGATTCAACTCATCTCAACCAAATATCCAAGTTTACTCCTTGCATTCCGACCAAACACCACAAACCTATCCTTTTCAATCATTCATCACCATCTCCTCCAGAGCAATCAATATGCTTTCCTCCACCTCCTCTACATCACCAATAACTTCATATCTAAATCTAACACTATCCAAATACCTGCTCCGAATCATTCTATCACCATCATACCTCACGCTCTCCATCCTCAATATCTCTCTATTGAAAATAAGAAAAAGGAACCGTTCATTGTCTTTGCTCTTTAACTCGTTAACAATACCATCCGTTAGCACGATGTTCACGCCATCACCGAAATGCTCGACGAACGAATAATTCGTTACGCTGTCATCAAACGGCAGATCACTGGGAGACTGTATGAGAGTGGCATTTTCACCGAACTTGTACAGCTCAATGGGCACATCAAGCGCTTTAAATGCACCATATAGCCTTCTGTAGACAAAACTCAGCTTTTGTAGGTTGTAATGTGTCATAGAACGCGAATTGTCTATGAATAGGCGTATTTTTGTAGGTGCTCGACCGTTCTTTCTGTACCATATTTTGTCTTTTTGGTAGTCGCTTGCAATGAACTGTACGATTTTCTTTAAATTCAGTTTTTTGCCCGTTCTGTAATCGCCTTTATACGCTTTGCGTGAGAACAAAATGCTGCGCACCCTTTCTGTGAGCTGAGCATCCACCTCAGCATCGAAATTGAGCACTCTGTCAACCGCGGCACTCTCCGCGTACTCCTCCACGTTACCCTTGTTCAGCACGTTATCATCCACGTTGACAACACCTACGCTGTTCTCATCGCTGCCTTCCTCAGCACATAAAGCTTTAGCACCACCACCTTCCTCCTTGCAACCACCCTTTTCATAGTTATCTGCCTCATCACAGCACTGCTCATCGTTTCGCATGCCTTCCTCAAAGCGATACGTTCTTTCGTCCAGAGCATTCTCCGACGAGGAGGTCGGGTCAAACAATTCACCCGATGAATCGGCAGTACTTTCACCAGCCGAATCGTTGAGGATGCTCTCGTCATCCGCGTTGAGAGAATCCTCCCCATCACTCGGCTTACCTTCTTTTCTATCACTCGATTCGTTTTCCGCTCCATCGCTCAATTCGTTTTCTCCTTCTACACACGATTCGTTTTCCATTCTATCAACCGATCCTTCCCCATCCTCAGCTATTTCTTCAATTCCATCATCAAACTCTCCATCCACCTTCTCCAGTTCATCCAAATCAATATTTTTCTCTGTTTCATCATCGTAATCATCCCCTTCTTCGTTCACACCCTGCTCATTTTCACCGATTCTACCATCATTTTCTTCTTCTCCCATCTTTTCTTTCCTTTCTTCATCCTCTTTCCTTTCTTCATCCTCTTTCCTTTCTTCATCCTCTTTCGTTCTACAGCCAATCCCTCCATCATTATCCTCCTCCTCACACTCTCCCTTCCCACAACCACCCTCTCCATCTTCATTCTCATCCTCACCACTCTTATCGTCCACCTCCTCACATACATCTCCACGTCCACCTTCTCTACCATCTCTAACCAGCCACGCATCCCTTTCGTCCATCGCTTTACTCACGTACATTATCAGAGGAGTGTACGGGTAGTAAAAGCAAAGAATCAGCAGAGCACTGAGCTGTGGTGACACGCTCTCTTTGAGGATGTTAAATTTGAAGAATAGTTGACCAAGGGCTATTTCATGGCTGTTGTACGGTTGTGATGGTATTGCTCTATTGTAGAATGAGAGTGGGTCTAACCTGTTTGTACAGGTTGTTGCATTTCTATCAGTTGCACCGGTTCTGCCATCATCTCTAGCACCTTGATCCTCACCTCTCATCCTGCCATTCTCTGTGTATCTACCTGTACCGCCACACTCCTGCTCCACAACCTGTACAACATCGCTCATCCTGCCATTTTCTGTGTATCTACCTGTACCGCCACACTCCTGCTCCACAACCTGTACAACATCTCTCATTCCATCCAATCCACCCATCCTAAACACCCTAACGCACCAACACCCCTTACCACTACCATCCTCAACTCGCAACATCCTGTGCACCCTTTCCATAGCATCACAACACTTATAACAACCAACTTCGTACCTCATATCCACCTCCTTTATCACTTCGAGTGCATTTACCTCTTCTCGCACCTCACGGTTAAAAGTGTGGTACTGCAGGCTCATGCCGTAAAACAACTCTTTGGCGGGCAGCAAGTGTTTTGATACGGACAATTCTTTAAGAAAGAACAGAACAGTGCGGAAGTGAGTGTAGGAGTACATCAGCATGAATGGCTCTAAGGTATTGATTTGCCAGTCCTTAGTGATCACGTGAACGAGTACCTGATAGTTTATATCCGAGACTGGAGCAGTATTTATCGCAGCACTTCTATTCGTACTACCAGCATGCCCATCCTTGCCACCTTTCCTACTTGTGATTCTATCTCTAATCCCCTCGTTCAGCATCCCATCGCACACAGCATACCCCTCGCCAATCGCTTCCACAACAAACGGGTGAATCGTTCCACACGTCTTTCTGAAAAATGTAGCGTAAAAAAATGCACAGTAACTCCTCGTAAGCATGCGCATAGGCATACCCCGTATCAAAGGCAGGTACGTGTTCAAATTATCATCACCTGTTAAGTACCGCTGCACCAGCACCCTTTTGTGCCTCTCAAGTGCCCGCTTTTTCACCTTTCTAAGCATTTTAACAATTCTTAGCCTGTAATACACGAGCATGTCCAATCCTTGCTCACCAAGCATCGCCCTAAGAAAATCGTATGCGCCATTTTCTCGTTCTATGCACGCTTCTATTTCACGCACCATATTCTTAAATCGTGTAAAATCTCTTTCTTTCATCTCCTTGTTCAACTTTTCCCTTATTTTCATTTTTCTTTGGCCTTCCCGCACGAACTCTCTAACAGTACCGATATCATCCGTTTTACCGTACTTGTACATTTTGATGAGAATCCTGCGTATGTCTGGCAGAACATCGCACTCCTTTACCAGAAGGAGCAGCGGATCGCTCCTTATCAGATCGTTGAACAACGCCCTGTTGAATTTAACATGTGTGTCTTTGAGCGTTAGTACGTCCCTGAAAGAAAGTTCCTTTAGAGAACGGGGGCGTGTTGAACGATGCGTAGTAGCAAGAGTGCGCTCCGTATGTGTGTTGCTAACGGATACATCATCAGCACTTCTTATTCTCTTGCCATTCTCATCACGCTCCTCATCTCTTTTTCCACCACGCTCCTCATCTCTTTTTCCACCACGCTCCTCATCTCTTTCTTCACCACGCTCCTCATCCCTTTCTTCACCGTATTCATCTATAGCACTGCATAAGTACCGCTCCTCATCCCTTTCTTCACCACGCTCCTCATCCCTTTCTTCACCGTACTCATCTATAGCACTGCATAAGTACCGCTCCTTCAGTTCTCGCACGCTCACCACTCCAAACTCGTTTAACACATCCACATACTCCATCATTTCCTTAAAACCGCTATTATCTCTACTCAACACGCCAACACACTCCTCTATCGATCTTAACGCATCAACACTCCTTATCACGTTGTACGACCGTATCAACTCATTTTCCTTCTCGCTCATCTTCACCACTCTGTAATTGTAGTACCATTTGATGTGCTGTTCAAGCACAAGGTTGGGAAGTACGGATTTACCACAGCTTATGTGCTGTAACGCACACGTAATCGCATCTTTGATGTACTGGCTGTCAGTGTACACACCACTGCGTGCATCCTCTTCAATGCTCGTGATAACCTCCTCAATCATCTCTTTGTACGTGTTTATCCTCATTTTTATGTGCAGCTCTTTTAATAACGTGGTGCTCATCCGTGAACCGCAAAGAAATGAAAGTATTTGCGCCTTTCGTACCGTAGCACCGACCGTTTGACCTTCTTTATGCTCTAAGATACGCTCAAGGCCGTAACTTGGACCGCGGTCGCCATTTAAACCGCATTCTGCACCAGATCCGTTATTCACCCCACCAATCGTGCTCTCATCACCGTAAACATTCTCCACAGTACCGCTCAGCCTCAAAGTGTCCATCAGCACAGTAGGATCATCCCCACTGTACCAGCACGCCACCACCTTGACATAATCAAGCACGCTCCAATCCGCGCACTCGATCAACACGCACCTATCAACAAAGGGAGCGCTCATCTGGCACACATCATCAACAAAGAGCACGAATCGAGTGGTCGACCGGTAATGCGTGTCAATGCCCTTCTCAATCAAATTAAGGTAATTATCATCGAACAGAGAGTTAAGACGGTCAAGAACCGACTTATCAACCTTTTCTGGCGTATGCAAAACGGTGATATCGTGGTTGAGTGAACGTACGAGTGGGCTGTCTGTCCAGCGGAAGATTGATGACGCGCATTTTTCGTACTGTCCGAGCAGATCTGTCGTGTCAATCTGGGCGTGCAGGTGAATGTGAACCTGTTTGAGGTTGAGTAGATGAGCTGTTAGGGCTAGCAGGGACGATTTGCCTGGACCGGTCAGGATTACTGGCACTTTGCGGTTCAGCGCGTTTATGAGAGATTCGAGGTGCTTAATGTTCTTGCCTATGAAAGCATATTTTGATAAGTTTTTTGATACGTCTAGGTGGTTGTTACCGTTTGATGTGGCCGCTTGCGCATCCTCGCATTCACACGGCATCTCTTCGTTTTGTTCTTTTACTTCGTTCCGTCTTTCACACGATTTGTTACCGACCTGATAATTCATATCCACGGTACCAGATGTACCGTGCTCCCCGTTCCTTTCTATGCTCGTGCTGTTACACGCCTGGCCACATTCAACTGTACGCCCTCTCTCAATAACCGTTCTACCAACACGCACACGTCCCTGCTCAACCCGATAGCTGACATCCCTCCCAACAATCACATTCTCACCAAGCATCTTTGCACGCACACACTGCCTCATCGTGCATCCATGCACCGCCTTCAGCCGTGCCATACGCCTGCCCAGTATGTCCTCAACCTCATTTGCATCAAAGTGCTCAAACCTAACGTGCACAAACCTATCAACGAAACTCTTGGGCAGCGCCTTTCGTCCCTTGTACGATGACGGGTTCATCGTTCCGAATATGAGCGACTTGGTCGTCACCACACGATTATTAACGGTCAGCGCTCTTCTGTGATCCAGTAGAGGATTCAAGCCCTCAATAACGCTTTGTGTACACAGATTGATCTCATCCAGGATTACTATGCTGTTTGCTCGCAGTGCCTTTATGAACCGTGATTCGACAAAGACAAATTTATCGTTCTGTGGTATGAAGGTGCCTGTAAGATCGGAGAATTCCGTACACGAGTTAAGATTCACCCTTTCTACCGGTATGCCCAGCATTGAACCAAGCTGCTTTACTATGGTTGTTTTGCCGAGACCGGGTGCTCCCTCAATCAGTATATTGTTGGAGAGGAACAGTGCGCGCAGCAAAACGTAGAAGTTGTACGTCATGAATTTGAAGGGCGTATCAATGGATGCGAACGAATTAATAACACGAATGGCACTGCCACGTGTATCCTTGCTGTTGATAGCGCCTGTTTCAGTATTGGTGCTATTTTCTTTACCCGTGTTATTTTCTTGGTCAGCGGTTCTATCCGTACCGTCACGCGCACCCTTCATGATGTAGTAGGGATAGCACCCCAGCCTGAGCCCATCATCTATCAATTTGCAATCTTTTTGTTCCACAGCACGCGATAGCCCTACAATCTCGCAGGCCTCGTCCAGAAGAGCGCTTCCATCCAGGCACCTCGTTTCTCGTCTTACCATGTTCGTTCCCTCTCCAAAGAACTGCACCATCCTTTCAATCTTTCTGATGCTCAGCCTGTCCTTAAACCTGCAAATACGTTCAATGAGGTCCTCAGCACTGATCAAGGCACTGCTTGGTACGCCTCCACTGTTCTTTAAAAGGCAGTTAACGATCGGTACATAGTCATCAAAATGAAAGTATATCTCAGTAAATCGGTTCCTCAGCGCATCACCGAGTTCCTTTTTGCCTGCATACGTGCCGGGATTCATAGTAGCAATAATTAACGATCGATTGTGCACCACCTCTCCTGTTTCGGTCAGATACAGCATGTTGCTATCCAAGAGGGAATTCAGCCGTTCCACAACGCTGCTTTCCGGCAGGTTGATCTCATCCAGCAATATAACACCATCTTCTCGCATCGCACGCACCAGCTCGCTCTCCCTGAACACCACATCACCGCCACCAATTTCATACTGCCCAATCAGATCCGACGTATCCATACTGCCGTGGCACGGCACAATTGTAAGCGGCTTGCCAAGCACTTGGGAGAGTATCTCCACCATTTTGGTCTTTCCTATCCCGGTCTCTCCCACGAGCAGAACATGCTCTTTGTAAAGCCATGCTTTGAGAATCAGGTGCATTACTTTTCTATGCTGCGGCGTAAAAACGAAATTGTTGAATGCTCCGGCACACCGATCGATCAAACCACCAAACTGCCCGTTCAACACGTCTCTACTAGCATCATTGATCGCGTGCTCGTTACCAGCAGCCCTGCAGCTCTCGATCGACTCGCATAGCATTGCTCTCATTTTCTCGTCCCTTTGTCTCTCGCCCAGGTACTCCCACACAACACTTTCAACGCTCTCATCACCGGTTCTCCGTGCAATCTTGAACACATCACGCAGCGTAATCAGTGTGCGAAAGTTCCTGAGCACTCTGAGGTGATCATACAGTTTTATAACAAACGCGTATTTCTCGTCTTTAAGCACCTCCTTAAGATTCAGCTTCACTTCCTTTACCACAAATCGGTTCATGAAAGCATCTGTCAGCGTGTTACGGCCTGCGTAATTCGCATTCATCGTTGCAAAAATCCTAAAATCAGCGCTCGGTCGCACGATCTCGCCTGTCTCAGGTATTCTTATCTCCTTGTTATCATCCAGCAATCTGTTCAGCACCTCCAGCACGTCACAGCTGCACAAATTCATCTCATCTATTAACAGCCAGTCACCGTTCAACATAGCGCGTATCAGCGGACCTTTGCTGTGTATTATCTTGTCTTTCACGATCACACTCTTTCCCAGGTAATCAGAACTATCCGTGTCCTTGTGGTTGTTTATTCTTACAAGGTTCTTGCCATACGCCCTACTCAAATGGTAGATTAAGGATGTCTTTCCGGTTGATGTCTCGCCGTACAGCAATATAGGCAGTTTGTTCCTTACACAGAATTGCAGCTGTATAAGAAGCACTTTCAAGGTATCAGTGAGAATCAACGAGCCGAACGAATTGACTGGAGCTGTCATATCCGAAAGCACCACGCCTTCAGCGTGATTTCTGGGACTACTCGTATCGTCGCTAGCAATCCATCCATAATCATAGTTCATGATATCGCGATCGATCCTATACCCGTCATACTCCTCTTCAAACAGGGTATAAACACTCAAATACGTGCACTCACTCCCAAGCAATCTACTGAGTGTTCTTCCACTCACTTTCTTTCTCCTACTCACTTCGTGGTAAAACAGGGCAACCCGGTCTTTGCACGCAAACACACCCGGATCAAAGTCATAGGAATTGACCACCAGCTTTACATCATCTAAATCACCCGAAAAATCGTTGACCGTGATCCGGAGGAAAGCGTTTGTATCCATCGCTTTTTTTCCCTCTCGGTTCATACATCCAAACACGCGTGTTCCGCTTGTGCTGACAGTCTCGTACAAATGATTGTAAAATGTTCCATTTCTCACCACACTCTCCACGTAGTGCACACACTCCCTGTTTAACAGATTAACTTCATCGAACAGGAAAGAAGAGCCGTTTCTTACCGCATCACAAAATGGCCCCGGAACAAATTTAAACTCGTTACGGTAATTTCCCATAATATCAAGGATATCGGTGTCGTTTGAGCAGTTGAATACCACCGGACTGAACAATCGTTGTAGAAGAGATGTTTTTCCTGTGCCTGTTGGGCCTATCAGAACGGATGGCAAGTCAGTTGTTAACACATCCTGTATTAGAAGCAACAGCTGTTTTGTCAAGGCCATTTTGAGGTGTTTGAGAGATTTAATCGAGATTTTGCCATTCGCCAAATCCGATGAAGTTGCACTTGTAATAGGGGCCGTAGTGCAGGAGCCATCACCTGCCAAATCGAAAGTGCTGGTGACAAAAGACGAAAATACATCGTCTTCTGTTAAACCGCAGCATTCTCTCAGATATGCGTTAATACAACATCTCATCTCATACTCTTCCTCGGCATACACCAGCGATATCAATTTGTAGAGGCGTATCCTGTGTTTGTATTCCCGAGGCACCTCCTCTCTCATCCATTCGCCCTTCTGCTCATCTGCTAATACGTAAAATTCGTTATTTTCCATGAATACCTTGTCATTTAGGTACGGTGCACCTCTTCCTTGAATGATAAAATCCTTCAGCAAGCTGTAATTACTTCCTACAACACCGAACCTCTCGTTTACTCTCTCCACCAACCAATGTTTCGACGAGTCCTCTGCAATCCCAATTTCCATTACTTTTTTAAATCCTGTTCGCTCGTTACTACAGAATATGAACGAGGCCGCCCGCAGTTTGTTCCTCAGAAAGTAAAAAAGATTCATATTTTTATCGATATCCTTTACAAACACCGTGTGATTGGCCGTTAAATATTTAAGTGGACCGTTTATCTGTGACATAGACAAATGTCCATTTTGCTTGCTCACAACGTTTGATTGAATTACGCTCGTGCACTCTTGGAACTCCGTAGCACTTATCACTATTAGATTGTCTACTTCATCCGTTAAGTACCGTTGTAACTTGGCCGTATCAAAGCCAACTTGGTACCTCTTGTTGATTGTTGCGTTTTGTAATTCCGCTTTGCTGTCCGTATTTTCTCTGTTACACGCATAGAACAGAATCGGTATCTTTTTCGCTATTATTTCTTTCAAGCTGTACGTCTTCTCTGGCATAGCTCTGATTCTAAAGGGCGCAACAAAAAAATATTTTAACGGTGAAGATTGGCACAGACCAGAACATGCCACCGCACCATGTAGAACTGAATTGGGTACGTTCTTCCTTTCTTTGTGAATGGGTATCGCACAGCAAAACGATATATACCGGTGATTTAACCAAATACTTGCTGCCAAAGGGCTGATGTAGAAGGCTCGTTTCCTTGGCGTGATGATTGATGTAAGAATAAAATATTTTATAATCCGCTGTATATCAACTACGGGTTGCTTCTCCTGGCATGAATTCGATGGAATAAACGCGCAGCACTGCTAACCTACGATACGGTTAACGAGGTCATTATACACCTGCCGTGCGTTCTACTACGGAACATGGCAATTAAATGACAAATCAGTGAATGAATCGTCTTCTCTGCCATAAAATAACAGGTTTTTATCGCAACGCTGTGCAAAATTTTACCGCAACACCGTCAAACCCTGCTCATGTTGTTCAGAGGCTAAAATACACAAAAAGTATGAAATGCAAATGCAGGACGTGCCAGAGGCACGGAATAAACACAGTTCATTTATCTATATAATAATTACATCTCTTCAACGCTTCTCACTGCCAACGAATCAAAACTGTTCCGCCGTATGCACAAAATATAAACCAGCGAACATAGAAACGATAAAAACACGATAACAACAAGCGGAAAAGCAATAATCAGCACGACAGGAAACGATCCTAGTAGCAGTACAACACCGACGAGAGTAAGCAACAGACTAAGATGAAACGTTAGCATTCTTTTCCAGCTCAGTGCCTCGTCATTTTCGCTGCTACTCGGCGTCTCGAGAATTGCAAACAGATCATTTTCGGTGCGGTCAAGTTCAAACAGGAAGTCCTCACTCGGATCGATGGAGTTCATCTTGAAGTAATCTCTGGTATCGTTTTTAAGCAAAAAATCATCGTCTGTGGCAAAGAAGTAAGCGTTGTAATTCACAAGAAGAGGCGTTACGTCGTGTTCAGGGACCCGTAACTTTCCTTTTCGCACATCTTCTATTATGTCTTTGGCCGGTTTGACGTCCTCTTCTTTGCATTGTTGCTGTCGTGGAAAGTCTGTGTCTTTTGATGTGGCAAGAAACGTATCGCTCGGTGCAGGGTTTTGTACAGATCTGAACACTGCTGAGAAGGCGCGGCGGCCCTCCTTGCTGCGCAATCGCTTGTTACGAAAGAAGCAGTCCACTAGTGCACGATCCACTTCTTCCTTTGTGATGTGGTAGTAGTACACCTGCCCGATAATGTACATGTTGTTCAGCGGATTGCGCACTTTCATGCGGTGGAGCAACCGCCTGTTACTCTCGTACTTGAAAAGGACTTTGTTGACCTCACTTGCAATGTAGTAGTAGTTGTATAACACGTCCTGTCTATACGGATCGGGGGTTGTCACACGAGCCAATATGAAGTCTTTTTCGCATTTTCTGAAGTCCAAAATGATCTTACGAAATTCCTCCAACGTGAATGTCTCGCTTTCGTTGCCGTTGATTTCGTCCATCACAGGCTGCTCTCGTTCTCGTGTGTTGTTTGGGCCGCCTCTAATGGTGATGACCGTGTTTATTTCGTACGCTTTTGAATAAAAATCCACCTGTAAGTCCGCCATCGTATTTTATAAACAAATGTAATTGCTTAACTTTGTTTATTTTATAGAAATGTAATGATAGTGGTGATAAATTGTAGATAGATTAAAAATTAAATTGTATTTCCGCAATAAACATGTGCAAATTTTCGGCTCGCGATTTTCATATTTTGTCATGCTACCACGAAATGGGGTCTTTCAGTCCTGATTTAATTACATTAACAGAAAACTCATCATATATGGTGGCGGTCGGCAAAGAGTTTTTATATTTTGGAAAGCTTTTCAGTACACGTGCCATAATCGATGAATGATCATATCAAAAGCAATTAGATGTTCGAATGTGTAAATCTGTGGAAACGGTGCTTAAAACAAGTTATGAACAACAAACACGCGCCACATAGACTTTACACTAACCAAAGCTTGTTAATTTGTCTTAAGCTTGAATTTCTTCTCAAAACAACAGGTGTTTAATACAGCGAGCTAAAAACGTATTTTATTGCCAATCACCCTGCAGTAATATCAGAACAAAAAAAGCGATTAATAAATGCGCTTCTAGTAAAAAATATTAAACTAAAATATTCCTTTATTTGGTAAGTACTTCGCTATAAAACCTATTGTGTCTATAAAAGATGGTAAATCCGTGTGTATTCGATGTTATAATAGTGTTATACAAAAAATAACGATGTGAGAATTAAAAAATGTAAAACGAATAAACTAGGAAAAGGAGCGAAAATACGATCGTAAGTTCGGACGAAAGCAGCTAAGGCATCAATAAATGATACTCCACGATACCAGCACTAATTTCTCGAAGCCGTATTGATCTAACACTGCGTACCTACCTGTCAGTTGTACGCTCCCTTGATCAACTAGTCTTCACCCAGAACAAATTACAACTGCATGTTCTACGGGGTCATTTGCTGGTCATACTTTCAAGCTTATTGTTGTCCCGTCGTGCACAATGATTGGTATTTGAGAATGTGATTAAGCTTAGATTGCACAAATTTATTGTATAATAACATTTGACAGACTGAAAAGTATTTTGAAGTGCGGATTATGCAGATATAACATCATCATTTAATGAAGAATTTCGGCTATCAAAAAGTGCTTACCAAATCACCCTTCATTGCTACCGATAAATCTAAAGAGTTGTGGTCCGTAAACGTGTTTCAAGCAGGGTCCAGACAAATAAAATGGATGTTTGGACATTCTTAGAACACAGAATGGTGAGCGCAACTAATAGGGGCAGGACAGCAAGGCATGAAAATTGCAATCAATCAATTATGATGAAACAAAAACGAAAACTATTCGAGCAGGGATGCGTTTGAATGGAATAGTTCTCGGCCGTTTAGTTCGTAAAATTCGTCTTTCCTAACCACCTATCACGCCCTTATGAAAAGCAAAGTTCTTTGTTCTTATAGGACAGTTTAACCTATCACCAATCAGTCAATGTTTCATCAAACGTTTCAAACATTTTTTCTTATAAAAAATGAAACAGAGACTCGGTTATGGCTTTGGTTCTAAACGAAAGAAAAGAGTACACCTACAAAATGGTGGTGCTTGGGTACTACAGTGTGGGAAAAAGCAGTTTGATACAAAAGTATGTGAAGGATGAGTTCAACCCAAATGAAGAAAGCACGATAGGAGCAGCTTTCCTGACAAAAACGAGTATATATCCTAACTACAATATAAAATATGAAATTTGGGATACAGCTGGTCAGGAGAGATACAACAGCCTCATACCAATGTATTACCGCGGCGCGCACGTTGCTCTCATTGTGTACGACATAACATGTCCAGAGAGCTTTGAGACGGCCAAAAACTGGGTCACGGAACTGAGCAGTGAGAAGCCGAAAAATTTTGTCAAAGTGCTGATTGGAAACAAGAGCGATTTGGAGAACACATCAAGGAAAGTTGGATTTGACGAAGCGAAAGAATACGCGCGCAGAAACAAAATGCTGTTTTTTGAGGCGAGCGCTAAGACCGGATTTAATGTGGAAAACGTATTCTCGTCGGTGAGCGAAATGTTGCCCAAGGATTTGAAGGAAAAGAAAAAGAACCACGTTCGAATTATTGAAAAGAAGAAGCTTTTTTTCTGTTGTTGATAAGGTTCATTAAATTTTAGATTGCTAGTAGAACTGTAACCATTTTCTGATACCTTGGATACGTACACGCAACATTTACACGAAAATTACAAGGTTTTACCGGTTAAGCAGTGTGTTTGCAGTTCGAATACACCAACAGAAACAAAAAGCTCATTTAGTACATTTTTTACACAATATTCTCTCAAAAAGGTACGACCGCTCAGAATCTAGCACCCTAAGTAAATGCATTTACCAAATAGATCTCACAACACTAGTTGCATGAATGGAAAGAATCTGTGTTTTGTTCTAAAATAACCGAAATTGCACCCACTGTAGTCTTTCACAGATAAGCAATCAACGAGCAATTTTTGCTCTGTGGAAAACCCGTTACCGAACACTGAACAGAAATAAAACAGCTAATAAAGTATGTATTTTTACCAAGAATTTTCCTTTCTCCATTTTTCTTCGTAGAATAATAAAATACACTCACTATATCATATCTTTGGTGTGTGAGGAGATAAATAAACAGTTTTTAAAAAAATTACTGCATAGCAAGAGGAGACAATGCACAAAGCCTTCTTCCACATAACACAGTTCCAATCACTTCTACAAGAATACAGTTTTCAATATCAATTCATAATAGCTTTCGTTTTGTAAGTATTGTGATGCTCTTGCATCCTCTGTGTTGGAGTAAACGGTATGTCTACTAACTATTTTCCTGTTGTGTACTTCCTCTTTTTTCTCCTTTTCGGGATGAATAAAGGATATTCTGTAAATATGGCACGAGAAGAATGCGTAAAATAGTCTTATTCGCTTTAAAATCTCAATACTTTTATCATATTGCTAGTTAAATGATAAATTACTGCAAATGCAGTCTATTTGTTAAGGAATAATCTACCCAACATATACTAGTTGTCTATATGCACTCAATTTATTTGCATATTTCGCACATTTTTATTAAGAATTACCTCCAATTCGTTAGCTAAATACGTAACTGTGAAAAATTTTAGCCATTACCAAGATTTGCACCAAAGCCGAGCTATGCAAAATTATTTTAACGGCTTAACTTACGAATTTACGCTTTTAAAAACGTATGTACAGAATTTATACATGTTTTTTAGTAAATGCACTATATTTACTATTTCAGGTATAAAAAAGTAGACGTGACAACATTAATGGATCTTATTTTATTTTTATCTTCATTGGCACATATCGCGAGCGGTGCGAATGAAAGTCTCGGAGCTTACAATATCACAGACCACACCGTTATGGAGAGGCAGAGTTACTCCAGTAGTTCGCCGTTAGGAGAAATCGAATTGGCAGAAATGCAGAACTTAGGAGCACCTATTATCGTTGAGAGGTCAGAAAACACCGTTTCTTTCCAATTTAGCGTATTATATTTTATCCTAGGCATTTTCGTATCATTTCTATTCATAATAGTGATGTTTATTTATTACGTAACGAAAAAAAAGAACAGAATAAGAAGCATACAGGTGGTACAGCCATCAAAACTGGAATGGCACCATGAGGCTGCTCGCGAACAATGGAATGTGTGAAACTCGCAATAAGTAAAATTTGGTGAACAAACTATCACTCGACAATTTTTCTTCTACATTTAAACTCTACATGAGGAGTTATTCAATCTTGTAAATTAAATAGTAACATAGCAGTACGAGGCGTGCATGCTACAGCAATATTACATAACAGAGCACAAATATTAAAATTAGAAATCGGTTTTATTCCATATTTTGAGCTGCAGCACTCCGCCTTGTAGCATCGGTTCAGGTACGGAAATTGGGAGTTTTAAAAAGAAAGATAAAGCGGATGGTTTAATTTTAGAAGGTTGATGGAAGACACTGATGATGAACAACCAGAGATGGATAAAAAGCTTAAACCTCATGTGGTGTCAATGAGATCTTGGAGGTAAGAATACCATTCATGATAAGGGGCTATTTGCACGTTGTCTATATGATGCTAAAGTCACTGCCGCGTGTGATAATACCACTTCTCTGTTCATGATTCATATAGCGAAACATTATAGATCTGCGCCATGATGACAGGATTTATACGAAATAAAATTCTATGATCATGGCACAGGCTCTTTTTAGCGCATCTAATCCAAGCGGGCGCGTTTGACCAAAATTGGAATGTGTGCTAAGCAAAACCATGCTAACCGGATAAATGTACAATAACATTTAAAACTGATCATTCTGCACCAAAGTGCCGTTTAAATTCGCTATGGTGTACCGTAAAGTGTAATAAATATGCTCATACATTTTCCTAATGGCGTCATTCCTTATAATTTGCGATTTTAATGTTTTTCATTTCTATTGCTAAGAAATAAAACACAAAAACATTTCAAAAATGAACAGATTAATACGGCAGAGGGAGCTGTGTTTTGGCAGCGAACAAGAAATAAAAAGGAGATAAAAGCTTTTGAATCATATTTGGTGACGAACACAAGCGTAATAATATTCTACAAGAAATAAAATTGGTTTAATTTACCACATAAGGGAAATCTTTGTGCCATACTGCTATGTCTGCTTCTGGTATCATTCAATGATATTATCTGGGAAAATTGTTAAACATAAATCATTTTTTGTGAAAGTTCTACATAGCGGTGGTTTATCCTTGAAAAATGCCGTTTACGCAAAAAAATTCCGAATCTTTGACACTGAACCGGAAATAGTGATTGGTCATTTCATGGATCATCTAACGAGCATGAGACCAATTGGACGGTAATCCACATTCTTTTTATCCAGCATAAGTTTGTACTAATTTGAAAAGAATTTTTATATGAGGTTTACAGTACTTCTGATTCCGTTGACTCACTCAAATTAATGGAATATTTGATAACTCACAGATTTGATAAGTTTGGTTTCTTAATGATTCTAAAAACGTGTCAAACACATGTAAATAAATAATAACACCATAGATGGATAAAACTAGCACGTTTGGTAAACGATATGAACTGTGTTATTACGTTGAGACACATCGAATAGCAAAATATAACTGTACGAGCTAAGGTTATCTATGTTCTTGTGGCAGAAATGAATTAATATAGCTTGATAACCGCATGTATGCGTTAAAATTAACGTACTCAAAATATTTTGAAGTGGTGAAAGCCTGTTCCTTAGTACCACACCGCAACTAAACAAGCTCTTCAGGCAGAGCAAACACCTATCATGGCCTTGACTATATTTGGACCTGCAACGCGGTCTGTACCAGTTTAATGCTACAATTTTTGCTTAATACGGATTAATACGTGTACTATTACACAGCTTTTGATTGAAAGATGAAGATAACATTATCACTACTCGGAAATGTCATATTGTCTTTCTTCACCAATAAGAACATGTTATAGATGTAACAAGCAATGCGTTTCCCTCACCGGTACCATCGGATCAATCAATAAGGACGCATTTAATATTGGAATACAGAATAGTCGATATACTGCCAAATAACGTCATAATATACGAAAATTATTGGATTACTGGGCCAAATATTGTAAAAACCCGGATTAGGCACCCAGAAAAGGGGGAATCGAAATTTAAAAGCAACAATTTTTAGACCGCTAAACCCTTGCAAATGGAAAATCACGTATTTTTCGGACCACCAACGCGTAAAGAAATACTGCTATACCTCAAGGACAAGAAGTACTCGCTCGTCAACAATCCATCACTAAAATACCAAATAATATTCAGAAATAAAATGGATAACAAATCCTTTTTTGATGTTGCAAATTTTAACTTCGTGAAGAGGTGTAAAATTGATAACTTTTACATAAAAAAGGTGTTTTTGTTCAACGACGGAATAACAGCGGGAAACATCTACGGATTGTTGCCATTCAAAAACACAGAAAAAAATAAAAATATCATAAATCTGTACTGTAGAAAGGAATTAGGGAGGGAGGAAGAAGATACAAATTACGAAATGAAAAGCATTGAGGAAAAGGATGCGGATGAACATGAAATTGGAGATGCTGGCACAGAAAACAATGATGTGGAAGAAAATGGCGGGGATTCAGCAGTTCGAATGGTAATTAGTGATAGAAAGATAGACATTCGAACTGATACAGCGATAGAGAATAATTTGGAAGTGGATGAGCCACTGGCGGCAATGAACGACAAGATAGGAAAGTTGTGTCTGGGAGACGCTAAAATCGAGATGGGTTGCAGGGGAGTGGAGAGTAGAAAGGTGAATTTTAATTTAGCAAAGAATGAAATATTTGTTTATAATGGGCGGGAAGAGAATAAATCACTACAAAATGAAATAAATGGCAACAGACGAGTGCTGAGTGAGATCACGAACAGACATGATAGGAATGCTAAGGCACAAATATCTAGGAACAAGTTAGTGGTCCAGAATAACCTGGCTGGTGTACCGGGAGATGAGAAAAGAGCACAATATTCCAGGTGTTCCGGAAGTAAAAGCAAAAATTACGCAGATCTGAAAAAGTTAACAGAACGAAATACGCTTTTAAACTCTGGTTATAAGACTGTAATCGTGAAACATTCCAAACGTGTAAATTTCTTAGGTCATACAAACACAAAAGGAAGGCAAAGTTCAGCCACGAAAAGAAAAACCAAAATTTTAGTCAAATTTGAACAGCGGGATCACATTCCGCCACATAACATTAACGGCATCAGACCAATGCTGGCTAAAAGCCCGAAACTGAAAAAATTCAGATCTCCGAAGGGCAAAAAGGTTGTAGAACTTAAGCGCACCATATCTGTGGACTTTCGCCCGAGTGGTTTTGAGTTTGAAAGAAAAAACAAGAAAATGCGGATCGAGTAAAAGTACCATAAGTAAAATAAATAGCTGTAAAATCATGTTGATAATTGCTGTTTATACAAAAATAAAGCGTTTTAATGTGTTTTATCTTGTTTATTGCCTTTGTAGTTTATTTTTTGTGCTGTATTTTGAATGATTCCTGGCACATGTCTCAGTGTTTAGATTAGTGTTTGCTCCATTTGTACCAACAGATAAATATTGCAGGTTCTGGGATCAATGACCGCACCGTTTTAATTGTTAACCAGCATCAATATGCATTCTTTGCGCAGTACCTATGAAGAATGCATATTGATGCTGGTTAACAATACATTTTAACCGTTCATCGTATTAACACAGTGCAGTACGCTCGTTTAAATCTCATTTACCGTAAATTTTTGACCATTTTTTCCTTAACATTTCAAATATTTCAGCACCCAAAAACTTGCAATGGCAAATAACAAAAAGGTTCTTATAGGTGCTCATCTATCAATAGCAGGTGGTATATGGAAAATACAGGAAAGAATGGAGGCTCTTAACGCCACCACATGTGCACTATTCCTAAAAAATCAACGCAGATTCGCATTTACACCATTAGAACCAAAAGCGATACAAAAGTTCAAAATGTTGGTAAAAAATGCAGACCTCCTCGTTCCGCATGGTTCGTACCTCATCAACATGGCAAGAAGTTGCAAAGAGGAAAGAAAGAAGCATTTCGAATGTTTTCGTGATGATGTGGCCCGCTGCTCCCTGCTGGGAATAAAAATGTATAATGTACATCCCGGGAGCGATGTAGATAACCTGGGTAAAAAAGCGTTGGCGAACGTAGCCGAGGCGATAAACGAAGTGAATAAAATAGAACCGAACGTTACCATTGTTATAGAAAATATGGCCGGCCAGGGACGCGTGTTATGCTCCAATTTCGGTGATATACGCGATCTGATAGAGCTTGTGCACGAAAAGAGCAAGATAGGCGTATGCCTTGATACCGCGCATCTGTTCGGCAGTGGATATGATCTGCAAACGAAAGAGGCATGCGAAAAAACGTTTGGTGAATTTGACAGGGTTGTTGGCTTAAGGTATTTGAAAGCGATGCACTTAAATGACAGCAAAGAGGAGCTGGGGTCGAAAAAGGACCGACACGAATCGCTAGGACTGGGAAAGATAGGAATAGAAGCATTCAAATTTATAATGAAGGATAAGCGGTTTGAAGACATACCCAAAGTTTTAGAAACACCGGACATAAGTCTCTACAAGAAAGAGATCGCAATGCTTAGAGGCTTTGCTGAAGAAAATAAATAAATACAAGAGATTGTGTATTGACGATCGTGCCATGCCTGATTTTTCCTTGTGATATAGGCTTAACATAAGCAGTTCAACGGGTGCAATCTCTATTTTAGAGAAAAGTATAAAATTTGACCGTTTTTTCCTGAGCTGAGGAACGATTTACCAAAAACCACGTGTTTTATCAAAGAAAATAGTGCAGCAGTAGGCAACAAAAACAGCAGTACGACCTTCCCCACACGCAATGACATCTCTAAAAAGACCGCTCCGGCCAGGACTCGAACCCGGACTCTCCTGATTAGAAGTCAGACGCTTTAGCCATTAAGCTACCAGAGCTACCGCCCACGAAATCAGTGCTATTTCATGGTTACTCGTGTTGTTGCAAATCCATCGTTCTCAGAAAACACAATGCAAGGCCCAACGCAATCATTCACCCGTTTTTCGACATACTGATGGTTGATTTATCGAAATGGCTGATGAAACTCGTTCTACTCACCATGTGACTGAGTCTTGATGTTGCGGTGAATTTGCCGTGTTCTTCGATTTCATGGATACAACTGCATCATTGGTCGCATTTGGAATATTAAAGCGAAACACATTCGTAGATTCGATCACAGAGTCTTACACTATCTGCCATTTTACGTTATGTTTCGCTCATCACCTCCACGGCACGTATTTTATTCTCATGATCTTGCTCCATCGCAATAGTTGATGTGTCTGCTGGTTGGTAGAGCAGATACAACTTATCTATACACAAATTTTTGCCCTGTAATTCTAAATAAAAAGCATTCTAATCCTAAACCTGTCGGTTTACATTCTTAGCGCACAATCGCTCATATTCACCTATTACCCTAATAAAATAAAAAGGCCTTGACCCTAGAAAATGAGAGAAATCATAACATTGCAGATAGGACAGTGTGGCAACCAAATAGGCTCGTCGTTCTGGCACCGTTTGTCTTCGCTCCATCAAGCATCGCATCCCTCGCAGTTTTTCTATCTTGCTGATGACAACACGCCGGTGCCGCGTGCTATTCTGCTTGACCTTGAGCCACGCGTAATTTCCCAGATCACCAACATGGGACTCTTCAATCACGAAAACATTTTTGTGTCAAACGAAGGCGGAGGAGCTGGCAATAACTGGGCAAGTGGTTATCTCTCAGCACAGAGTAAAAAAAGCGAAATTTTTGAGATGATACACAGGGAGAGTGAGAACAGCGACATGCTTGAATCATTTTTTATCTTGCACTCAATTGCCGGCGGAACGGGCAGCGGTATGGGCTCTTATCTTATAGAGGAGCTGCGCGATGAGTTTCCCAAGAAGATTCTGCAGTCGTTTTCAGTGTTTCCAAACAATGAGGAGGTGTCCGACGTAGTTGTACAGCCATATAATTCTATGCTTACGTTGAAGAGACTCAATGGGTGCTGTGATAGCGTTGTTGTGATGGACAACGCCGCGCTCGGAAGGATCTCATCTGAGTCCTTGCGTATAAAGCAGCCCTCATACGAAACGATCAACTCCCTGATCAGCACGGTGATATGTGCGAGCACGTGCACGCTGCGCACACCAACATACATGTACTCCGACCTGAAGAGTATAGTAAGCACGCTCATACCTGTCAAAGGCCTAAACTTTATTGTGCCGTCGTATACCCCCTTCATAAACAAGGACTGTGCGCAAATCATACGGAAGACAACCGTCAATGATGTACTCAGAAGACTCATGATGAGCAAAAATAAACTTGCAGGCATTGAAACACGTGCAGTCATCTCTGCACTCACTTTCTTCATCAATACGACAGAAATTGGCGAGGTGCAACGGAGTATGATTCGAATACAGGACAAGCAATTTGTAGGGTTCGTTCCTTGGATGCCCCCATCGTTCCATGCCGTGGTATGCCAGGAGGAGAATGCGAGCGAGCAGGTGTCCGGTCTTTCACTCACCAATTCAACCGGGGTGTCTGCGCTTCTCCGCAAGATCTGCGGGCAATACGACAAGTTGAAGAGAAAAAACGCGTTTACCGAAATGTACAGGAAATATTTGGATGGCCTTGATGAGTTTGATGCCAGCAGGGAAGTGGTCGAGCAGCTGATAGCTGAGTATGAAAGATGCGAGTTAACGTCTTTCTGCGAAAGATAGAGCTGATGCATCTCATGTAACCGTGTTTTTCTGGCGTGTATGTTACAAATGGATCAATTCGCTTGTTCGAAAATAAAAATTTTCATCTCTAACCTTCCCATGGCCAGGTAAGCGGCAGATTGTTCTGCCAGTATGTGTGATGCTGTTAAATGGTGAAGTCAGAATCAAAAGGTCGTTGTAAGAGTTGCATTATCTCTGCGTAGCAATTAATAGCAAGGCTGCACCCCACAAATGATAACTTATAAATCAGTTATGTTCAGAAAGTATCTTTGTTGAACAGTAAAACCAACCGAAATATTTGATATTCCATATTTACGATAAAGAGCTCTATAAGAAGCTTTCGTCCCATTGTTGCACGATATCAATTATCGCTTGTTGTTAAAACTACCAGAATTATTACCGAGGACCGAATCGTTGATCGAGAACTGTTGGCTACGCTTTCCCTGTTTTACAGAGAAAGGCATTGACACAGCTACCCGCTGCAAACATCGTTTAACATCGGTGCTACAGATGTATGTCCAAATTTCAGCTTTATTTAAAAATTTTAACCTTTTTAAAGATCGAGGAGAAACCTTTTGGTATCGGCATTCCCTTCAAATCCTCAAAGTTCCTTTTTGGCACCTTTGCAACGACATCCTCTGCATTCTCTGCCCTGAACATTCCCTCATAAACGAAATACTCTATCATTAGCACCATGTAATCGTATTTTTCATCCACCAACTGCAGGGAAACCTCGCCTTTGAAAAGCTGCGCAAGAGCAGAACAGAATACGTTCAGCATATGGTTTAAGAACACCTCATTTGCCTCTTTTGATCCGTAAAACACAACTATGGTGTCATTTAATACCTTCTGGAGCACAATGTGGTCCTTTGTAACAGCTGGAAACTCCTTTATACCCTTTAGAGTGCTTAGTTCCAAAGAATTACTTGTGTATGTTCTGCCGTATATCCGATTATAGTTGGTGTCAAGGATCAGGAGACCATCGATATCGAGTATTTCCAGCATCAGGGGGTGCGCATTTTCAAATCTTAATTAATGTTGGGATACAGAGAAAACAGCAGAATAACCACTGAGTCTATGGAGACTGCCGACAGCATGTTTAAATGTAAGCATGTTATCTTGGCTGTGCTCATTATTTATTTAGTGCTTAGTGAACCTTAAAACAGAAGTTTCTTTTGCCAAAGATCATTAATTTGTCTCCTTGGTTGAAAATAGAAGGAGCCTAAAAAATCGTGAATACATGCGCCTCTGAAAGGGTGTTATGACAATCATTCACGCCTATTAGATTTTGAGCGCGTGAAGAACACAAAAAATAGTGAGAAGATGTTTAGAGCATCGTTCAAAAAGTTGTTAGATCGTAGATTCCAGTATTTTGGACATGTCTCGCCACAACGACAGGTAAGAGTAAAATATGCTTTTTAGTAGAAATATTCGATGTGTGTTCTTTGGACGTATACCTGGTTCTTCTTCAAGTGCTGCTTAAATTTTCAATAACATTCACAGCTTTGTTCTTGTGAACCAGCACGTCCATGTACTTCGTAAAATAATTTTCGAAGTTGAAAATGTTGTAAAAAAGTTTTTCTAGGACAACTTTTTGCTCGTCCCTCAGCTCACAGCGTGTGAATCTCAAAATTATGCTTTTTCGCTGCCTGTATATCCTAAACTCACCAACCTCAGTCGCAAACAGAAATGTCCTGTCCTCCCCTGTATCTCCATTCGTGTTCTCTACTTGTATTTTTGTCTTGTTCTCGTACGCATGAAGGCACCACCAGATCTTGTCCATTTTACACCCGACTTCCATGTTCTTCATCTCGCTCACGATCTTTTCGTCGACCGTTTTATAGCCGCCATCAATGGCGCAGTAGTACCTCTCACCGTAATACTTGAACACTATTGTCTTGCCATACTTAAACAGCAGATAATTGCTGTTAAAAGAGATGGGCACCAGGTTCTCCTTCAGGACCAGCTTTAGAGCCCGCAGATGGCTTATCAGATCAACGGTCAGGCAACACTTCAGCAGATCTACAAGCAGCGTGTTGGTGCACTGAATGGACAGCCTTCCATCGTAAACCACCCTTATGCTCAGGTTGTAAAACATAAAGGACAGGATCGATCTGTTGTGGGCCGTCTCAAAGGTGCCTTTGATGCCGTATTTGCTCAGTTTATCCCTCAGGATTGAAATGGTCAAATAATTTAGAAGATTGGATATTTCATATATTTTTATTTCAGCCATGCTTTGGTTGCTAATAGCGATTCGTGCCACAAATCTTTTTCGCTTTGACATTCTTGGCACATCGTTGTACGTGTCTGCTGTTCCGTTTTCCTCCTTGGTTGAATCCTTTTGATCGTAATCATCCGATTGAGATGTTCCCATGCGGCAGTCCTCGTCGCTTTTTATTTTGATCTTAAATTTGTACCTGTCCATGTTGTACAGGAACTTTATCTCATTGCTCACGGTAACGCTTGTCTCTTGGAGATACAGAATGTCATTAACCATCATCAGCAGGTCGATATCTCGTAGAAAATACTTCACGTGGCTCAGACTGATGGCATACCGATTATCCGCTGTGTTTGTGAGGAAACATCCTGACCGAACATTCAGATCACTGAAGTTGTCTTCTAGATCGTTTATGTCTTGGGCACTGATAGCACTTTTATCCCTCGTGTTATACACAATGCCTAGTTCAATATAGCGCAGCAGATTGTACTTCACATTCCTGCCGACAAATATTCTATGGCTGTTATCATCGCACCGTATGCACACAAAATTCGCATCACGTCTCAGAAATACGTTCCTTGTCCCGAAATCTTTCTCTTGGTAATTCCTAACAACTGAGATGTTGTTTCTTTTGGCAATGGACAGCAGAGCCGTGTAAAAAGGGTGTCTTTCGTGGTTTACGAAGTATCTCCTGAAGTCTTTCAACGATTTGAACAACACGTGGCCGGTTTCTTCTCTGTTATCATAAAAAGTGTTTGCTGAGCTCAAATACTTGTCATCTAGGCCACCAATAAACCTGCATGGCTGTTCTGTGTGCTCATTTTCCTCTACCAAATGAAGGCCTTCGCCGATGACGAACCACAAACGATACCTCATCTTCAGGTATTCATATCGATTAGAAATTTCTCCTATGAACCATTTCTCTATCCATCGCATGTACCAATGAATGTCCAATCCACCATGTATTTTTTCGCCAAACGCCTTCATAATGCCTGTACCGTCTTTTATTTTCAATACTATCTCCTCAAAAACGCGTATCTCAAAGTCATAGAACGTGCCTGTCGCGATGTCCTTATAAGTTTCGAAGATCCGCCGCTGTCGGTTTATGACCTCGATCTTTTTTACGTAAACAGGAAGCAGATGAAAATGAAGATTTATATTTGGTGGAGAGAGAATTGTCCACGTGGGCGAGGTGTGGCTGCCACAAAGCGTTAATTTAAAGGTTACGTGGTCACTCGCAAGCGTTAAAACACCATTTTCTATCTCAATTGATTTAAAAATTGACACGTCCTCTTTGGTCAGATAGATCCGGATCAGAGTGTCAATAGCACTGAGATCATCGGCACTCTCCGCTTTTCTGTCCACCAGCACATCATTCTGTTCCTCGGTGTACTTAATTACGTTTCGTTCTGCCAGTGCATTTCCACTACTGTCGTCATCGCGTAGCATCTCTATCAAGGCATTGCTCACGATTCCCTCATACCCATAAAAATAGACAGATAGAGCGCTTCTAAAGTCGCATTTGGCACAGAACAGTATTTTCATCTCCTCAAACCAGTCGGCCATCTCGTCCGCAACTCGTGACGGTCTCCTTTTCTGTTTATAATATTTCAGCACGTCTATGTATGCCAGCATTCTGAGCACTTTACTTTTATGGACTAAATACTCGTGCAGCTCCTCCCTGTTTACGATGTCAAGGTGCTCATTCAGGGATTGCAATGTGCGATTGACCATATTACGCACTAGAAATGAAAGTTTTACGGATGTAGGGATAAGAGGTAGTGTGGTAGAAAGGATTGGCATGGGTGAAAGGATGCGAATTAATTTTAGGATTTTATAAGGCAGTAAATATTCGATCTTTACAGACTTGTTTGACAGTTGCTTGGAAGATAGTAAATTATAAATAGAATGAACTGAGATGTATGGAGCTTTTGTTTTGTTTGGAGCTCGGATGACTTCTAGGTAAGGAAAAAAATAATCTGGATGAATTGTGTAGATGGAAACTCTAATGGAAAAAGAATATGAGCTTTCATTCGTAAATACTGCTGATATGTTATTATTAGTGCATATAAGAATGTATCATTAGTGCAACTGCATGTCTGCTATTCTCATATTGTAATAGTCCGTTTTTAGCTAAGGACCTGTGTTCACAGCCAAGTTTTAGTATGTAGTATGCTAATTCCCCTTCTACGACAATTTGCAACACCAAACAAAACATTATTTTGGTTGGAATGCGACAACAAACTTATCCTGGAATTTACCACACATGCCAAGATAAACTTTGGAATGAATATAGCGGGAAATTTTTAATTTGTAGAATGAAATTTACAACCGCTTTAATCACATCAACAAATGAAAAGAAAAGGCTTTGTAACGTAGAATATTACTTACAGGATCCTTTGTTAACTTAAAAATATCAAATTGAGAAGACAAACATTTACAACACAACTATGCTATACTGGGTAAAACGTTTGATCGCTATTGTTACCCACTATCTGAAACATTTTCATATGCCAGTTTGCAGTTCACATATGGCCACAACCAAATCACACCAGTAAATTTAGAAGTCTTTCATCACTTCGCAATTAATAAGTGGCCGATTCAGCACATGAATAGTAAATATGGCAACAATTGATCATATTTGTATCAACTCGGCTTATCGAGAGGTCTTTATATTTTCCTTTTCCATCCACACAAAATATTTTCACCATTTTAGACATCATTTTACAGATACAAGCATTGAACATGTACGGTACCGCGAGTTACCACATTTTTTTCCAAAAATTTGTTCATATCACTCTTTTTCTTGTGCCTTACACGATCATTTTACCTGTTATATTAGCACATGTATCCCAGGGATGGGATATATGCAGCATTGTTTCCTTAAATATTGTCAAATAATCATAAAATACTAAAAAATTGAAATGAGCATTTTACGAGTCATATTGCTCGCATCGATCAGTGTGTAACTCCAGCAAGTCATAAAAATTAAGGAAAACACAGATGAAAATGCTAAATGTACAAACAAGACTTAGAAACCTTTTTCTTTATCCGTGCCCTTTTTATCACCAAAAAAATGTTATGCCATAAACAACTGCGGAATAGTTTTGCTTTCACGGATTTTTGTTCATTTTAATCAGTTCAATGTTATGATAGCGCGATTTTTGCATTCAAAGTACGTTTATTTATCACATCATCAATTGTTCACATGTTTTGAGAAAATTGGTGCGGTACTTGCTTAATTACCAATCTTGATATAATAGCAGATTTAACAATAAAAATATTTTTGGCCTGTTTATAGTTCTGTGTGTTATTCAGAACTCGACATATCTTACAAGTAGTTCTTTGTTTCAGGCGCTAAGAAAAAGAAAATGCTCAATAATTTGTTCACTGTTGTGTATTCAATTCATATTTGACTACCAAATCGTATTACTCAGACAAAAATAAATATATGCCACCATAGTTGTCACAGAAATTGTTTTTATTAGATGGCACATCCGGTACATTGACTGTAAATATTACCACATGATCATATTCTCAACCATTACAATTCCATAAGGCGAAACAGTGTGTTAACGCATCTTTATATATTTTGGTGCAAAGAGCATGTTCTGACAAGATGAAATGTACGGTGGACTGAGCCGTATTAAACTAATGTTCATGCTATCTGGTAAATAAAACCATAATTAATCAAAATTGTCTCCATATCTGTTCCGTATACGCACCAAATAAATTATATTTGGTGTGCGGAGCGTATCCGGTCTGAAATAATCGACATTGGCTGCAATTTTTTTATAAAATCAGTTCTGCTATCACCTCATATCTCTTAATAATGCATACCACTAAATAAATACATCTATAATTGCCGTATTCGTTCTTGATCACAATGTATGACTCATGTTTACACAAAATATATGCGCTAAAATGGTACTAGTACACGAATAAATCATGAGTACCATGTTCTACGAGATAATTAATGTGATTTTACAGTAAATGGTTGCAACTTATGGCAGAAAAACGTTTTATATAACTCATATAATACGTTGAGAAAAAAATTTTAATTAAGCTATTTTACCCTGTAAAATGTATCGTAAAAAATTATTTTGGCGAAATGAGGCTTTGAAATGCAGAAAATGCACAGCAACTTGATAGATAAAACATACAAAATAATTTTTAATTCACTAACTCTGTCCTTTCTCACAAAACACAGCGTTTTAAATTTGTTTTTAATTTTTAAATTTTTGCTCCCCTAATGATATTAGCCAAATGCCAGTACTATCTTGACAAAACAGCACCAAAGAAACTTGAAAGGTGGATATTCTTCTCTGGCCTGCTGATGCTATACTTCATAAGAATTCTGTATATCCAAACACACTACCTCGTGACCTACGTTCTTTCAATCTATTTGCTGCACGGTCTTATAGGATTTTGCACACCACAGGAAGAAAGCATACCGGATCCGTTCGATAATATTGATGAGGAGGTGTATATCCCACAGACGGTTGATGACGAGTTCAGGCCGTTTATGAGACGGTTGCCCGAATTTGATTTTTGGTGGTTGAGTGTGCGATTGGTGCTTATATCGTTTTTAACAACGTTTTCATCTCTATTTGATATTCCGGTGTATGCACCGATACTAATTCTCTATTTTATTGTCATTTCTTTGCTAACAGCCAAGAATCTTTACCGTCATATGAAAAAGTACAATTATAATCCGTTTTATGTTGCCAAGGAAAGCTACAAGGTAGGAAATGACTAAATAAAGTAAAAAGACTAGCAAATGAAGTAGTTTTGATTAAAAATGCGGTGATATGACTCTTTACCTGGGTATGAAGACTATTGGGAACAATGCTTGGTAGTGTTATGTATGCCTTTCCGCTCAAGTATTACTTCTATGTGTGCCATTATCTATTAGTGTGCTGCATAGCACTCTCTGATTGCTGAGCAGCTGTTCAAGTATGTTTATTTGTTTGCACACCACCTCCACACTATTCTGCTGATTTCTGTGCCACACCTTGAACCGGGTGTGCTGTAGAAGCGCATCCGAGTGAATGTGCTTATGCAATAACAGGAAATTTCCGCAAAGGGCGTTACAAATACAAACTGCCACACAGCAATGCAATACCAAGCTTTTTAAACATCAGGGCAGAAGTAAACTATTTTACACGTGGTAATCACTGGCCCTTACGGTTCAGGTGTGTACAAAGCATTTTAGCGTGTGTAACGCTGTTACGGGCATACCTTGGTGTAACAATCAAGGGCAGGTAAACGTACTGCATTGCCAACATGGCATGGTTAACAATTTTGAATAGATTAACACCAATCTTTGTGAATAGGGATGGATCGTCTTGAATAAAGGCTGAGATGATCAACGCCCGTACGTGAACTGGTCAGGTACATCAATTAAATGCTATATCTGTGTAAGGATAGTCTTAAGCAGGCTTGTTTTATTGAGGAGCTAAATCGCAGCATAGACTGCGATAAGTGATGGCCCACCATATTAGGCAATGAATATAAACCATGTTTAAGCAACAGCCCATGACATTCTTGTGCGCGCATCTCGCTGTTTCACACGTGTTCGTGAGTGTTCGTTTTTTTGTTTTATTTTTCATTTATCTGCTCCGTGATAAATCGTGTTTCAAATATTTTACCCCCAACTTTTAAAAAAACAATTTTTTCATCCCCATGTCCCAAAATACGTCTCATCCACTAACAATCTCTGAGGCGTTCCACCATCTTGCGGAACAGCGCCCTAGGATCGTAAAAAAGGACGTTAAATTTCGTAGAATTTTTGAAAATACGTATGATTACTGCCAGCAGCATACCAGGGTTTCGTCGACATCGCTGATGGAGAACTTGAGGACGTCGCTCGTTGAGCTGGGACTGAGTGAGGATGAGGTTGCGATTGTGGCATCGCTGTTTCCACAGAGTGTGGATGAGATTAGGATATTGGTTGATAGTCTGGGGAGACTTGATGAGCAGACGCTTATCAAAGTTATAAATAAGATCAATAGTGTGTCTTAGGATAATAAATTTCCGTTTTAAATAATTTTCTCGCGTATGGCTTAGACAATGTTCATGAAGCTATGACGGAACGAAAAGACAAAACATCCCGTATTTTGTGCTGATCACCGGCGCAAGATTGTTAAATCAACCCTTTGCCAATCTTTAGCTGCGTGTCACTACGCCGTAACAAACGAGTATGAAAGCAGTAGCTGATGGTGTTTATTGCCTTTTAATGGCCTCACTCAGCCATCATAGCACTGTTATCTAAAGCACCGTGGATCACATTATTGTATAACTTAAGAGTAGCGTGTCTGTCTTTTCTGTGCAAATGCATTTTTATTGCTTTCTTTTCTTGCCATAAGAGGGCAGAAATACTTTTCCGGATATTTTTTACAGATTCGACCGGTAGTCCATAACACAACGAGAGATTAGCAATTTGTACACGACCACCATCACGCAATATCACACGGTATGATAAATACATACTGTACTGATGTTTCGAGTCGAACATTTGCTATGAATCGCAAATTTTGGTATGACACAGGGATCGCCACATATCAATCCAAAGAATGACCACACACACTCGCCGTAATGAACAAATAACAACGTAACTACAGCACTTATTTTAGCAAAAAGCAATTTTTATCAATTAAAACGATGTTTTATCGTACGATTGTTTGGTTCAACTTCTTAGATAACTTTTCTGTCACGACCCTTAATTTTTCGTATTCCCTGTGAAAAGGGTGCTCACATCGTTCCGTTTTAACAACTAAATTCGCACAAACTTCGCACACAAAAAAATTACTTGGTACCGGCTTGGAATTGATTAAATAAACCATAAGTTGGCCGTAAATTTGGTGTAATGACAGATCAAACGTGCTCAATTTCAAATTCCTAATCAACTTGTCATGTAATTTATCTAAGATGTTCATAATATCACCAATTTTATATTCGTTTAGTGTGTTGTGTCCTGTACTTTTCGGATCATCGTTTGCTATCTTGTGCTCATTCTCGCCGTTCTTATCCGCTATATTATCATGAAACTTTCTTAAATTCATCAGAATGCCATTCTTATTTTTTGCTTTCCGCTCCATTTCCATTAATATTCCTCTATATGTCTTATATACACCCATTTCATAGCCATACACCGTATGCTCATCATATGCGCATTTTTTGCCTTTATCGTGTAGCTTCTCGCATTTTTGTGTCAGTCTTGAATCGTAAAAGGCCTGTCTGGTGCAAAAGCCCACTGTGTATTCATTGCAGATTCTGTCATCCATTTTGGGGCCCTGGCCGAGGAATAGCGTTTTGACCAAATACTGTAGAATCCTTGGAAGCAGATGTTTGTATGTGACGGAGTCAGTAGCGTGAGTAAATTTGGTTTCATTGATAAATAAACGCACTTTAGACAAAAAACTTGTTGCGATCTATCGCAGAGAGTGGCACGGCAAGAAAATATATAAAATGAATGAAAGAACAAAACATGTCGGGTCCACAGTACATATAATATCGTTACCTAGTACTGCAAGCAAGTATACGTTTTCTTCGTGATCTTGAGAAAAAAACTTGCTTTGTATTGCTATATGTAGTTTGAACCGTTGGTGTGAAAACAATTTACCTAACATTGATGTATAGAGGTCATTTTTAGGACAGATATCGCGGGCGATGTCATTTAGAAATGTCTCGCTGTAACACCATTGTTGTGCTCTTATACGCTACAATATTTTCTGCTGACGTCTATAAATCTGATGGTATCATCTATGAACTGTTTTGCAGACATTGATTTCTTGGAATGTGCAGAAATTAGTTTCAAACGGGAAATATTTGATCTGTTCATATAATCCGCTTCGTAATTGAACTCGTAGCACGTTCAAATGTAGTGGAACCAACGAAAACAAAATGTGTTTTTCGTAATTGAAAAGCTGTGCATCCAATAGCGTCAGCCGTAAATATTTTTATAGCCAATACTAAGCAGCTTTTCTGCTTTCGAACTACCAGTTTATCCGCTACTTACGCTATTATCTCAAGTCTGTGCTCAAATGATCCTTCAGTTAATTGTATGATGTTTCCCAATTGTGCCAAGAAAGCAAATTTAACATGTTTGTTTCTAATATTTACCTTTTTGTTTCCTTTTTTACCCTCAAGAGTTGTACAATGTTATTTTTTGGTGTTTTATTCCTTCTACTACACGGAGCAGAAGCAAAAAACTACGCCGTGATTCTGAATGCCTCCCAGTATTATAAAAATATTCGGCACGTGGCCAATATTCATGTTTTCTATAAGATTCTGAAGAGCAACGGGTTTACAGACAATGAGATTATCGTGTTTACGTGCGACGACTTGGTGCATGACAGCAGAAATTTTACAAAAGGATACGTTATATTACCTGATGGCGGGTTTGATGTACCTGAATTTGAGGGAAAGCCATTCACTCCGCTATCGTTCTATAACGCTGTTATGGGAAATCACAAAAAATTAATTGATATGGATGAATCATCGAATATTCTTATCTATATGTGTGGACATGGTAACAGGGACTTTCTAAAAGTGCACAACAAGCATTTCATCACATCTACTGAGCTAACAAATGCGCTATGTGCACTTTCGCGGCGCGGTATAAACAAAGCGTTCGTGATTGTGGATACGTGCAGGGCAGCCACGCTGATAGATAAAAACAAGCTGCCTAAAAATATTGTAGTACTGTTCACGAGCAGAGATGACCAGAACAGCATTTCATCCTTCAGTTCCAACATTACCGGGCAGATGACCATCGATAACTTTCCATATTTTTTCTACAAACATATCCAATACAGACTTGATATGAATATCGAGGATTTCTTTGAGGAAATGATGAGTGTTTACGACGTAGAATCGGATTTAATTGTATGGCCTGAAAGGGGATGGAAGATAGGAGAGTTTTTCAAGCAAGTGAAAGGAGAGAGTTTACTGTGTAAATTCGTGATTTAGTAAATTTTAGCGCTCAATAATATTGTTTTTTTGCTAAGTTATAGATATAACACATCATGAAGTGTGGTATACCACGCTTTTCTTTTGCTAATTCATTTTAAGCCGAAGTAGTTGCTTTACTATTTTTCCACAAAGATATTTTATCATAGCCGTAAATAAGGATTATAAAAACGAAGGAAGTGGGCGTAGCCCGAAACAAACTAATGCACTTTCCTGCATATCAAAAAAAGAATCTCAGAAAAATGAACATCAATAACCGCACTATTTTGTCTGATAATTATTGCTAAGCTGGGTAAATATCAGAAATAATGCATTGTTCTGGTTGATACACGCTTACAAGACTTGGTCATCATCGGTTTTAGATTATTTACATAAAATTTTTAGTTATTAAAGCTCAAGCAACATACCACAACAGCCACGTACCATTATTAATAGTTATGAGCCATTAACAATATAAGATGATTAGCAAATGCTTATCTAACGCTTGTCTCAACATGCCATTTGTCGCCTCATTTGAGTAAAAAATAGCTCAAAATGATTGGTCAGTTTGTGAGAATACATTATTCAACTCTTCGGGAGAAATCAAAAATTTTTTTATTTTACGCCAAACAAGGAGTTTAAAGCCGTTATCAACTCATTTTTTCTGAAACGCTATCAGACGCATCAAAACTACATTATCACTTGATGGAAATTAAATTATCAACCCCTATCAAAAGGTCTAAAAAATGTAATGTGACATGTAAGGGAGAAATATCATTTAATAGATAGTGTAACTTTTGTACATCTTATAAGCGGGAATATTGCAGTTTTTTTTGCAAAAAGCATGTTTATGTACTACCGCATATTATCCGAATAATGTATCATCTGGTATTCAGCGAAAATGCAGGATATAGAATAACTCAATGAATCAAGAACATAGTTTAAAGGCACACCATGTGCAGGTGCCATACAACATGATTATATCACATTCCATAAAATAATTAAGTACGTTGTTCACCCACACTTATCTAAAATGATTAGTGATACCATTACTCTATTTCATTAACTGTTGAACTGCTGGATGTACCAATTTTATTCCAAGCACATATTCGAGCGTAAATACTACAAATAATTTTTTGTTCTCAATGATAGTGCAAATTACCATCTGTTGGCTTGGTTGTTAAGTACTAGCGACTAGGTTTTAGCAATATGTGCAAGCCATTTATTTTGAAGTATTAGAACAATTTACGTACTATGTGTGGTACCTACTCGTGTACAACGAGTAGTATATGCGTATCTATTGGAATTGAATCATTCTGGTTGTCTTTTTATGGACATATCCATATAAGAAAAAATATCAAATAACGCGTCAAGAAAGCGACCAATGTACTAAGTGCTGCTAAAATTTGGTGTGTAGTTGAAGCGATAAGTAAACTGAGTATTCATTTATTGCCAAAATTTCCTCCTCATGTCAATAAAAGATTATCCTCCCTAAACAATACAAATGATTGGTGACGGTTATATCAATGGTACCACCCATTGCAATCAAAACCATTCAAAAAATTGTTTACAACAATAATTTTTGTATTTGATAGCACTATCTGTGCCGTATTCAGATTTTTAGAAGGAGAGCTTTGCATCTTTCCTACCTACTTGTTTTTAATGATGCTCAAGTATTTTTCTCTGATGCTTCAATCAATAGATTACGGTGTCTTTTCCCAACATGCAAATTTCTTTATAAATCAATATCCTCTTCGCAGTACTGTTTTCGTTTTTGACTGTCGATATTTGGAGACAGTAGCGGCAAAATGTTGATGTGCTAAGTTCATGCAGCAATAATTGTTGCATATGTCGCTAAATATTTACTCCAACTCACTCGATAACTTGCTCAGAACGTTTTTAATTACACATGCGCAATCCATCCCGTTCATGTCATCCCATGTGCACATATTCTAAACTATTCCAACAAATTTATCGATTGCCAATGATGTTAGCCGCAATTAGCATGTATACACACTATGAATTTGAAATATTCATTTACAAAGTTTTATCACGTGGTTTGATGACAGGGTGCCATCATTTTGTTCATCAGTCGTGATAGCACACTTTTTTGGATTAGCTGCATCTTTTTACTATAAATCAGCACTTCATGCCACGAATGATGTTAAATGCACATAAATAACACAATTTGTGATGTTAATCGTTGTACGCAAACAGAATGTTATGACGTATTATGCTGCAAGGAAATACGAACAGCTAAGCCGTATACTATCAGTACAGAATAGGTAGCATGTTCTAAAGCTGTGAATTTATTAATTTTAAATTAAATTGTTACCTATTGCTGTTATTTATTAATTTAAAATTAAATTGTACCAGTTGTTGTCATCAGGGGATATTTTACAAAGACTGTGATCGTAAAACTCGAAAATATAAATAATAATATTTCACCATGATATGTTTGGAATCGTCTTAGTTTTGAGACATTTGCTCGGTTAAAATATGGTAAAAACATTTTTTGTTGTTTAAATTTTCGTTTCTTTTAATTCGTCGTTAACCACGCCAAACTCTTTTTTGTGCGACTCTTACATCGTGCGAACACCATGTTTCGTCAAGAAATGATCGAATCTCATGTTTTATCGGATTTATTTTCTTATTTACAAAATAGACATTAATTTTAAATCACCAAATGTTAATATGTCAAACATTGTTGGACCGTTGAAAAGGAGGTAAAAATCCTTTTAAATATCCTTTTCATTATCTTTTAAAAATTGCACAGATCCGATCATTAAACTAGGCCTTGACAAAATACAAAACGAAAAGTAAAAGAAAAGGACCCATGCACAAGCTGAAATTCCTTTGTAATATTCTAATGGGTGTAGTTATAATCGCTGCAGGAATATTGAAGAATCGTCTGTATTACCACGAATTCCCTGTGACTTTGCCAAGCATGATCGCGTCATGGGGTGCGCTGCTGGTTTCTTTTTTCGTAGCTCAGCGACACAAGTTCCCTGATAAGCTGCTGTGTCTGGTGGTGGTCATTCTCATTTTCTACAGTCTTGTTGCACGCTACTGTACCAAACACATGGATTGTATCGTTATCGCGCTGTGTGCGCCCTCCAAGGTCATTTTTACATGTATACTGGTCAAACTGTTCTTTCAGCTCAAGCTTTCTCGATGGCAGATGCTTGGTCTGTCGCTGATCATTGTGGGCATCATACTCCCCAATGTTGTTGTAAAAGACAACGATTTTTCCATTATATCACCCCAGAAAATAGGTATATGCATATTTGCCGGTCTGCTCTTCAGTCTGTTGAATTTGACCTACGAACTCTATCAAAGAAAAAAGAAGCCGTACTTCTGGGACCTGGTATTTACGGGATCCGTAATAGGAGTGGTTGTTTCAACCGGCATATTGGTCACTGAAATGACGAAATCTGATTCAACCATTAAAATACTTGCACGGAAAAAGACAACGTACGTTCTTTTGGCGGCAGAGTACATCGAATTAGCTTTGAAAGCGTTTCTACTTTACGTGACATCCCCTATATATAGAAGTATTATTTTGATATTGCTGTCAATCTTTACAGGGATGGTTGATACTCTCATTTTTGGGCTGGAAACAATTCGATTTGTGGATATCTTGGCGTTCTTTACGGCCAATATGGGGCTTATCATGTTTGACTATAACGAGTTGAAAAAAATGTTTATACCAGAAAAAAAAGATAAATTGGAGGAGGAGGTTGTTGAAAATCAGCTGATAGAATGCGAGTGATGTAATTTTAAATCATGCTGTTCGCGATATCAATAAATAAATATTTAAAAACCAAAAGTATTCGATTTACTTGTAAATTTTGAACTAGTTTTATTGCGCGGAAGGATGTTAAAATATGGCATGGAATCCTTTGTTTACCGTTTGACTTGCAGACACGCGTTGAATACTTCTGTAACATAGCATTGAGTATAATCGCACAACAATATGCTAATCAACCTGTAATAAGCATATATTTGAGAAACGCACTGGGTAAAAATGGTGTAATCCATGAAGTGAGAACATGATAGCGGTTTACTATTAGAATTTCGGGTACATACTTGAAGTGTATTATTGGTTTTTTTGCTAACGATGACCTGTTTACGTCGATACTAAATAAATTTTTTTCATGAAATATCATGGTTACGCTCAAAGTGGTTGATACGCATATCCATGGCCCAGGTATTGGACATGCGTAATGAAGACAGTTAAAAGAAAAAATGTAGCAGAAACACTTCATCAAACGATATGCAAATATTTTTATGATATGTCTGGTTACTCTTCGTACACAATATCACAGAAAAAAACACATTTCTTGATCCGCAGAGACCGGCTATGGTCATCGGACTTTGTTTCATGGATTATCAAACTTAACAAATGATAAGATCAGTATATGAGGTAGAATTAAAACAAGAATTTTTTTAATTCTAAATTTGGATATTACTATCATACATCAATCATGAGAATGACATTGATTAGATTATCGTTCTTAGTAAAGAAAGAACAAGGATAAAAAAAGACTCACGGCCAAGAAAGTAATTAGAGACATGAATTACTGCGAGAATACGTCAGATGTATTGGTCTGGTTGGTATACAAGGAAAATTAAGCACCATGATATTTGATAATTTCAAGGGATGTTAGTCATTATTCTATCCGTGGAATACAGGATTGCAGCATAGCATCTCATCAACCGAGTGTTTATTGTTGAGAACTACTCTCCGAAAGATTTTTAGCATATAGTGATTTTAAAATGGTGTAAAACGAACACCCGATGATAAATACTGTATTTTCAAGAATCATTTAATAATGGTGTAACATATGAAACGCTCTCCATTCTCTTTTTGCTGTTTTTCTTCGCTATCCTTGTCCTCGTACCTATTTCAGGACATCATTTGTTCGATATAGCGTTCCAGCAGGCTAAGCCTGCTTGCATGTCCAAAGTGGTACCCGCAACATAAAGCATGGCACGGATTGCTGATTAGCGGTCTCAGTACCATTCATCGCATACCCTCACCATTCTTTCGAAATTGTCCCTTATCATTGAATGTAATCGTTGAAAGTCGTTGAAACGCCCACCACGTTTATAAAGAGAAATTTTTGGACCAGATTGCTCATTGCTAACACTCACATCATACGAAATGCCTCTAATCATCCTTGTAGGCGGATCTAATGATTTAAAAATAACATCCTTGAAAAACATCCGTACTTTGAAGATGCTGCGCCCTCCATTGACCAGCCGCAAGTTAGGATCTTTGTATAATGCTCTGCACTTTATGTAGCTGTAAATATCAGGTAGCGTGAAACATCCTCGTGATTTTCCAAAATACGCCTTTAGCTGTCTGCCAAATTCGATCTCCCGGGCAACCTCCCGTGCATTTTTTATCTCGCCTATTTGGTCGACTGCTTCCGGGCGCAACCCAAATAATTTTGTCAAATCATCGCGATGTGTTGCGTCGAGAGATGCACACAATCCCCACATCGACAGCTTTATTTCGACCAGTTCCCGATTCAGTTTACCAGCCGGAACGTCGTTTGAAAAACACATCTCTGTTCCACAGTTCCTTATCTTTTCTCTTCTTGAATCCTCGCATTTCCTGCATGTTCTGAACAAATTGCCTTCTTCTACCCCTTGGGCCTTCTCCAACGAATTTCCACAGAAAACACATACACCATCAGATATATATGTCTGAGTTAGCGGGCTCAACCAATCCGAGGCCATCACATCTTCGATACTCATTCGTGCCTTGTGATCCCTCCGAAACATTCCTCTAAAGAGTTCTTTCAAACTGTCCGAAACATTCAGCGAATCTGTGTCTATAGGACCTTTCAAAATGGAATATTCAACCTCACTACTATCGCTTCCGGTAAAGGGGTCGGTGCCCGTGATCATCCTGTAGATAAGGCATCCTAATGACCACACATCAACTTTGTCGGTAATCTGTGATCGCAGAAATAGTGCTTCAGGTGCGGAGTAAAGAAGCGTTCCGCACCTTTCTGCAGATACCCTTTTGATATTCATACAATTGATCATTCTACCTCCACCTCTTCCAAGTGATTTCAAAATACTTACGGAGTTCACGTCGGTCGGTTGGATATTGTACGAGTCGTAGATACTTGCAGCCCTGTTTGAAGCAGATTTTGATGCTAGCAATTGATTATCTTCTCTGTTGCAATGCTTCTGGAACAGGCTAAGTGTTCCCAGATCAACGATTTTTATACCGGTTTTGCATACCATGACATTGCTTGGCTTTATATCTCGATGCATGATATGGTGCGAATGCAGGAAGTGTAGGGCCTTTACAAGTTCATAGACATACACACGTGCCTCATTCTCAGTAAAGCGTTGGCAGTTTATAAGGTTCTCCAGAGTTGCACCTTCAAGCAACTCCATAACAATGAAAAAATAAGTACTGTTGTGAAACATGAACTTAACTTTGACGATACCATGGTGCGAAACAAGCGATCCCAGCCGTACCTCGTTGCCAATGTAACAAGGATGGATTGTTCCCTTTCGAATTACTTTCACTGCTATCACCTCACCTGTCGGCTTGTATCTCGCCCTATACACGTTACCAAACCTGCCATAACCAATCTTCTCGTACATTTCAAACTGTTCGTCGAATATAGACATAACGTAAACATTAGAAGTTTTATTTATACTCATGGAATGTGAAACAATGTTATAAACAATGGACAATTCGTAGGTAAAATAAATAAAAAGTGCGTATCTTGGCCATTTTCAGAACAAATACAGCAATGTAGCACATGCCTTTTTCTGTAACCAGGAATAGCGTCATAACGTATTTATTGAAATGATATAAAAACAAAGTATAAGTTGCATCATATAAATGTCTCAAACCAGGTTTTTTCCTTTGTTTCATGTGCAAATAAAGACCACGAGCATGTCATGAATGAGTGGGCAGCATTAGCTCGGTTGCCGCGAGATATACGATAAATAATCAGATGTGTAATTAAACTTACTAACCGCGATTTCATAAAAGAGAATTGTTGCAAAAGTACATCCAGCAACCACCTAATGAGTCGTAATCATGTTTTTTATTTCGTACAATAATCAACCTGTCACCACGTTTCACAGTCCTTAGGGAGCACAAAAAACTTTAATTGCTAATACATGCTATTGCAGAGGATTAATAATCCTATCAACCTGTCAGAAACGTAACTTTTCATTAAAAATACATTTGTTTATCTTTCCATACAATAACACATCTATCTAGAGAAGCGTGCCTTTACTTATTTTTAAGCTCTGCACTGAAGATTGTTCGAATCTATCTTGCATTTCCATTAAACAGTTGAATGATGACGCGGAATAAGTACCACACTACCAATAGACAACAAAGTATGATTGATTTATTAAGATTTTTATTGCAAAGTAAGGATCTGATGGCATTATTACACAAATTGATAGAAGAACGTGTGTCCAGAGTATCTGAAGAGTTTACGTTTCATATTCTACCACAAACTTATATTTGTGTATGGAAATTCCTGATTGCAGGCATATTTTATTTGTTCCTTGTTTCTTTACCGAACAATATCAACATATTTACCCTTCCCGAATCTGCAAGCTCTGAAAGGTTATTCCCCACCAATAACCATGAGATCATTAACTTGGAATGGAATATTTTCATCTCGGACGTTAAGATGCCTCAGCAACCAGAAACTCCTGAAAATCATATCGTATGGTGTCATGCGATGGCGAGGAACAGATCCAATATGAACACCACTACTCTCTATTTGCCATCAATGAGCTGAGATTCTTCATTTATTGAACATCCATTCTTTACACACGCACGCTTTTGGTGTACTAACTAAGAAACTCCATGATTGTTTTCATAGATTTATTTATCGAGGGTATTAGGATTCAAGTCCTTAGGAATGAGGAACTTGGTCTCTTACTTAGCTCAATCTATCATTTTTGGCATAAAAACAATTCCTGCCCACTTCTTTTTAATATGTCGTAATTAATTGATCAATAATGTTAAACAGTTCGCAAATCGTGTGGACATCAGATCATACCATAAGAGAATTTATCTCGTATTGAGCAAGTGTAATCGAAAAAGCACGGTAACGAGAGGTTTCGTACGCAACATCTGTCTTTGGTCATTGATACAATGTTTAAGACATTTTTAATCTGTATCGAAACAAGTATATTATTGAAATATTGAAAATGTTGGGCAGTAAACTACACGATCAGAAGTTACCTTCTCACAACTGGATGATATATTCATATAAGTATCAATCATGCATGCAAAACAGTATATTACTTAGATAGGTTTGTTCAGAATCGATCCACAAAACTTTATACTTTATTATATGTGTAAATCGTTCGTTTCACGTGTGTAAAGCGGACCATCGTTTACATGTTGCACCATAATAAAATCTAAGCAGCCCCCCGCGGGAATTTACGGATGGAGAATATTTTCAACAAATATGTAACAGACCAAAATATAATTGGAATTGGAACGGGAAAAACCATACAATCCTTCATTTCAACCATAAAAACTAATACGGAAAGAGTTTTTACACCTAGTAGCCTCCAATCCTTTTTTCTGTTAAAAGCTAATAGGTTCAGAACTCAAGAATTGCAGGCCACAGAAACCATTGATATTTATTTTGACAGTGCTGATTACTTCGACAGAGAGAACAATCTAATTAAGGGGCGAGGAGGTGCGCTTTTGAACGAAAAATTGTTGATGTCAATGTCAGGTTGCAACGTAATATTGGTGGACGACAACAAATTTAAAAATAGTTTTGATGGTTTGTTCGTGCCTATAGAGGTTATACGTAACTCGCTTGCCCATGTTAAACATGCGCTTTCAAGACACGATATTGATTTCTCTGTGCGAGAGTATCCTGGAAAAATAGGACCTGTGATCACAGAGCATGGCAATCTGATTATTGATGTTGAATACAGTCCAAGTTTCTTAAAATCGTGTAGAGATATAGTTGGCGTGGTGGAACACGGCCTATTTCTGGATGAAGAGTTTCACGTAACAATAGAAAGAATTTAGTGTGTTATTAGCGGAGTGAAAGTAAACCTTTTATGAATTATTGACTATTTAAATCACTGTTCATTCTCTTCCATAATTTTCTACTCGCTTCTAGCTTTAATTACATGGCATCTCGATGATCGATATTTTTCTTCGTGAAATTCATTTATCCACCACTTCCGTACACAAATAATTCCTGTACTCTGTGCGTTTAGCACCTACTGTAGCATCAACGGTCTCTGATTTGACAAATAACCGGTGCTGTTACATATTTTGTACCTGTCTAATTTACATAGCTGTTTTAACATTTTCATTGTTTGGTCAACCAGAACACGCATACTCAACAGCTGTAAATGGCACAACGTAGTACAAAAATACTGATAACGTTAAATTTATTGGTACATTTTCTAATACTAGGCACACAACTACCGATGACTAGGATGTGACAAATCGTGCACATATCTACCAATACCTAAGTGTTCTCATAAAGCAGAGGCTGCATGCAGGTGATCTTCCCATTCTCTGGAACAGATATCTATAAAGCCAATATAACCGTCTTATAAGCGCCGTTTTAAACTAATTTTAAAAGCCATATATTAGCATCATTTGCGTATGCAGTTTATTTCCGTTCAACAGCTATCATTTTAACAAAAAATAGGTTTTGTAGACCGATGAATTCGAATCAAATGGTTTTTTAGACCCCCAGGATCGGTATGTCATTCGATGAGCTCGTGATCAATTCTCTTCGAAAACAGAACATGCAAAAGAACGTAGAGACCGTGGTATTGTTGCAGTATGAACCAAAGAACTTGTTTTATTTGAGGAAAGAAGAGGACTACAGGTTTATTAAGCATCGTTTAGAATTTATGAAAGACGGATACTTGGAACTGCTGGAACTGCAGAATTTTAGCCCAATAAATATGGCAAGCACAGCAGACACCTTTGTTCTCGGTTTTGTTATCACAGTTGGTGAAAAAATATTTGTGTTTAACAACATTGACGAGTCGAACGATACATTGGTTGAACTGAATCTATCCGAGCTGGACCGATATTCACTTTTTCCTGGGCAAGTAGTGGCGATTAAGGGACATAATCCGAATGGAAACGAGATAATTGTGCGTAAAATATACGATTCACCTGTTCTCCCCGTCAATTTTTTCGATGAAAGGGATCGCAAGGTGGACACTAAGAATAACAGTTTTTCGGTGTGTTTTATAAGTGGTCCGTTCAATGACGATGTAAAAACAGAGCACTTTAATTCTCCTGATGTATACAATCATTTTTTTAGATCTTTAGACCAAATAACAACTATGGATGCCGATTATTTGGTTGTTTTGGGCCCTTTTATCGAAAACAAGTTTTTAAACAGCAGTCTGGACTTAGAACGGGTCAGAGACATTTTTGTAGCCAAACTGAATGCATGGATCAACAAGAAACCGTTCAGGAAAGTAATAACGGTCCCGTCTACCGATGATGTACATACACTAGGCATGTACCCCAGCGCACCTCTTGGTTGCAAGAGTGCCTCAATTCTGAGTCTATCCAATCCAACGCAATTTTACATCGATAATGTACTCTTTAGTGTGTGTACCTACGACATGCTTCTGCACATGAGCTCAACAGAAGTTTTCTTTGATGTCGATGAGAACGCATCCCTGCCAGAATCTGAGATAAACCACAGGTCTGATCGGGTGGATAGCAATGTTTTGAACACGTTGGACAGCTGCGCACCTAAAGCACAAAAAAGGACCAAAAGGATCGAGCGACTATCAGCACATATCATCTATCAAAGGTGTTTCTTGCCGTGTTTTCCGCCGAGAAAGGTTGTCTCTATAAACAGGTCCGAGTGTTTTGATATGAGTGTTGCACCAGATTTTTTTGTAATTTGCTCAAAATTAAAAACATTTATACAAAGGGATGAAGGGCCGTTCATCATTGCGAACGTGGGATATCAGCCGAAAATAGCCAATAAACAGGTGCTGAGAATAGTTGTGGACAATAACAACAGCAATTTTGAGGAGCGTTTTACTACCGAGTTCGAAAAGTACGATAAATAGCTCATACATAGTTTTATATTATCGTCTACCGGGACGTACAACGTAACTCTTGCAGTAGAATGCTGTAGAGTATGTGAAGAATATTCATTTTGAGGTTATCACATTAAAAAAACGTATAATAACTGTTAAAAGAGGCTATTTCATTTAATATCGGTACGAGGGGATGGTAATTCCAGCCGTAACAATAGATTTAACGAATGAATAACCGTTTTAAAGAAATAGCAAAGCTAACCAAATTTAGTTGCTGCCCGGCTGCATCTCGCACTCAGAGACGTATCATATTTATTGCGTTAATCAACTACACCGGTTTATTTTGTTTGAAGTTCTGCTGTAGATCAGCGACAAGTAACTGCTTTACAGCGATATTGTTGTAACACAATTGTTCAAACCAATGATTGTTTGGTATTCTATCAACTATTGCCGGAAACAGACCAGCAGTCGGCTTCTAGGGCACGGAACCGGATGTTTAAAAATATGATTTTTACTGAACCATCCTTATGGAATGGCAAAGGTTGAAAACGGATCAATACATCAACTTGGAAAAAACGCTTTATAGTGGCCAAATATTTTCTTTCCAAAGAACCGGTGACAATGAGAGCACAGGCATCGTTGAGGGCTTTCTTGTCACGTTTAAACAAGAAAAGGATGTTATTTACTACAAAATATTCAACTATAAGGAAAATGTAAACTATGAAACTGTATTTTGGAAGTTTTTTACGTTGGATTTGAACTATAAAAAAATTTTTAAAGAGTGGAACGATAAAATATCGAAATGTAGAACTGAAACTAACTCAGAAAACGAACAAAACTATGATTTATACGGGTTATCTCCATTCAAAGAAAACGGGCTGCGCCTTCTACGATGTGATCTGAAGGATACTATCTTCTCATTCATTTGCTCTTCCAACAACAATATCAAGAGAATAACAAAAATGGTACTTGTTTTGTTTTCGCTTGGCGAGTACATTACGACAATAAATGGTAAAAACTTCTACCACTTTCCCAATCCCGAAGAACTTAGTGATAAAGAGCAATTTTTACGGGACAATGGATTCGGGTACCGGGCGAGTTACATTGCCAAAACGGCCAGGCTAATGACAACGATGAAATATGATCAGCTTTACAATCGCAATTACCATTGGGCATTTGAAAGATTAAACAGGTACAGCGGAATAAGTTATAAGGTTGCAGACTGTGTATGCCTGCTTGGATTGCATTTCCACGATGTGGTGCCTATTGACATACACATTTTTCGGACAGCTAAGCGCATCTTCTCAATCAAAGAAGATCGGTTGAGTAAGAGGTCCTATTTAAATATGCAAAGACGATTTCAGGAATTTTTTGGTGACTATAGTGGCCTGGCACAGCTTGTTCTGTTTGAAGAAAGCGTTAAGGCACACAAAAGTAGGAAATAGCTCAGAAATATTGTTATCGTAAGAAAATACGCCATTTAATGGTTGATATTAAAGTCTGTTTTAACACATGTTAGGATCAGTTTTGAACGTGTTATACGAATTTTGAGCTCGTTAACTAAAGAATATCAATTTCAATCGTTTGATTACTGCATGGGTATCAGTGTCTTGAGATGACTCGTCTCGAACCGCACATTTATATGCTTTATGAATCGTTTTAAGCACAAATAGTCGCAATGATAGTTTAGCAAATCGAAGAATACTGGTGGAACACAGCTGTCACGTTTAATTTAGATTTGATCTTTAAATAATCGCACACCAGCAACATAACCTGTGATGGACAGAATAAAAAAATTGGTAAACAAAAGAATCATCAAAGAAGAGGATATGAGCAAATGCTTGGAATGTTTTTTAGTTTGTAGGGATGAGTTAATCAAGCGAGTCGTCCTTCTACGTTCTCTTTCCGAGATAATGATGAAGTTTGATAAAATATTGAACATGGAAATAAAACAGACCATAAATATCGCTAACGGAAACATACTTGGTGAAAAACGTAACGTGAAATGTGAAAACAAACTGAAACTGGCTAATAATAAATTGAATATGGCAGAGAATTTGCAAATTGGAGATGATCTCGTAGAGCTAGATAATCACGATGTAGATTTTGATAATAATGATATTATTGATGAGTATACTGTAAACGGTGATGTGAGCGCTACTATCACATGTGAAACGCACAGCAACAGGTTATTCAAGAGAATCAGGATGAACCTACAAGTAGATACGTTCAGAGGTTCGTGTATTCTTCGTATGATAACAAATAAGATATTTGAAACATTAAAGAAGGCTCAAAGTTTTAACGGAATTGAAGAGATGAGAGACGATGGCACGTACGAATTGGTTGAAAATTTTGAGTCTTTTGAAGGTACGCATCTATTCTCATCTTCATCATTGAACTCAAACATTGTCACCGAACTTGAATCGTTGAATATTTTTTGTTTTAATGAAAAAGTATGTGGAACAGATCGAGAATCAAAAGCGATGGCCTTCTGCAAATTATTAGAGTTACTTACGCACAACAAAGTAACAGTGGAACAGGTCGATTGCTACGCTAACATTTATGTATATGCCCAGTAAAGATGTTATCTTGTATTTGTTTTTGGTATTGTGTCCGACCGATATCTTGTACGGTTAATGCTGGGTCTCTCCTATGCCCACAGATCATTGGTAACATTTTGTGCGTAATCATCCAATTATCTGTATGAGGATTTCCTTTCGTCATGACCGATTGGTTGTTGAGATGTATGAGAATGAAAGAAATGAAAATACAAATTTGAATATCATAGCATTTATAGCACGTGTACACAGTCTAACATCCCATGTAAGATAAGTTCTATGCATGTATAAACCTATGTCTTCGTGTTGGTGTTAAATATTTTAGCTAACATCCACTTCTTCTTTACTGAGAATACGATAAAAATAGTTTTATCTCGTGTGGGTAGGCAACAGAACTATTTTTGTATTGAACTAACAGCCTGATAGTTATAAGAGGATATAAGAAATTAAACAAAGGGATGTAGTTTAAAGAATGTTGAAAAGAGGAAGCTTAAGTATCATAATCATAATTGTTTGTACTAAAGCGTTTACTCGCAATTTTTGACATTAAAAATGTCTTTTATTCGTTTTTCATTGTTTGATTTTCGATTCAAAGCTACAGCTGATAATATTGAGATGGTTTGCGCTGCACGAAATTATCGGACCGCCTCATATCCGAGCACTATTCTGGTTTGAAAAGCAGATCATGGCAAATTTTACGCTTTACCATCACAAAAAGTATTATTAGTCAAAAATTTCTGGTGCAAATAAGAAATGCTATTAAAAACGGCTATTATATTCTTTATAAGATACATCACATAATTGCGATCAGCAAAACATAAATACTTCTAATATGACTTTCAGCTGCTTTTTTAGTTTTTTGCTAAAATTACGTTATTTTTCTCCTCATATCACCACATATAAACAATTTTTTCCTTCTAAACACATATTTGTTTTCTACTATTCCATTTTAGTAAATCGGAATGTATGTAGTGGTTACCAAAAAAAATAAATTAATCAGAAGACAATAACAAGGCATATTTAGTTGAAAAGTGCATTACTGACCAATGCAATACCGAATTAGAAATCTGTCTTCTATCAATTCTATATCTGGCACTGTTGCGTAATACGATGTTGAGACCAATGATGATCTTTGATTAATTAAAGGATTACATTTAAAAATTTAATTTCTCAGTTTGCCCCATGGTAAGAAGACAAAGAAATGTTTTTCTGGCATTAATACTGGCATTCCTAGTAGCTGTAGCAATTGCAGTTGGTATATTCCTAGCGGTGCGGTACACCGCCAAGAAGAAGAGAGTAATGGAGGGAATTCCATGCGTGTTGAGGGGAGACGGTATAGATTGCTTTATGATATCTGTCATACAAGCTTTATACAATTTAAAACAGTACAAGCGATTTTTAGAAAATATAAAATCGGATGATAAAAAAAATGTGGAATCAATTTTGAAGTCAATATGGAAGGACATGGAGGCGAAAAGGGGAAGTAACATGAGGATTGATGCGTATAGAGAGGACCTTCTTGCTTGTATAAGAAAACATCCCTCAAATACTGGTGTTCAATTGGAAACAAGAAGACAAAACGATGCGGATGAGTTCCTTAGGGGTGCACTAAAAGCTATAACAAATGAGGAAAGGGCAAAAGAATATTTTTGTTTTAGAAAGAATGTTTTTGGCGTTGAGAACCCGTTTAATTACGATGGTTATTACGATCTAGCATTCATACCGTTTAAAACAGGTGGAAGCAATCATCAAACCAGTGTTAATGAAGTTCTCCAGGGCAAAGACAAAACACACATACCAAGGATATGTTGTGGTATCGGTACAGAAAATGCTTCGGGAATATACCCTGCTCAAAGCATAGAAGTGTTTGGAAAGAGATTTTTGCTGATGAGTGCTGTCTATTACAGCGGAAGTGGTGACTTAGGACATTACTTTGCGGTGTATAAGGATGGTAAAATTTATCGTAGAGTCACATTTGGAAATTGTGATAAAGTGGTGTTGGAGAATATCAGCTCTAACAATAGCATGCGTCTTGCTTTTTATGAATAGGAGTTTGAACATAAGAAATGACACAAAATCAAAGCCATGGCAACAAAAGTGCATAACTACGAGAAGACATATTTATGGATAAAATACGCATTTTGAAGGATTATTGTTTTCATACCTTCTACGTATACATGAATGGCATCTGTGTCTCACCTGGTACCGTTCAATCCTTGATATCTCTGCTTAATATCTCATAATTATTATATACGGTGATGTTTCTGCACAGTCCGTCAACCATAAGCGTGTTACATCAGAAAGTTTTCTTCAGACGGATGTTTTTGAACACAGCTTCGATCTAAGCGTGTTTTACAGCATCCCAGATGGTATTTAATTCTGGCCTAGAAATACGTTTACTATTACTTCACACTCAACTTCCTAAATAAACGCAAGATGGTTGTCTGATTTGAAGACCTCTGATGGGCGGTCAACCGCAGCATTGTCATCCCCACGAAGATCGTGTGTACACCCCGTATGCATTGTTTGTGTTCATTATTCTGATTAAACACGTGCTGTTAATCGCAGTGGCATCTTTGATCGTCAGTTCCACGTTGTTTGCTATGCAACCCGTATTTCTAATACATTCATCCGCGTGTATTTTGTCGGTAACATTTCTCTTCGTGTATAGTTAGCCGTCTCCGGTCTTCATGTTTTCATCACCAGTGTCTAAAAACAAAGTTAGCCGTCTCCGGTCTTCATGTTTTCATCGCCAGTGTCTAGAAACAAACTTTCACGCCCAATATTTGTTATGCTAGTGCTTCACCTTTTGAAATAAATTATAATTTGCTTATCTATCAAATTTTTACGATATGCCATAGAATGTTATTTTATACGACTTTCCTGCTTTGTTTTGGATGAGTATCATGGCCTTAAAAGACAGAATGGCTGTTATGTTTGTACTTGTCCAAATAAGTTGTATTGTTATTCACAGCAATTAAATGAAGCTGTTGTTGAACATGGTCAACTCCTTCAAAGCTCGCTGATACGATGTAAAGTGCAACAATGAATGTAATGAGCTAGGTGTACGGAAACGTGCCTAACAAATTTAATATATTGCAAATATTCGGCAAGGTGCGTTCAGACAATTAGCATTTCTCTTGAAATGAAGAAACTTTCAAAAAACTTTTTATCTCACAAATCATAGCCTGTCATCCATCCGCGTAAGAAATTGCTGTTTGGTTTGTATGAATGCCACAATTAAATCGATAAGAATATTTAGAATGAGCTGCGCAGTCAAGCAATGAATTTCACGAGATGTTGCGCCAAAGAATTCTCTTTACCAAAAGTGCATTTATTTATCTCCTTACACATCAAAAACATTCAAACAAGTTTACTTTTATGGTTCATATGCCAAAGAACAGTATCCACAAGCATTCTCATGCCAATAAACCATCCAAATACTTGATTCGCACAGAACCACATTTCTTTTGTCCACCGATGTAGCTACAATAAAAACAGAAAAGACGGACACAAAGCGTGACATGTCTTGGCAATGACTCTTCATCTCGCTTATGCGTGTCGTCCGTGAATTACAATTTTTACAATTTTGCTTATAGTTCGACAGCCAGTCAATAAATTTTAACCACTAAGAACACAAGCGTATTTTGTATTTATCTGTTGCTCCGCAATACTTACTTTCTGAGTATAATTACTGAAATAAAGCAGCTGTCTATTTCATTGCTCGGTCAAGTTATGTGAACCGGTATTTTTGTGGTTATCATACGCGTTGTCATTCCATAACCACGCTCAGATGATGATTTAACTGTCAATTATTAAAATTTAGAAGCAAGCTTTTCATTAAAAAGCAACTGAAAAAATTTATCCTTGCATGCTTGCAATTCTGAAAACCGTTTTATTAATTCTGGGAATATCGGTGTATATTCTGTGCAACACATACAAAATACACACCAAACCGGATGTAATGCCGTACATACTTCCGCTATGGTTCTTCAATTTAATACTCCTCATCATTTCATACATGTTCGCCAAGAAAAGGAAGTACTATGATTTTTATATTTATCTGGTCTCTGTTATGTTGGTTGCCCAGTCGTATTACTCCTGGATGAATATTAAAAAATCAAAGGTGATGGAAGCAAGTATTGCAGAAACAAGCTCCGTTATTTTCATGTGCATCCTATCCAGAATGTTTATGAATACGCGGATTACAAAGCCTCGTGTGCTGGCAATGATCATGACCTCATTCGGCCTTCTTATGCCAGTTCTGTTCAGCAAAGAGAATACAAACATCCGCTTCACGACTGTAGCGGGACACGTTTTTTGCCATTTTATATTTTGTGTCATTAACATAATACACGAGCTTAAAATAAAGGCGAAAATAACATCCATATGGTCGTTTTTCTTCACCTCCAACTTTTTTTGCCTTATCCTGACCTCACTCGTTCTTGTATACGAGCTCGTGAGCAAAGGTATAGATTTTCGAGGTGTTCTCAGAGACGCAAAGGTTTATATAGTTGTATCATCAGAATCGTTTAGCATTATTTTCACATTCGCGCTGATCTACACATTTCTCCCTGTGGAAAGAACGTTTTTGAGGCTCCTGATCAACATAACAGCGGGGCTTTTTGAGAGCGCTGTTCTTGATAAGAACCTTAAAATATGGGACGTATTATCGCTTGCCATTGTTTCTCTAGGTGTACTAGTCTATAACATAGAATACATCCGAAAAAGATTGAAGGAGTTTAAGAAAAGGCTGAATGACAATTAACTTATATAAACAGCTTTATAGCGTTCGTAATTTTGATTTCTAAAAATCGTTTGTTTATCTCCTCTTATGTCAACGGCATAGCGGTTGCAGGATGAGTCTTTATTTACACCTAGCACGGTGCTAAGGCACATATTGCATTTATTTTCGTCAGAAAGTGTTCTTTTCATTTCAACAACCCATACGTTGATTGGAATGGTCATTCAAAATCAATTACTCGTATAATTTACTATTTGTTAGTAGCACAGCTTATGCACCGTGGCAACATTGTCCTTTGCTCTAACATTGCTCCTTATCAAGCATGTTCATACAATGAAATGGTAACAAATCTGTGCACATTTTAATTTTACTCCACATAACGTTTCAAATAACTTGGAAATACATCATTGATGTGGAAATAGCGAAACAATCTCTGTTTTTTCCCAACAGTACTATTCCCGCCAAAAAACAGATCAAATATCGGTTATCATGAGGACATTTATTTTTTTCAAAATGATCACCGTACGATTCTCTTCAGATTGTTCTTTTTTACTAGAAGACCATTTATTTATAACCTCGCATTATCTGAAAAAACACGGTTCGCTGGTCATACCCAACTTTACAGAAATGAATTTGACAATTAGTGTGTTTTAAATGACGGTGTGACAAATAACCGAAATGTGAGCAGATTGGGTATACGTAACTATGTTCTTGGTGCAAACTATTGGTTGCCATGTGAATGAACTGTGGGATTCGACAATGCAGCTAGTTTTACCTGTTTGGACAATATCTTGGAAATGGGCTGGTTGAGGATGAGTAGTCGACGTATCATGACGAATAAAAGGCGTTGCTAAGGCCAAGATTAATTCTGGCACATTGATAAAATAATGTTGAGGTAAATGATATGTGGTTTAATTACGTGTTCTCTTCTATAAGGAAAGACTTAACGTGGTGTGCAAACCAAGTACGGTTCTCTTCTATAAGGAAAGACGTAACGTGGTGTGCAAACCAAGTACGGTTCTCTTCTATAAGGAAAGACTTAACGTGGTGTGCAAACCAAGTACGGTTCTCTTCTATAAGGAAAGACTTAACGTGGTGTGCAAACCAAGTACGGTTCTCTTCTATAAGGAAAGACGTAACGTGGTGTGCAAACCAAGTACGCCGAACTACAATATAGATGAAGAAAACGAGCACATACTGGAATAATTTACTGTGTAGATCTGAATAGCAATGAATCGTATGCATTAGTTAAAATATTTTTCTCCATTGAACCATGTTTATACACATTTTTTTACCAAGACCCTTAAATGGCCGATTTTCTTGTTCTATCGCTCAAAAAATATGTCGAGGAGAGATTTGCAGGGCCGTTGAAAAGCAATGAGAGAATAACCCTTTCGTTGGACGATATAAGAAGAATGGACAGGGAGCTTAGCGCAAAGATCCTGGAGGAGCCCATTTCGTTCATACCGCTTGTAGAGGACGAATTAAACGTTAAATTTTCGTTTGTCGGCTCATTCGGTGAATATCAACATACCCCGTCAACCATAACATCTAATTTTCTTGGCAAGATGGTGAAGGTTGAAGGAATCATCACCTCACTCTCTAACATTAAGCCGAAATTGAAGAAAAGCGTACATGAACAGCACAATGCATTCTACAGCAAAGAGTACAGAGACGCAACGACACTGACAGCGTTTCCCCTCACCAACACGGTGGTGCCACAAACACTTCAAAATGAGGTTTTGAACTTCGAATATGGTTTCAGCACCTACATTGACACACAGGCAGTCACCATACAGGAAATGCCGGAAAATACCAAGCCTGGTGCAATGCCCAGATCGATGAATGTCATCCTTTACGATGACCTGACCGATTCACTGAAACCGGGTGATCGAGTTGTGTTGGCCGGTATTTACAAGACCTACTGCTATAATAACACGAATTTTCCGAATTATTTGCCGACCGCGCTGATTGTAAATCATGTTGAAAACAAAAATATAAAACAAATATTCGAGGAGAGGTTTAAAAAAGTAACATGCGAACGCACAAATGAGTATACCACACAGCTGAACGAGAATGGTAATATCTCCAATCAAATGGGCGATACCAATAGGCATGAGCAGATCCCATGCTCCAATTTCCCCGATGGTGAAAGCACAGTCACATCAGAAAACGTTCTGGAGTACGTAGCACCATTCATTTTCATTTCGCCACAGATCAAAAAAGCTATTCTTCTGCAAATGATCGGTTCAGAGAACGATGTGTGTCGAAGAAGTATAAATTTACTGCTGCTGGGCGATCCTTCAACCGCGAAGAGTCAGATACTGCGATTTGTCATAAATACGATGAATGCGATTAGTACTAGCGGCAAGGGATCAACCGGCGTAGGCCTAACGGCAAGCATTGTATCAGATAAGAACGAAAGACGATTAGAGGCGGGTGCGATGGTGCTAGCAGATAACTCTATAATTTGCATCGATGAATTTGATAAGATAAACTACAACGATTCTGTAGTTTTGCACGAGGTGATGGAACAACAGAGCATCAGTATTAACAAGGCAGGGATACACGTCACTTTGAACGCACGAGCCGCAGTTTTGGCGGCCGCAAACCCGGTGTATGGTAATTTTGTGGACGATGCGCTGGAGAAACAGGTGAAAATACCGGAGAGCCTCCTGAGCAGGTTTGATCTGATATTCCTGGTAATTGATGATGGTTCGTTTGATTCGCAGATTGCTGATCAGGTGCTGCGCAACCACAGCAGCTCGTCCGATCTCCAGGATGACCGTGTGTTCGATTTACGCAAGTTTATTTTCGAGTGCAAGAAGTACAAACCAAGAATGCGCAAAGAGTCCGCTCAATTTATCATTGACTATTACGTAGAGTTGCGGAGAACTAAAACACGGTTTCCCGCTACACCACGTCTCTTGGACAGTCTCATACGTCTGAGCAACGCGAATGCCCGTTTCAGGAAATCCAACACAATAGATGAGGTTGATGTGAAAGAGGCGATAAACATGGTTGAGCACTGCTATACCATTCCAAAGGGCAGTTTGTTTAAAAGGATGAAACTTGATAAACACGGCACTGAAATGTCTGTTGATGTCGAAAATTCCAGAAACGTTGTTGCAGGTGAGGCATCAAATGCTACCTCTCTCATCAAAGAGATAATCTCGGGATATCGCGAGGAAAATCCTGATTCATCGTTTTTATCTCTCAACGATGTTGCTGCCAGGTGTGAGCTGCCCTTGGAAGAGATCAGCAGGATATTAACGGAGCTGGATGCTGAAGACATCATCATGTTTAAAGGTGAGACTATCATCTTTTTAAATTAAGTAAATCAGTTAGAACTTTTTTGCACCTCGAGTGTTATCAATCATAGTTTTACTAAGTTAAAAATATTTATCCTTGTATCCATGGTTATATGTGCACGAAGATGGTGTGAAAATAAATGAGTGCACTTTCTTAAAAAGAACGTAGCCGAGAATTGGAATTGTTTTGTATGAAAACTTGCACCATTAACTTCTGTTCTGTATTAAGTACACCTACGTCCGAATGACACACCTTCATAAACGACAAAAATTCTGCCATAGTAGCCCATATTTTCGCTAAAAGTGCGTTTGTTCATCTTCTCACACCACAGCACCCAAACAACTCACTGCTGCCATACAATTTATTATCAGGTGCACCTCAAAGCGTTTAATGATTCTGTTCACAAAACTGTCCACAGATACGCCGTGGTTTCAATTACTAAGAGAAATTGGGAGGTGATCACCGATGCACATACTCCTGCCGAAAGGTGCCTTCTACAAAATGTTGAAGAATCATCATCTAAATAAAAAGACACCTCGAAAGCTGATTGGTCAGTTCTGGGAAATATATTATTTGTCATAAAATAAAAGTACGGAATAAAAACGATTTAATACGCAAATTTAGCGTTTATCAGGCGAATACGACTGAAATATCACCATTCTCATGTTATCATTCAACATTAATTCCATGTATGTATTCTCTACAAAGCCACACATGCCCGAGAAGTGCCCGCCTATAAAAACATTCCATTCCTTGTTGAAATTGCTGTCCAGCGAATCTTTCAGTCTTTTGCAAAATGTCGGACTTGAGTCTTTTATCTTGTATCTATCAATAATATCTAAACAGTGGTCTAACACGTTTTGATCGCATGTTGATTTGACTACCTTTGCCAAATGCTTCTTCTTCTCCTCCTCCTCTGGTGCTTTTGTCTCTTTCTCTTCTACCTTTGTTGCCATGAAGGATTGCTACGTATTTGCTTTAAATATGTTCGGATAAAGGGGCAGTATCAAAAATCTGGCATTTCACTTTGATTTGTTGACTGCTAATGACTGTATCTACGATTGGTTCCTTGGAGAAAATATAGACAGCTCCCGTTCGGAGATCGCTCTAATATCGATGCATTTATCACGTGCACGTGTTAAATGGTGATAACATCATCGCTACATTTCCTTAATACATTATCACCAGACAACTGCTCGACCACTGCGTAACAGCTGCATAATTTAAAGGGGGTATTATCAGGAATGCGAGAACACGAATGATATTGCATCTCTAACTGCAAAAGGGGTTTTGTACCTTGATGGGCATAGAAGATACTTTTAAGTCATAGGCAGGGAGCGTTTGCATTTTGTTATTTATCAGGCGTGTGCAATAAGTGGTATATTAATTTTACTGTTCTGGTTTGAACTATTGCCCTTTCATACCGGCATTAAATAACGAATTCGCCTTAAATAACATTTTTTATCTTCATGAGCACTCCAGTTTTTTCGTTAATAGCGCATTTATTTACCTTACATGCCATTTTTACGTTCATAAACACTTTCTAGTCCGCTGGAACAACCAAGATAACCAGTCTTTGGATCATAAATGAGTACCAACTACTCTGATCAACTCTCTTCAAATGTTTTGCAAATTAAAACAAGTCTTTGACCAGCTGATTGCGCTACGTTGTACCATAAGATTTTATTTATTTCTAGCGTTCTATCTGTACACCTCGTATATTTTGCTGAAGAACGAATCTCCTTCTTTCACACCGTTGAAAATATCCTCCAAGCTCTTGCATGCCTGCAAACACATCCAATCGGTCTTGCTTTCACACATATGCATGACACGCTGCACCAATTCTTTGTACATGAACAGCACCTCCGAATCAAACTTGTTCTGCAGCACAATTTTTTCAACCATGAAGTTGTCTATTTTGCCAAATATGAAGCTTTCTGTAAGTACTCTGTACGGGCCTAGCTGTTCACAATAGAACGTCACGATTTTCGATATTTCAGAACAATTCTGCACGAGAGACTTCTTGGTGATGCTGTTAAAGTACATGAAATTGACGAGCACCTGGCTAATCTCGTGATAAATAATGGTTTTGAGTAATTTTATGTTCGAATTATTGAAATCGATGAACTTCAGCGTGTCAATATGTATGTTTTTCAGAATCTCAACGTTGAAATCTACGGTTTTGTTTTCCATCTGCAGAATAAACAGCGACTCCTCCAGCCTGAGGAAGTTCTTGAGCTTGTCTATCCCAACTATCAAGAAACAGAGCATACGCTTTTCTTCCTTCCCGACAAAACTCATCTTGTCTATAAAGACCTCCTGGTACTCTATGATGAATTTGCTGATAAAGTCTATGAGGTCGTTGAAAATGTTGTTCTGCAGCGATACGTATGAGAACGCCAGGAAGAAATTCTCCTTGTAAATTCTTTGGTAGTTCTCAAACCATTCTTTGCTATCGCCACAGTGTATGTCGTGCAAGCTGTTGGCAATGTACTCTTTTTGTACCCTCATAACGCTGTCGGCAAGTTCCATTATGTTGAAATTTACACTGTACTTCTCCCTCAGTTCCCTCTTAAATACAAGATATTCCTCGGTAAAATGCAACAAAAGATTTCGCTTCTGTTCACTTTTACACTTCTTCAATTCGTTGAGCTTTATCTCCACAATGCTGTAAATCCTCTCTATCAGATTGTTCATGCTTCTTTCATTACTTTTGAGCTCAGTCTCCTCCAGAAAGCCCTCTCGTGCCGTCTGCGATATAACATTTTTGTTGATTCTACTTTTTCTGTTTTCAAGAACTACCGAATCATAGCACTCGCACACAAACTTGTACTTCTCCAGCTGATCAAGAATAAATTTGAAATACCATTCGGGCTTGTCCAGCCTGTTCGTATCCTTCTGCGTAAAGAAATGGAAGGAAAAGTTGTCGTAAATCGTAGCATAGACCATGTTCACAAATATGCATTCGTGAAAGAATTGTTCAATCGCATACATCTCCTCCATCTTCATCAAGAGATCGACTAACTTGTCCTCTTTGAACATGAGAGACTCAACGGCACTCTCCAACCCCTTTATAATGTCATCCCTGATCTGTCTGCCCGCCCTTTGCAGCTGGTTCTTGAAATTCGTAAAATTGTGCATTTTCTTCTTTATGTGTTCTATTCTTTTATAATGCTCGATACCAACGTTTTGCCACGAATTAATTTCATTCAGATATTTTACCGTAGCACCTCTGATCTTTTCTCTAAGTTCCCTTTCCTTCTCTGTTTTGTATTTCTTTATTTCATTTTTTAGCTCTGCAAAGTGTTCTAAACTTTTCATTTTTTCTTTTTCAAGACTTTTTAACCTATCCATACATCGTTTTAACTCTTTCTCGTTTTGTTCAGCAGCGTTGTTGTATCCATGATTGCTTTCTGTGTCTCTCAACCGCTTGATTTTGCGTTTTAGTGCTTCTCTTTCCACAAGCAGGTCGTACATGGGGTAACAACGTGAGGTTTGCTATTTTAATAATGGCTAGGTAATTAAAATATGTGGTAGATTACACTCAATATCGCTTCAATACGGTAAATAAACATGTGCAATTAAACATGTTGCCACAAATTCATGTTCTTTTACTTTGATATTCCAAATATTTTTGTTTTAGAGCCATTATTTGTGATACTTTATCAGAATACTCTTTAGCTAGTGCTTTTATACGCCATATAACTTTTTAAGAATATTCAGGTGGTCTTTTTTTGTGAAAAGTAAATATTGCATCGTATCATTGCGGCGAATGAGCGCTGATATTGCCGTCAATCTTAACGTAGCCATTCTGTCTGAACATTTGGAACTGCTGAATAGATATTACGCAGCATATACCAGTAAATCGACAGCAAATTATTTCAGCAGAAAAACGCAATGTTGGTGTTGCGTCTAAGTTTATTCCCGTGTCGTACCAATTGTTACATCAGAACACTGTTAAAAAATAGCCTGCACTGTGTATTTCTTCAATATCATTATTCGTGTTTATTGCGCAACTTTTTATCTTTTCTTACCACACCCATTCACAGCGATGATCAATTCTTTTAAAAAATTTTTGAAATGCAAGGTGAAAATAGAGCTGGAGGATAGAAGGTTCTTCATCGGAAATCTACTGGCCATAGATGAATTTTTGAATATTGTTTTGAATGACACCGAGGAACACAGGAAATATAAGAATAAAAAAGGTTATGAAACAAGGAACTTGGGATTGTGTGTATTTCGAGGAAGCAAGGTGATAGGTATAAAAACGGTCGATAAAACCACCAAAAATGATGAAATGATCGATGTAAAAAAAGCGTAAAGTTTAACTAAAAATATTATACTGCTTTTCGTGTTTGCATTGTGGAGTACTCCTCGCGGTGTGGCACTTGGTATGATCCTACAGTACAACACTAATCGTATTTACACTGTGGAGTACTCCTCGTGGTTAATATTCCGCTCACATTTACCTCACAATACGGTGCCATTCATGTATAAAAACACCAAAATATGTCAGCAAACAACAAACAAACTGGCAAAGATTGATTTTCTTTTCAAATATACTTTGATGTAGGAAGGTAATGCTGATGTTTATCATGATCGAAAAAAGAATGTACTGCATCGGTTTGGTGTGTAATGATAGCTTGGTCAGACAAACAGCGTTCACAGTGCTAGTAACCACAAATATTAAATCGAAGAGTCGGATCGATTTGTCGTCCTTATTAAAAAGCATTGATATTAGGTTAAAAACGATGCTGTTAAAGGTAAAGGTGAAGATATAGTTCCAATAGCTGCTGATCATCTTCTTAATTCTCCGTTCAAATACTATGTATGCGCTTGCACTCAGGAAATTGCCGAAGATCACTACCAAAACGTAAGGCGAAAATGATTTCTCTGTGCTGTACAATTTATAATTAGAGATGATGTTCGTTACTATTATTAGAACAACACCAGTGATCTGCGATGCTTTACAACTTTTTTCGATGAATATATTGGACAGAATGAATATAAAGATCAGCTTAGTCTGCATACAAGTCGAGATTACAAATAGGTTGAGATACTTTACAGCATCCGTAAAACATATACTGGAGATAAAAAAGAACAGTGCCACAACGCTTATATTCATATCTAAAGGCTTCTTCTGTGTTGAGAGAATGCTTGAAGTTGCCATTTTCAACATATTCTGCATAAGGATGATCAGATGAGGAGAAGAGTTGTTCCGGTACACTATTATTTCGTAAATACCGTTTGCTATAGAAAATAGGCCGTATATTGCGATCAAGACGTATAAAAAAAGTTTTGACATGGCAAGGGAGCCCAACAAAAAATAGCAAAAATAACTGGCACTATTTTTGGTGATCCGTTAATACTGCCCGTAAGTCTCTGTTTTCAGAGGATCCCTTTGCACCAAACATTTACTCATTTTTCATCATTTTTTTAATACTGAAATAAATCAAAAAGTGCTGCAACTCATTCATTTTAATTTACCGGCTCATCACGTACTTTTATAAATTCCAAATTTATTTAGCGTATCAGCACACAAGGACAGATTTGAGGATAGTTTGACAGCATAAGGCGGTTTAACCTGGTATGTGCCAAATTTATGACTCGATGTAAAATAATGGTTATAGCCGCTAGAAATTGCTTATATATGTTAGTTGTGGACAATAGAGCACCGTTTATTGGTAGAGCTGTAGAAATGCTCTGCAGCCCACGAATGTGTTGACCTGATGGGCTAAAACATTCAAAAACTACGCTCATAAAAGCTTAATGTACCATTTTAATGGATTGTAAACCGCTTATATACACAAAATGCGTTTTTATTTCTTAGGGCTTTTCTTAACGAGAACACCTTTCAATGCCTTATTTTCATAGATCAGAATGCCCAGATATGTCAATGAACATGAAATAAACTTGGCAATTCTCCTCTCGTCCTTGAAAATCAGAGTGTTCACAACCGTGGTCGTAATTTTAATGGCAATGGAAAGGAAATTGCGTTGCAGTGGGTCTAGCTCTATGGAGATGTATGCGTATGCAATCATTTCGATTGTGTGGGTGATAAACGATATCTGCAACCCGATATCATTGAGATAGACAAAAACATTTTTCTCTTTCAAGTACAGAAGCTCAATCGGAAACAGGAGGATGTTAAATATGAGAAGAGTGAAGGAATAGGTGTACATGTAGTCCCAGAAATGTACGATATGGTGTCTTAATTGTCTGTCAAAGTATATGAGCCCCACAGCATTTAAGAAATTACCAAACAGGAACAAAAGGACACACACCATCTCATCGCTCGCATGAGCCGATAGATCGCTGTTAGAAATCAATATTCCCATCGATATGGTCAGCATACCAGCAATCTTGTCCCATCCATACACCTTGTCGTACAGCAACCTTGTTATAACGTAGGTAAACAAAATTCTTGAGGGCGCGTTTATTGCCATCGTTACGGCGCTCACTCCTTTGTAGGCTATTAAGTAGATGAGAGACGAAACAAATATGGGAAACGAGGTGAATACCACACGCCTGTCGTAATAAACACGGGTGTTGGCATACGCCAGGGCGCATAAGTATTTGAGCACAGATGGCACGAAAGAGATGACACAGCGCGGAATGTCTTTTTTGATTATTTTCTGTCTTAAAATGCCGTTAATACATGAATATGTGAAAAACAGCACAATATACAGAAATTTTTCGCGCGGCGACATGGGCATGGGCCGGACAATAAAATATAATTTATAGCTTTTAATCAATGAATTGATACAAGAATGGCATTTATTCACCAAAAATTATTTTTTAAACAGTGGTATCTTTTGGTTTGTCTCGTGGGTATGAGGCACGTTGTGCAATCGTTGCTTATCTTGTAATAAAATGCGGTTTATTCTCCAGTAGGGTTAACGGACTGCCCTACACTTCAAGTAGCGTGATAAGAATGCAAATATATGATGTCTTTGGTGTGTGGGAGGATGAGTAAATTACTCTTTGTAAAAAGGTGCGCAAAGAAAGTGTAGATGAAGAGTGCTGAGCTTCTCAAAAAAGAACCGAACTATGAACGCATCTCTTAGTAAATCAGTCACTCAGCAGACCGGTAAGATGCATTCCAAAGCTGTATAGTAATTAAGACTCTGTGCTATTGCAAAAAAATCACTCATTCATAATGCAGTGGATGAACTCGGTTCAGGTTCAAATACAGTTATGGACGAATTGCGCATCTAATCGGTTCTTAGTATGGTATAATTAACTTCTTTATGCAATTTATTTGTTGTGCCAGTAAGGCAAGCATAGCTGCACATGTCTATCAGGTTACACTTTGATTTTACAACCATTAATTGGTACTGTTGGCTTCATGTCTTAAGCTAAAATATAAATTCGTATAAACATTTTTATATACCAATCTGGTAATAAAAACGAAATTTTAACTCCTTTACTTCTCCCCATCTGAAGTGATAAACACATGCTTTTTATTCGATGAACACTTTCACCAATTCTTCAGTTCTCGTCACCCATAGTACACTTTTAAAGAGGAATTTAATCTTTTTCAACGCGTATGGGTGTCGTGCAGCCCTACCTGATAATTAGTCTACAGGATAGACCGCCAAGTAGATCTTTAAGCATACGTAATGAACCATAAGTAGGGCATCGGCGAACTATTATGAGATCTTGAAAGTATGGGACACGCTACTCCTACAAACTAGAAGTTGTCAAGGTATAAATATGCGCGTTTATACACTGAGATTAGACTGAACCAAGTGCTGATAGATTTAATCGCGTCACAAAATTAACTCCTTTACTTCTTTTGGTCTATTCAATGTTGTAGCACTGTGAACCATCACTTCCCTCATGGTTGGATATCAAGACACTTCTCTGCTCTGTTTCTTAATGATTTTCTTCAGGCTCTTCAATTCAAACATTATGAGTCCAACGTACGTAAGAATACAGGCCAGCACACTATGAGCACTCGGAGAAGTCTCAAACAGAACGTTCGTCAGTATGGTTATTGTGACAGCACAGACAATATGGTTCAATCCCCTCTGTAGAGGTGTTAGCTGGAACGAAATGTACGCTATAAGAAAAGTTTCGGCCGTCTGTGCGAGCACATTCAGATAAAACTCCTTGTTACGCAAATATGGTGCAAAATCATAGCTTGAGAAGGAGTACTCTAACATAAGTTCCATGGTGGATATTAGAAGGTTCAGGAACGTATACGTGTACATGTACTCCCAGTAGTTCATGTTCTTCTGTTTTATGGTCCTATCGAAGAAAATGCAACTCACAGAGTTGCAAAAGTTTCCGAATAGCAAAAATAACAGGTATTTCACGTTAGTACCTTTTTCGCTTGTGTTGTTCCTGAGATTAGCGATAGAAAACCCAACAATTATCATCACCAGCGCCAGGTGTTGCAAAAATGTGTACTTTTTGGCATAAAAGAATTTTGACAGGATAAAAGTGAAAATAATCCTTGTGGGTGTGCAAATTGCCAGAGTAACAACACTGATATGTTCTGCGGACAATAAAAAAATGTATGTCGAGATTGAATACAGAACCACAACTACAATAATTCGTCGGTCAAAATGTCTTCTTTTCTTGGCAAGGAAAAACGTAACGGGGTACTTGAGCAACGAATGAGCGAATAAAATCAAGGCTTTGGGCACCTTTTGCTTCACAAACTTCATTTTAAAGACGCCGCACACCACGAGGTACGTACAGATCAGCGATAGCAGCAAAATTTTGTGCATGGAAGGGCAATAAATCTGGATTCGTGTAAAATTGGTAATGTGATATTGAACTGCTGGACATGCCGGGCAGGTTAACTCTGGAGATCAAAGGCGAAAAGTAGTGGTAGGTGCCAGTGTACCGCGACAAGTGTGCTAACAGTGGGATGGCGGGGTGTGTTCGACAGATGGGGACAATTTCTTAAAATAGCAATTTTCTCAACATATTTTTTCATTAGAAATCGTTGATTCCGCACAACACCGCTAACGCCAAGAAATCACAAAGAAAACATTTCTTTTGAGTAGCGCGTAAATAGATGTGTATGATACACAAATACTTGTTGTAATGATACGCTCAGATAGGATGCCTTGAAGTATATCATTATAAATCGAGTGATCTATACAGGTAGCCCATGTTGTGAAAATTAGTGGGTTCAGTATTGTTTTTTTGTGTACATACAGAGTTGTTTCGTACGCAATGTCCAACCCCTATGAAAATTCTGGTAGCACCGCGTATTGCTAGGAATTCTTCATAAAACCAGGAAAAATACGGTCCTGTCCAGTGGATCACCATTTTACATTTTTTATTGACAAATCGTTTTAAAACTTTTGTGATATATCAAAGCTTACCCCTATGAAGAAAGAGAACGATTCCTCCACGGATGAAGAATCAGTCGAGAATAACCTGAACATATACACACTGCAAAATATAGAGAACTACGCGCTCAAAGAATATCCTACGCTGCCACTTTACGAGTACCCAGAACCTAATCTAGATACGCTTTCGCCAATATGCTATAGCACAGTGCAAAAACCGGAATTAAAGCTAGAGTTGTACCATGAAGAGACCCTTTTCTATATTTTTTACACGTATACAGAGACATCGGCACAGATCAAGGCGTATAATTTACTCATAGCCAAGGGATATTCGTTCTCCACGATCTATAAGTGCTTCATGCTTTACACGGGAAAGAAGATAGTCGATAACGCGAATAGAAAAATTGTCATTTTTGATCCTTTTTATTGGAAGAAAATAGAAAAGAATGTAGTCTTTGATAAGAATTTTGTTGATTCCATCAAGGGAATAGTTGAGTTCAAATGATTTAGATGCAAATACACTCCTGGTAAATAAAAATTTTAAAGCTACATGATTGTATCTGCAACTTTTCACGCGCAAACTTTTGCTAACGTATGGATTACACTAATTTCTACTCACTATCTCGGTGGTATAACCAAGGTAATGAACAGGTCTAATTTTGTTCAGAATACCCGGCATGTTTATTGACCTGTTAAATTTGGTTCAAAGTTAAGCTACTAAGTAGGTACGGCACATTTATATGAGCATGGATTAGCAACATCCTTGCAAGATTGAAGGGACTATTCGAACGATTGCACATTCTGCTAAAACCATGATTTATTTTTTGTTGTTTCTTAAATGAATGCGCTCGATCAAAATGTTTAATTGATCAAATGCCAACAACCAACTACTTTTATGAACAGTTCGTGCTAAAAACATTAACCTCGCATGACCTAAACCAAACAACGTATTCTTTTAGCAACAGGTATGTTGCCCGGGTTAACCATTTTTGAAAGTCTGTTTAATTATCATCTCACAGCCAAAAACACCAACTAACACCTGATTTTACTATCAATTGCAAAAAAATGCTGTACTGTATGCTGGTAGTAATGTGTTATTGATGAACAAATTATGAACATAAACAGAGGATGATATTAGAAACGCATTTTAGTGCTCTGTATTCCACATATTCTGTGCTACCTCTATCAAGCCGGGAACGAGTGTTGCAAAGTAAAATGAGCGTGCGATATGCCATATACATCAGGAATGTGTATTGAAATGAACCGTACCCTACTTTAAAGGACGGTGACCGTTCTTTGATGATCCTTATGGTTGAATCGTTAACCAAGTGTAGATTTTGTTTGTCACGTTGTATGATATGGAAGTTCAATAACCAATCAATTTTCGTTTCGCAGCCATTTCTACGTCACAGGATCAGATAAATATGTTTGTTCGAACGGGCGAGATAACAAATGAATGTGTTTTAGCGCAAAATGTGTTTTTTGAATGGCGATAAACGCGTAAGCAATAAATGGAATAATTTACAAGAAAAGATAAGGTGGTTTAGACCAATAAAGCAGGGATGCTAACACATTAAGTTAATATTTGTTTTAGAAAGCTCCTAAAATTTTAATGAGAAATAAAACACAAAGATTGAGGTTTTAGCATTAAATGCTTGCAAGCGCGAGATATGCGTCGTGAGTTACAGTTCTTACAGATAAACAGATTATAGCGGTGCCTGTTTTGATTTACATTTGAATAGCGTTTCATTCATAAATTGTTCATGGATAGAATACGGAACCAATTTTTATGAAAAGAGTGGTCAGGTATTTTATGCTTAATACCAGCGGATGTCGAAGAATCAACCGTAAATACAACAAATATGCAGTAAATTATATTTTATAGGCTATTGCAGTGTTATTTATCCGTAATTGAATGCTTCTGTTCTGAGCACCTAATAACCGGAAATACAAGCTACCGGGTTAGTACCCTTATGCAAAAAATATTTTTAATTGCTGGGTTCATCATATTTAGCGTGGGCAACGGGATCTTTAGAAGATATTTAGCCGCATGCTATTCATCCATTACCTTTATAATATTGCTGCAAGGGCTGGTGCAGTTTACCGCGGCCCTTTGTGCAGCAAAGAAATATTCATTTCGTAGTAAAAGGATACTTTTTTTGGTAATATGCAGCTACGTATCGCATATAATTGTGTGGGTATCAAACAAAAAATTGACATCCATCGCATACGCCCTCACAGAACCATCAAAAATTTTATTTGTGGTCGTACTATCGATGTTCATGTTAAAACAGCGATATACTGGCCTGCAATACCTTGGCGTGTTTATGATAATTCTTGGCATTATGGCATCCACATTGGGGAAAAGCGATAACCCTAACGTGGACAAACCACTTTACTACTTTGGCTTGGCACTGTTTGGTTGTTTTTCAGCCGCACTGAGCAGTGTCTTTTTCGTAATGTCGTTTCCAAGAAATTCTATCAAATTTTGGGATTATATCTTTACTTTCAGCCTATACGGCCTTTTACTGTGCACTGCTGGGTTTCTGCTTGAATTGAAATTGGTGAAGGAACTCGCAGTAGAGGACATATCCTGTGATTTGAAAGTGCTAGCGATGGCAGTCACCACAACGATCGAGTACCTGGGATATAGATTTATAGGGTTCTGTACATGTCCAGTGGAGAAAAATCTGATTGTTATCATCATTCAGGTATCCATTCCAATTTTTTACAACGCGTTCTTCAAGAAAGAATTTAATAAAATTGATATTATCGCTTGTGTTGTAATCTACACAGGCACATTCATCTTTGAACTGAAGAATTTCTTAGCTTATTTCCATAAAAAAAGAAATTAGTAATACTTCTGTTCTTTACTCAACAGCCGATGGCTTCTACCAAGCAATGTTTTTTGAGCGGTTGTACACGCCGAACAGCAATATTTCTATGTGCAATTTATTAAACTCTTTAATCATTTCTATTCGCTCAATGCAGTAAATGACCGGCATCAGAGTAATATTTTTTTTGCATGTTTTTTTAACCACCACTTCGTAACCACAACACATAAACAAAATCGGGATGGCACGTGATATAATCAGAGCGTATGTTCGCTCAATTATTATCCTCTCACGCCAGATTTATACACCACATTCTTCTTAACAGCAGTAATGATTTAATTGATTCATCCACGTTCAAATTACCGTCTCTCATGTCCATGTTAAACAAAATTATCCTTTTAAACACGATATCTGGTACTACGGATAGTCAGCTGAGGCTGTTTTCTACTGTGTTATGAAAAGAATACCTTAATACAGGTAATAATAACTGGCAAATAACATTAGTAGTAACAAACAATACGGCTATTGTACGAACTTCTGGTCCAAAAAATTACACTTTAATGTTCATATCGGAGTAGTGGATGAAAACAAGTCCTTTGAACTGTGAAATTCCTTCTAGGTTGAAGGACAACATATGGTAAAATAAATTAACATGTAACAGCAAAATATGGTTGTAAGAATTATGATCAATACTTTTTTTGAAGTGTTCGATGTTTGTTATGATAATAACGAAATTCCTTGAGGTTATTAATTGACCAGCTGCACTATTTCCGTTTATATAACGAAACAAAGTTGGATTGCCTATGAAACAATATTTGCATCCTTTAATATATCACATTACGTTTTCTCAGATACTTTCGCATGCTTTGATGAAGATTAAAGAAGCGATTGTTATTTGGTAATCATACCATTTCAGTGTTTATTACGGAAAACAGATAAGCATGTCTTTCAAAAACGACTTGAATGACAACTTCTAATTCTCTATTTTTCCAAATGTGAAAAAATTTTTGCTTTTTTCTCAACCTGATGACTAGCTATCAAATTGTCATCTTACCATATTGATGATAAGTGTTTATAGCGGCAATCATCCACCAAAATAATGTAGTCAATTCACAAGTAGAAGGAAAGCAATGGTTGTGCCGTATAAATATTCGTTATTTTATCAACTTCACTGAGAAAAATTGAACTAGAAAGTAAAATTCTACTTTGTACTCAAAATAAAAATATTTTGATATATTTTTATCATACAACAATAGTAATCGAGTATTTACATGATGTATCGAGCAAATCATTCCTGTAGGTGCTTGTTAGATCGTGTAATACTTAAGTTAAAGAGTGTTATGCAGGAATACATTGTATTTTACTGAGTTATCGTTACTCATTAAAACTGTTTAGAGCTCATAGAACCATATTTACACATTTAAACATATCTTGAATCGTTGCACACCGACTTTACCGCCATTATTGGTAAAAGTTCTTCTTTTTTTAGCTTATCAACACCGTGTAAGGAAAAAGCTAAAAATGAAACAAAATCAAATTGATATCCCACAAATTTCAATGATAATTCTACAGCTTGTTCTTGTAAGTTGCTCCCAACTCAAAGACGAAGACGCATGTGATTTGGTTAAAATTTCGGTTCAGGAAGTTGGTAGTGGTTCTAACACAAATTTTTCTAGCGGGTTAAATGAAATGAAAATAAGCAGTTCGAATAAATTAGATAATATTGAATCGCTTCATGACACGTCAAACGGTGCACAGGCAAAACAAAGTGACTTAAACCAGCAGCCAGGCAGTGCATCCGCAGAAATATGCCAAAAACAAACTAGTGATGAGCATTCGATGTTACGAAGCCAATTTAGTTCATATGTGGTCCATGGTATGAGCGAAGCTTGTCAAGTGGGTGAAAAAATAAAAGATCACGGGACGAGTTTACTAAAGGAGGACGAACCAGATCCAGCAAATATAAACGAGAAAACGTGCCAGGAAGCGTGTTTAAACCCGGAAACAGGTGATTTCACATTGAAAATCGAAGAAAATACACAATCTTTATCAACAACCAGCTCATCCGATTCGGCACTTACTAAACCAACACAAGAGATGAAAAAAATCCAAAATCCTGATCGGAGAACCTTATCCTTGGATACGCAGTGTTCAAATATAAACCTTATTAATGACGAAAAAAAGCAAATCATAGGCATAAAGCTTTCTTTATTGCAATCTTCATCCCGCGGTAATTTAGCTTATTCTTCAAATGATCACCGAAATAGAATTGACAGTGATAAAGAATCATATAATTCCATTGATGAAAAAAGCCGCAAAACCGGTGGAACAAAGTCGGTCTATTATAAAAAAGTTTACGAAGAATTTATACCAAAAATCAATAAAATGATCGCTGCTATTCATAGCTTTTCACTATGTGAATACGATCGAACTATAATTTATACGTATTTTGGTAAATCAAGAGGTATTTTTTGGTATTTTAACAGAAAAGAACTAATAGATGCGTTAAAAACTCTCGAAACAGGTTTATTTAGATTTTTGAAAGGCAATTCACTGAAAAAAAAATCATTTGATGCTAACGTCTTTGACAGTCTTTCTGAAGAACTGAATTACCTTAGTATAATCTTGAAGAAAATATTTGATGCAAACACAAGATTTGGGGAAATCCATAAAATTTTTGCGAAGCATTTGATCAATTTGAAACGAATATCTAAAGGACTACTCAACAAAAAGGACAGTAAATTTATCGAAAGTAATATGTGCTTTGTAGTTTCATTGCAGCGAATATATACCTTTAAACACATGTTCCTATTAAAGATGAAAGCGCTGAAGATGGATCTAGATACCGTGAGACTTTGTACGTTCAATAGAACTAATCATAAGTTCATGTGCCATAATGCTTCCTATCTCATAGAGGCGCTGAGTGAATGGAATCAGGCTTTTAGTGATTTAACACATCCTATTCTGACAGAGTCCGTTTATCGAGCCACAAATGAATCGCTTGGAAAGCTTTTTGGATATTTTCAACTTTGGGTGGTCATCTATAGGGAGATAGTGGTCAATAATTCTATGTTGTGTCAAAGAATACAATACCTCACTAAAACGGTACTTAAAACCCAAGAAGTTATTGATAATATCGATGACACATCCTAATGGATACATCAAAACAATGAGACGAGCATTTACCACAATAAAATCGCTTTAAAGGATTTACCGTGGGACTAACTAAAATTAGCTATGATTGAAGAGATTTAATACGAATAAACACGTCTGTCATAGTAGTTGTCGTACATATTTTAATGACCGTTTGGTTATCTTAAAAAGATAAAATCAAACAATCCCCGTGATGATTCAATACACAAATAAACGTACATTTATCGACAGTAGCAGACCTGTTATCATAAATAATTTGGCAGTTTTTTTGCTTTTCCTGACGAATGTTGGCATAAATTATTTCCAAACCCATCTGTTCCGGGATAACACCGTAGAAACCTTTCTGAAAACGTTAATTACATCGATTTAATCTCATTATTAGATTTTTATGCTCCATCTTTAGTTACTTTGCGATAATTATTGTTGTGCATATTTAAACGCAGGACCAGGGTATTGAGCTATATCAAAGCGTATTGTCTGATTCATGACACAAGATTATTCTATTTTGTGTTTCATATTTATTTTGATTTTTATTTTTTTTGAACAGCATTTAGGACAGTTTTTAAGGACATGCAATAAAACTATTGAATAACAGATTATACTATGACGAGTTATAATTTAGATCAGTACTTTTATCGAATGAGCGCAGCTTATCGAGATCAGAGACGCTCATTGACATCGATCATTAACTATTTAGAAGGTAAATGCAGGCACAACCATTACGAGCAAGCTTGATTGTTCCTACTTGGTTGTAGAAACCGTGTGTTGACACAGTGCCGTGAATCACATAAGAAACAGCAATATTCTAAATTACGGGCACTATAACGCATTTATTTTTCTACGTGATCATAAAACAGATTCTTTACCACCAAACATGTGTATAAAAACGCAAAACCGGTCACTATCCATCTCTCAGTTTTCTCTAATCCCACAGTCAAAATACAAACAAGGGGCACAAGCGCATACACGTAGAAATATGACCTAAAAAACGTAGCCAATCCCAGAAGGGAGAAAAATGCTAGAATATATTTCTCTGTCACGGTGGAGTCAATATAGTTCGATGGATCAAATTTTTTTACCTCCATTTTGAGGGGCAGAAAGTGTTGCTCAGTCCAAATATTTCCGAATTTTAGTAATCTAAGGAAGTAAGAGACGTAATAACTATGACAAGACGCGCAAACATTATAAATTTACACAGTAATTACGTAGTACTCATCAATATCATCATTGATTGCTGCTAAAGTGTATATTTGATTCTTTTTAAGCCTTGGACACTTTGAACTCACCACAGTGTGATGGAAATCAAATTCATCGAATAAGGAACATTTTACTTGATCACATAACCTGAACGGTTCGTCATTTAAACCAAGTTTCATGTATTACGTAACAAATTTATGGATTATATCGTTTGTCAGGCAGAACCGTGTTACTGATCCATGGTAAAATTTCGTGCGTATTTCTCTTATTTGTATCCCTACTTTCTTTTTACGACCGTCGGGCATCTTCTTCATTTGACAGTTCTTCCGTTTTTACTTTTATTATTCCATCCAACCCATGCTGGTAAAAGAAAGACTATTTCTTAAAAACATGTTTTTAGCGATAATACTCAGCATCATAGTCATTTTCATACATTTTAATGAGGAATACAACGTATATGTTGACCAAATAACAACTAGGAACAACAAGCTACATAGATTTTTGGAACTAAATGCAGATAACTACAGAGAATTGCTCAGCGATGACTGGATACTGTCTGTCAACTATAAAATAGACCCGTACGAAGAAATGGGCATTTACGAGTTGTTGTACACCGTAAATATCGCTTTCCTGTCTTTGAACTCGTTTGAAAATGTACGTATATTTGATTTGCTTTGTCTTTCTAAGATACCGGCATTCTACTATGTTAAAAATGGTGTAGTGCTGGATCAAGGCAACAAAATTGTGACTTCTTTAGACTTAGATAGAAAGAATGACCTGATTAATGTGGTTGATTTCTACATACTATCAAAAGTACACGATATGTACGACTACTTGCGTAAATTCATGAAAAGGATGCACTAATATGTTTAGTATACGTGTACGAGCAGATAAAAAATAAAAAGTGTTACATGTTTATTCCTAGAGATGTCGACCAGCAAGTAACAGAATTGTTGCTTTGGACACGATAAGAAGAATGAGGTGAACATGTTTGTTGCATTGTAAATAGTAGCCCTCATCTCTCCCAAGCTTCTTAATAAGTTAAATACCAAGTTTGTGTCGAATGCAATAAAATATTTTACAAAGTCATTTCCAATTTGTACTGCCTGCTAAAGCGTAAAGCGCTAAAAATGCATGTGTGCCACAGTCATTCATATATTTTTCAAAAATATAAACCGGCAAAAATGGGGTAGCACCAGGACTCGAACCTGGAACCTCCTGCACCCGAAGCAGACATCATACCATTAGACAATGCCACCTCATGACTGCCAGAAAGTGGACTTTATAAACTGTTTTTGTTTCCATTTACGTCTGCAACTCCTTTCAATTTACGCTTTAAGTGTCTTTCACGGCATAATTATACAACTTTGTACTGTTTATCTGCGATGTTCACCGCAAAATCACAAACAAAGTAGCTCAATTGATTTAATGTGATCATGGACACCATTATCATCAAAATGTTTGCCATGCACCTGCATAATTTCGGTGTGTACTCGCATCTGTCATCACTAATAAATCATAAATTTATTTCATAGTGGGGCTAAAATTTTTTCACAACATATTTTTAATCGGGGTATTTTACAATATGAATTACTGGCGCGCAACAATCTGCTCAACTTCATTCAAATAAAAAAAGTTGTATTTTTCTCATATGAAATGTATTGATCAGAAAATTACTAAGCAGACCAAAAATATATTTAATCGGTTTATAAAAAAGCGAAAGTGGCAAAATTGGCTATTAGTTCAACATCATATAGGTATTTTGGCTTTAAAACATATGTCAGCGCATTTTCTAACGATATATTTGTGTAGATACGTTCAAAACAATCCTTATGGTGTACTGTAACTAGACAAGTAAGATGGAATGATGGCGAGCAAACATCAATCTTTTGCCAATAAAGTGCGTTGAGCTGAGTGATATCGAAGATTAACTGATAGATAAACATGCTTTTGGTATAAAGACAACTATTTTAGCACAGAAAGAAAGCATTAGGCCTTATGCCTGCATTAAATATAAACACCAGTATTTAATGGCCGATTGATCATAGCTTCATAGCACGCACCTGAGATATAATATTTTTAGGCATTGTAGATCGCCCTATTTTCTTGAACACCTTGTATGAAGCTTTTCTCACGATAAGCGATGCATATTGACAAGCCAGCACCTTATCATCGTAAACATTGGTCAGATACGCCAGCAAGCCACAAAGTACATCTCCTATACCACCACATCGTCGCAACCCCGATTTGTTACTTATCACTATTTCAGAACTGCCATGAAGTATGGTATCGACCGGTCCTTTTTTCAGCACGATGTCCTTCTTTAAATCAACTTTCTTCAGATACTTCTCGCTTTCATTTCTGTTAGGTGTAAAGATCACGGTGCCAGAATATGTAAAATTGACTTTGTCCCAAAGATGCAAACCATCACCATCAACAATCAAAGGAACACGAATTTTGTCGACTATTCCTTTTACAAAAGCTTCAGCACGTTCATCCAACCGTCCTAACCCCGATCCTAGGACACAGCAAGTAATTCGTCTCAAGAGAAATTCGTGTTTTTCAAATTTGAATTGGTCAAAACTCAGAATTATACACTCTGGCAAAAGTGTTTTCAATGGTATCAGTGCACTGCCATCACACAGTACATAACACAAATCGATGCCTGTAGCGTATGCAGCCTTGCTTACATAATACGGTGCTCCAACGTAAAGATCACACCCACCTATCAGCAGAAGAACACCCGAAGATGTTTTATAATCTGTTACCGCACATTTTTTAGGTATTGTATAGTTTTTGGGCAGTTTAGAGATTTTTTGGTTTTCAGGTTCCATGAAGGCCTTCATAAAACAAAGCAAATATACAAAGTACCAACGTTGATATGATATGTGCTGCTCCTAGTATACCATACACGACTATTTATACATCTCTTAGTCAGCAGCTACGAGTAGCAGACCTGCAAATTACTTAATCGGTGGCCAAAACGCGGTAGAGAAATCAACAATGAAATGGTGCCACCAAATAAATATTAAAAAATGATAAATCTAAAAGCATACATGTAAATGCAAACACGTGCTTGTAGCAATGGAAGATAAAAAGAATTGCCGCGTTGTGCTGATACTATTTATTGAACTACAACCCGGCGTAGGACCACAGTAACTAAACAATGACACCGCCAACACATTGCATATGGAACATATTTATGGCTTAGAAAGATGATTTATTCAATACTAGCATGCAAATATGATATTTAAAATAATACTGCCATGTTTTACGGTTTAATCAGTCTTTATCCGTCCGAGATAACCACCTGTGCAGCAGGACGTACATAAAATGTACCACTTGAATTGCCTCACAACAATTCGGCACTTTCGAACAGAACGCGCGATCAGAAAGACGACAGTAAAAAACTACCACCTACTGCTTATTTCAATTTTCTAACAAGTATTTTGTCTCAGCATGATTTCCGATTATTTTTATGTCATTTTTGATAGACCAGGCCAGCCTTCCCAACTCTTTTGTCAGCCCAAAACAACCAAAAACTACAACGCTCCTAATGTGCTTCATATTTGTGATATATCCTATGACAATGTCGTCATCAACATTTTCGTTAAAGCTGATGTTTAAATACTCGAGCTTGCTGAATTGGTTCAATTTCATCAACTCGTCCCTGGGATAGTTAATTTTTGAGATATCCAGAACTTTTAGCAAATTGTTGTGTAGTGGAAGCGTAAGACTAAAACAGTTAGCGGCTCTAAGCTCTTCCACCGTGTCTATACCGATGTGTTTTATTTCTGATATTCCTTCAATGTTTAATTTTCTTAGTCGAGTAAATTTGCACAGATCTATGTGATTTTTGCCGTTTGCGAAAAGAACTGGACAGTTAGCTATCGATAGCTCCTCTAAAGTGATGTGTTCGTTCATTCCAAAAAATCTCTCACCGATCTTTGTTCCATCGGCAATGATCTTTTTTGGGCTTATTGTCAATCGGCTCTCATCGGTAAGGCCGTAACAATAACTGATATTCAGAGACTCTAGATGAATGAGCTGGTTGACCCGTGTGATAAAATTGTCTCTGAGCCTTGAGCAATTGCTGACATCAATTTCTACCAACTTGCTCATTCTTTGTTTCTTCTTGCTCATATATGGCATCAAATCTACGTTTTCAAGCAAAAACGCGCCCGTCAATTTTAAAACCCTCAGATCAACGGCATAACTGAGTATTTGTGCTATGTCTTTGTCCTTCATTTGTCCACAATAGTGCAGCTCTAAATGTTCAAAATTTTTGTGAAGCTCAAATTCTTCTATCATCGAACAGTCATACACCACGAGCTTTTTTGTGGCGTACTCAACCAAAACATCAAATATTTGTGGCGTTAAAAGCCTATTATCGTATAGAAACTTAGAATACTCTACTATGTGCTCGTCATGCAGTTTAAAAGCAGTTAAATTTGCGTGTACTTTTTGTAAAACAGCGGTTCGCAATGTTTCTTCCCGTCTCAGATTGACAATCTCAATAGGTCTACTATATCTGATTCTTTTGGTCCTCGTGGCACCAGTTACTTTTTTTAAAGACTGCCCATTTAACGTTGAACTGCACTCATCAGCACCACTCAGCCCCACCACAACCCTATCATCACAATTTTCCTCTTTCTTCTTATCTTTAATCGCTTTCTTGCCATCCACCTTGATGTTTTCCTCCTCTAAAAACTTTGATAGTGCACTTCTCGGTCCTCGTATGCTCATAAAGGGTAAGTAATTGACCAAAAAAGCCATTTTCTATGAAGTAAGCAGCTAATACATGATCACTGTGCGTTTATACTCGATAGAGTTTTGGTACTGCATTTTCAGCAACTATCTTGAAAATAAAAGAATTATTTGTCATTTATTTGAACTACATTGTTGACAACCAAATGACGCGCTTGTTTAGGTCGTGCTATGTTTGAAGTTACAAATAAACAACTTTAGTAACAAAAACTACACAATCAAAGTTACAATTGTGGTGACTTCAATTAAAAATCATAAAAAGTACCAAAAACTCTTTACTACAACTTCTTTGACATATTTTCATCTTTCCAGAAATATGATTGACAGCTCTCTCAATATCACAAACAATTGTAAAGAAAGCGGGACAAGGGAAAAATGAATCAAAATACTGTCAAAGAACGAACCGTGCTCGTTTTGACCATTATGTCATTCATATCCATAACAATACAAGCTATAGGTACATATAATCATAATACCTCGTCTATTGACTTTTGCCAACACGTCAAGACAAGATTTATGGGAATGCTATTGACAGAAATATTTATAATATATTTCTCCTGGCAGGTTATTTTGACGAGCAATAGCATATACTCTGTGAAACTGACATTCTGCCATCTCTATTTGCTCGTAAGCATCATGAACAAGTATATCTGTTCCAGAATGTCTATCAAAGCGGATGTAGTTCTCTTTATAGTGCGTGTTTTTTACATCAAATCTAATTATACAGTTTTGAGGAGCACAAACGTTTGTTACAGGTGCACTCATTATGCTGTGGAAGAAAACATGTACAATATTTTGAGGATACGCGCTTATATCTGCAATATCAATAGCTTGTATGTACTCTTTTCGGTTATAACTGCCATTTATAGTTTTATAAGAGAACTTTATTCCTTCTTTTCCATATTTTTGCTTCTTTTACTTCTTAATAATGGTTTGTCACGGTTTGACAAGGATGAATCAATCGCTATAAGAACTTCTTTTTTAGTATTTTATCTTTTCAATGTATTTTATAACCTATTTCTTCTGAAATACCTGTTCAAATTCAAAGAGTAAGTCGTTGTATCTAATTTAGTTTCTGTTCTATTAGCCAGTATTTCACTGTTATATCTCTCATCTGTCTGTTGATCCTTAAAAGCATCGATTTATTTCGCTTCGGAAGAGGCTTTAGAAGGTTCAGAACAGACAAGATTGAAAGACGTGGGTGTATGTGTTTAAAAGACCTGTGATTAAACCTGATAGTTACAACAGATGACGTGATCTGCGCGTAGTTCATGTTGAGCTCCGTTCTAAACACTATATTGATCTGCGAGCAGGTTACTCAAATTTATTTGGAAATGTACAACTCGATCTGTCACCATAAATAATCTGCTCAATAATATGGGCAGGTTTACATAATACAACAAGTTAAGGTGTGATTTTGTAGCAGTAATGCCCCTATCAAGCACGCATTAGAAAAGAGCGAGTGCTACCTCAGGAGTATTAATCACTTAACATTATGAGGTAATGTTTTTAACAGCAATTTATGGAAAAGGCCTATTAATTTTTATTTACCAATTGCTTTGTTCATCTTACAAAGCATTCCTGCAACGAAAATAACTCACAATGGTTTGTGGCAGCTTAAAATATGCATGCACAGTTCTGTCATACATGTAATTGCATGTGTACTCATTCAAAATACTTTTTATTTTCTTCGTAACGGTTTGAACTGCCAAAAATTGCGAATGTGGATGGGTCATAGTTTACAGGAAGAAATAACACGGATAGTAAGAAACATACTGTCATACCACACGATTTATACTTAAAATTTTATTGTCAAAATCAAGACAGTACGTTTGGTAACGATAGATACGACTACATTGATTTGTTCTCGCTCTTCTTGCAGCCATAAACGAACATAGATTCTTTAGTGAAATTTTTTATTCTAGATCCTAATAACCAGTTCATCACATTGTTGTGCTCTCAAAGCCTTGATAAACAAGCGAGCGATACACGGTAAATCATGCTACCTGCTCTTTATAATGTTTTACCACAGACAGGACGCATTGAACTGCTTGTGTGCGGTGTTTATGAAGCGATAATAAAACAGACTTTCAACAAAAGGACGAATTGAATAACATAGCGCGATCTCCAGATTTGATTGCTATAACAGCTCTATCTGATCAATTTCAAATACAACTACGAATGACACGGCCACTCTTGTTAAATATAGTGTATACAGCAACATACAGATTCTCCTGTACTCCTTTATTCAATGTTCCATCATCACGAGGTAAAAAGAAATATTTTTATGTTTGTGGAAAGGGAAGCACATCAAATCATTCTTACACGCTTTATAATCCATGTATCATTTACAACATCACTTCTCTAAATTAGCAATAATGCCAAAATCATATTTTAGCACCCTACGTAAATTTAAAAGGAAGAGTGCACATAATACAACCGTGTTATCGCTTGTATGTCAACAATCATATTAATTGTCGTACGAATCCTCTATAACAGTCCATTTTTACCGTTGATCGAAGGCACACCCCCCCTTCAATTTATCTCCGCTCCACTGACCCCCTATGACAAGCGGCTCTCAAATAAATTTTACTTTGCACACACGGCCAATCACGCATGTACAGTACAATTACGATGGCGATCTCATCTTTGCATGCTCCCTTGATTCCATAATATCGCTTTGGGATACAGAGGGCAATCTCAAAGGAACGTATAATGGTCACCAAGGCGCTGTAACATGCATGGACCAGACAGAGGAAGATTTGCTAACGGGCAGCGGTGATCGGTCCGTTATACTATGGGATATAACGACCGGCAAGCAGAAATTGTCCATGTCGTTTAAAAGTACCGTCAAAAGCGTCAATATAAACGATAATGATCTTCTGATCTGTTGCGACGACAGCTACAACAATAAGCCTGCGCTCAATTACTATGATGTACGAAGTAATTCGTTGATATTTAGTCTAAATCTTGATTATATTATCACCTCGTCCGTCCTGAAAAAACAGTTCTGCATCTTCGCTGACACCGAAGGGAACCTCAAAAAATTTGATTTCAGGAAGAATGAAACAGTACACAACAGCAAAATACATAATTCTAAGATCAATGAGATAAAACCAAGTCCCTGTTCCAAGTACTATGTCAGCTCGTCTAATGATGCCACCACTAAGATCTTTGATTCTGACCTTAAGGAGATCAAAATGTTCCAGTCAACCGAGCCGGTAAACTCTTCGTCAATTTTTTCAGAGAATAACATACTCGTTAATGTAGGAGGTATTCCAGCGCGCGATGTCACTTTGACAAGAGGTAAAAGGAAATTTGATGTAAATTTCTACGATATTGTGAAAGAGGAAAGGGTTGGGTTCTACTCCACACATTTTGGAACGATTAATACAGTAGATGTGGCCAGGGATGGCAGATCATTCGCCAGTGGAGGAGAAGATGGAATTGTTATCATGGTAAATTTGGGTGATGAATTTTATTCGGCACCGTTTACCCAGATTTAATAAATCGTTTTGATCACTGGCAGCATAGTTTGCGCTTCAATATTGCTTTATAACAGGCTTTCTGCACGGTTCATAATATTCTCAGCTTAATTTTTTCATCATCCATATGCCTACTTATCCGCAGATTGACAATTCGTTAATTTTGTAATTTAGCATATCAACAAATATTTGGTCGTAATAGGATATTCCATTCCTCAAAGCGGTATTTTATAATACGCGTGATCTTTTTGGTACGCTGAAACTTACCATGTCTTGCTCAGCCTTTGATGTGGTACCGATATTTATCGAAATTCGCGCTGCTCTTATAGCCCAAATTACTCACATAAGACATAAAAGCAGAATTATATACAAAAACGACGGAACCTAAATTAAAGTTTGCGTCGCAATCTTCGTAATTTCCATTCTTGTGGGTAGTATAACCACGCGTAGCACCAACCTTAATGTGTAATATTCGGTTAGTAACACATACTTCTATAAAACTAAATAATATTTTTTACCCCTAAAAATGACCAGTGATCTAAAGTCCTGCGAAGATATTCTCAACAAATTAAAGAGACACTCCAAGGCCACGCCGTTTTTAGAACCGGTTGACTATGTGGCACTAAAAATACCGGACTATCCGGAAAAAATAAAAACGCCCATGGACCTTAAAACAGTCTCGCAAAAAATGAAAGATTACACCTCACAAACTGAGTTTGTTAACGATGTTAAGCTGATATTTAGCAACTGCTATCTCTACAATGGTGAAGAATCACCTATATCGAAGATGGCACACGAACTTGATACCTATTTTGACAGTCTTTTAGGTAAAAGCCTGAAGAATAACGTGGACCTGGAGGTGTGCACGAATGTGCTCAACGAGTTGCTCAAAACAAAACACAAGAAGATTAATTGGCCGTTCTTAGAACCGGTGGATATCAAGCTTGTGCCAAACTATTTGAGCGTAATAGAAAATCCCATTGACCTGAGCACAATAAAACGGAAGCTTCCGTTTTATGAAAACCGCATCGAATTTTTTGCTGATCTTCTCCTCATGGTCAACAACTGCTACAAGTTCAACGCCAAAGGAACTGATATTTACAGCTGTGGCGAAGAAATGGAGAAGCTTATAGACAGGAACTGCGGTTTTCTGAACGAAAAGGACCTTATAAACAACATATCGCAATTAAAGTTGCAAATGGCTACGCTCTCGAGTACGATGTCGCTTTATGAGGATGTGCTTTTTCACGTGAGAAAGAAAGAAGGAAAAAGAAAAATATTCTCGCTTGATGAGCGCATTCGCATTGCAGACATCGTATCCAAACTTGATGAGGAGCGATGCGTTAAAATAGCGCTTATCATAAAGAAGAACGATCAAAACTTTTCCATCGCAGGCAAAGAAGAGGTTGAGGTTGATTTTAAGATATTGCCAGATTTTATTGTCGAGGAAATTGACACGTTTCTGAAGAAGGAGAACGTTAATATTGAGCAGAGTAGCGAATGTTGATTAAAAGATTATTACAGGAAATGCGTTGTTGTGCCGTTGAAAGTAGTAGTTAGGTCTTTTTAAGGGTTCCGTATGGAGCGAAGCAGTTCTGTGAGCAACCAAAAATTTGCTGATATATTTGAGATTGCAAAATCTTAAAATGTTACTTTTGTTTCTGTTATTGATTTTGCTGCAATAATTATGGAGTATACCTTTAGAAGTGTTATATGGCATAAATTATCATGATGCGATAATTTGTGTTTGTCTTGTCACCAAGGCGTTTGTTTTTAATCTGCTATCAAGATTGTCTCATGAATGCTCGTTTATTTAAACATTTCTCAATTCTTTCCATTAAAAGTATATTTTTTCATTCTCTCTTACGAGAGCACAGCGATGCAATAAAAATATTCTCGCTATATTGCTTAGCATTTATCACAGCCTGTGTGTCCTTCAGCTCAAGATTGCCAAATTTGTATTTGAGTACCGCATTTAACAGGCAACATATGTCATATCATGGCTGACACATATTAAATTTTTACAAAAGGCACCATTTGCGGTGGTGTGCTGTGCTCAAAAAGTTTACCAGTCAACTCAGGTCAGAAGTGATTCTCAGCAAAGAGAAACAAAGGTGTGTGAAAATAAGACAGACAAGCTCAGAAACGATGAGTGATTCTTGCACGGACGCACCTGAGCAGACATCAAAAAAATTCTCATTCAATAAATGATTTACTTGAATTCGTTGCGGCTTCCCTTCTTTCTACCTGTTCTTCGGGCACCTACCAAACCAACTCTCCTGTTAGGTGGAGCATGCCTAGAAATGGTACTGGAATGACCAATGTGCTGGTGATTACCACCACCATGTGGGTGCTCAACCGGGTTCATAGCAACACCTCGTGTCTTAGGCCACACCTTGTTCAAAGCCCTGTACTTGTGGTACGCCGCACCTGCTTTGAGGAGCGGTTTGTCATCTTTACCACCGCCCGCTATTATTCCTATAAATGCACGGGCATCCGCACTCACGCTCACTTTCTCACCACTGGGCAACTTCAATGTTGTTGTGTGCGCATCTCTGTTGTGAAATACCACGATGGCATACGTACCGCAGCTCTTTGCAAATCTACCACCATCATAGGGCTTTTTCTCTACCATTGAAACGTAACTGCCTTCAGGAATGTTCTTCAACTGCGTGCAGTTGCCCACCTTAAGATCAGCATTTTCACCAAAAACGAGTGTCTGTCCAACACTGATGCCCTCGGGCGCAACAATAAACGCTTTCAACACACCATTTCCGCGCGTCACACTCAGTTTAGCAACCGGCGCACCGCGTCCTCTCTCGTGAACAATTTCTTTTACAACTGCAGTGCAGCCCTCTTTAATGTCAGGAATGAGTACCTTGGGGTTCTTGTAGATGTTTTTAAATCTACGCTTGTTTTCTTCGCGTACTTTTCTGATGATCTTCCCCATTGAAGGGTAAAAATTTTTTGCAAATTTAGCGAAATAAAAGATTTGGAAAATAAAACGAAAGAACCTCACTTTATGAGCGTGCAGACAATCAGATAAAACAAAAAACAAACGTTTTACAAGCTTTAAACGCGTTATCTCGGCTTTCATTTAGTATCACGCACTTATGGCAGGGATAGAATTACCGATCAAACCCTCACCAATTCACCGCACATTTTTCTATCAGCAGATTAAAAGGACTGTAGAATGCAGCAAAATACTATTTTGTGTTTTGTACAGACGAATGATGCAATCACAATCCTATTTTACGCGAGATATTGTCTCACACGGACTATACAATAACGGACAAATAGGCACAGACTTTAATAGAGAAAGGTGAGCATTGCAAACAGAGCCAATTGCACGGTATACAGTTTAACCAAGAGATTCGCAGCTCCCGACATGTATTTGCAAAAAATACATGATGAAAAGATGTATTTTGTTTTGTACACGAACTATTTAGGATTGGGATGTTGTCTGAGCGCTTCTACACACGAAAATGTTAATAAGTAAACACACAAACCAAAGACAAACAGTGATCAGAGCGTGAATGATCATTTATTTGGTGGAATGTCTAATTTTGTTAGCGCCCATACGTACCAATTCATAAAAAACCATGTTGCTGACCGTGAAAAGAAACTCCTACAAATCAAGCGATGAAAAAAGTTTATTTGCGTGAGATACTGCTAAAATACAGCAAATTATTAGTTAATATGGCCAACCTGCTTTATCAATAGTATTTAATGTAAATTAATGGCATATTTTTGAAATGTAAAATATGTGCGGATGATTCCGATCTACTGATACGGCCGATTGCAACGGACCTGAGAGGTGTGTGAAAATAGTGTAAAGGATAATAAACATGCTTTTAGCGAGCAAAATCTGATCTATCGGTGTTGTATCAGAGATATATTTAGTAATTGTACAAAAAGTGTAGCTCAGAATCTCGTGAAAAACTTCTTGCCGAATAGTTGCAGAGCACCGGCATTTTTTCGTAGAAACATATTTCATTATCCATTAGGTGTTTGGTAATCGCTGTGATACTGAAAAGTTACCAATAACATAACAATTAAGGCTTTTATTTGTGGAACACCGTATGCTGAGCAGTAACATGATAAGAATCACTGTGAGTGCACCTGAACGCAGAAAACTCCACATTCTACAACAGAGCACGCAAATGCGTGCTCTCAACCTATACATGACTTGTGCATTACCGTTTCATCAATAGTTATTGTCTTCGATGTCACAGTAGTACGGTAAGTCGGCGATATTTTCATCATGTTCTCTCCCAATCACTCCCGTAGACAACATATCCTTCAAAAGACTGTAGAACATCTGCTTGTGAGTGTCGTTGAAGGAAATAAAAACGTTGGAAAGAAACGAGTCCTCTATGTTGAACTGAAAATGATCATCAAACACACAAATAATCACGTTCAATCCACAGTGAAAACTGCTGAAATATTCGCTAACATCCGCCGGCCGATACACTATTCGGTACGATGTGAGGAACAACCTGCCTGTGGGAGAGGCGTATTTGAGCGTATTGTCCAACTCGCCGGTTCCTATCGAAGTATGGAACTTGGCATTCTCGTTGTAGAAGTATATCCGCTCGTCATCTGAGCACGGCAGAGGAACACCGTGTTCGGTGAACACCGTTTTGTTGAAGAAGGCGTAGTCTTTCCGGAAATTGTTTTCGACCATTTGTAAGGGCTCGTGGCACAAGCGGTACAAAAAGCAAGCCTGCACATTACGCCAAATCATTCGTGCGCACATTCGAAAGGAATACGTGATCAATACAGTGCTTCTCTACAGCTGTGTTGATAGGTACGAACACGTATTTTACGTGGTAGTTGTTATAAACGGTTTTATCAGCAATTAAAAAGGAGTAAAACGATGAATAACCGAGTGGGATGGATGATGTCACAGGAAGGACCAATCAACCATATTAGTTGCGTTACACCCCGTTTATCTATCACCATCACAGCAGACTAGCACTTCACAGCATATGACCAAAACTACATACCGTATTGTATCTCTGCTTTATTTGTGTTGTATGATACTAACACAAAGTAATTCGTGTACAAGCACCATAGTTTTCTTCTGAATATGCTATTTTTTCCTCAATTTGTAACAACGCGCCGTTATATCCAACCAGCTATTTTGTAATACTTTTGTTGCGTTTTACATCCCATAATTACAAGAAATGATCTCAAAACATCGGCTGCTAGGACGAGCTATACACAAGGAAGTGTTATTACATCTAAAAATACACTTTTTAGTTTTGGAGTATTTAATTATTTGTTATTCCTTAAAAATTAATAGTTGCAATTCTAATGAATAGATGCTGCGATAGTTATGGCCAGTAAAGCAGATTAATTGAGGGTCCTCTTCGGCTGCTCTTTTCTCACTTAAGTTCGATGATCAGGTTAAAGGAAAGGCTTTTATATTTGTGAAAGGGTGGAACAGACATAAAACGGTCTCACTCGCTCCAAAGTCACAATATAACATATAATTATAAAGACTGTCCACAACTCAAGGAGTGTCATGCGTACTTGACTAAAGAATGCGCATCATCTTTTGTACCCTTTACACGGAGAATGAACCACATGCTAAAAATAATTTTATACTAAAACACATGAAATACCTGATTGTGCAGCTATCAGAATACAACATTTGCATGGCACAGCTCTTTTACCACAAATAATGGTCCAAACAAAAATATCATAACTCTGTTTTTACTCGTATTTAATGACCGTAATAAGATACGATGTATAGGGATGAACCATGCATTTAAGACTAAAATTCATTCAAACACTCCTTCACATGCACGTAATCCTTTCTACATTTTAGAATTCTTTTTATTTCTGACCTTTCTAGCTCCTTAAATCCATGTACATATATTGCCAGCACGTTCTTCTCAAGTACCAATAGCTCCACAATATTTTTGAGGGTATCGAACGGTGTCTCGAACATTTTCATCTTCTTCAGAAACTTGCGTACCGTTTCTATATCGTTATACAGAATACGTGCCTGATCCATGTCATAGGTTAGCATTAGGATGTGTTTATAGAGGCTGTCATGCGCGTAATCAATGATATTATAGAAAAGAGCAAGTGCATTGGGCCCCTTCACGTATTTGTGTATCTTTTTGTTCTCATTTTTGAGAAAATATACGAGTTTATCGATCATTCTGTTTTCCTTCTTGCCTAAATCATCGATTGTCAGGTTTTTGGTTATTATTTTCAGATCTTTTTTACTGTCGTTGAGATAGCCATCAAAGATCTCACGCATCTTGTCCTTAATAAATTTGCTCTCCAGCTGCAGCTTTTTCAAAATAAAAAAGTGCTCGTTTAGTTTATGGAAATTTTTCAGATTATAACGCAGGTCCTTCATTATCAGTGTTTCTATGCTCTTCAAAAAATGCTTCTTCACAAAGTATACGTCATCGCCATCATATTTGAGCAGCTCACTGCGCATGTAGAAGAAGTTGTAGATACACAGCATTTTCAAAATAATTGCACGCTCGTTCTGTTCTGCGTGCATCTGCTCGTTAAGCAGAACGTACTTTTTTTGTGTTTCTGCCCCTCCGGTCATGACCGAAAGCGCAAAATCCGTGCAATCGTTCTCCCTCTTGCTTATGCCAACGAAATGCTGCGAGAAAATATCGCGCACACTGTAATTAAATGAGTAAAACGTGGAAATAAATCGATATAAACTTTGCACTCGTGCATATGAGTTGCTGAGATACCATAGAAACTCAATTTCCTTCTTCTGGCGCAGCAATTTTCCCACCGCATTTGATATCACAGTTTCAAAAAGCTTTTCATTGATTTTCTGTATTACCTGGGCATCAAGCACATCTTCAAGATTAATTAGCTCGTTCTCATATGTTTCCTGCACAGCATCGACAAACGTGAAAAACCAGTTGCTATAATCAAAGAAATCAAGGTTAAAAACCAGCTCATCACAATCTTCTTCCTCACAAATCAGGTTGAATATTTTCAGGTTCTGCATAAAACTGTTCACCAGGATGCTTTCGTTCTTCAGGACTTTAAGTGCCCTGTATGTCCCTTTCATGACAAATACATTTTTTTCCTTTTGCGCCCGTTCAAAGTTGTTCCTTGCTGTGTCAACAAATTCCTTTTTCAACGCCAGAATCCGGTCCAATCTTGCAATGTCCAAGTTGCTATTTTCTTCTCTATCCAGATCACCTCCTCCCTTTTTCATCTCATTGAAGAACAAAAATACGTGGGCGAGCATGTAGAGATCGTTGATATCCTCTGTCTTTATGAGAGCACATATATTTTCGTAAAAACCATTCCTTATCTCATCGATATGCACAATAATTCGTTTACACAGTTTCATCTCTCTTAAGCTGTTGTATCTGCCGATGGCATCCCCGATACCTCCCAGTGCGCCCAAATGTAAATGATTGTGCTCGCCAAAAAACGTGTTGAGTACTTCAGAAAAGTTCAGATTGCCCTTTTGCTTGAGGATCTTCAGAATTTGCTGCTTCTTGTGAAAAATTGCGTCTTTTAGTTCTTTGAGCTGGTTGATTGCATCTTTCGTGTTTTTTCCTCGAATTATCTCGGCCATCAGGCACTCAAGATTAAAATTTTTCAGCTTGAACGTCGAAATGGAAAGTTCTTTCATCGTAGGGGTTCTAAGTCAACAAATTAGTGTTGATACGTTTCTGCCGTAAAGCAAGAAGAACGAGAACAAACAGAAATGTACTATTACGCACTGCCAGCCATCTGGAACATTCATATAGCCACAAAAGTGTGTTCATGATCTTTTTGGATTATTAAAGCAACCACAAAGAACATCCTGGCAGCAAATGAATTATTGCGCTTTGCGGCTGCGTAACCGGTATTTACGGATCAACGTGCCTTGGTTACAAGAAAAACACGGTTACCTTTTTTACAGCCATGGCGTCGTGCATAGTGCAAGATTATGGAAGCATATTTGATTCTTTCATCATTACTATATAATAGTAATATTAACTACATCATATGTTGGTAGCATATTGTTTCCAATTACTCTTGACTGTGGATCTGATATAGAAGTATAATTCTGTAACATTATGTATGAAGAGCGTTTGAGCATTTCTTCTACTTAATAACGATAGCGTGATGTCAGACAGAAGATATCCGTAAAAACATCAAATAAAACCAAGGTAAAGGAACAAAAAGCCTTGCTGGCCTGTCATAACTTAGTTATAGATTAATTGGTAGAAAGTGTATTTATAACGAGATAATAACTTTGCATTTTATCGTGATGGAATGCAATGTAATTACCGATAAGTTTTTGTTGGCAACCCGTCTTAACAGCTCAATATGCACTAAAAATTTATCTTCGCTGAAAGACAAAGGCCATTCCGTCAAATGACAATTTTATAGCCTTTTGGAAATATTTATTGTCATAAATAGGTTTCTTCACTAAAAGTCGTTTAACCACTTCTTCAAACACCATATTGTCCAGATAAACATACCTTTATAGTTTGCTGCAACCGATCAGGCCACAAACCCGTAAATAAGTTCTAATGTATAAATTTCGTTAAATGATAGGTCAATCATAAAAATTTATAGCTGGATCATAGAATGCAAATGTGAGAGAACGACTGATTTGTGGAAATTACTTTATAGCAATTGTATTGTTCTGAAATAGCATTATACAGGGAAATGACCTCTTTATTGGTATGTGTTATTTCAAAGAAATTGTGTGTTGGTAAAATCTGCTATATTAATGGTTTATAAACATTTTGAAACACATTCGGAAGTGGTTTAACCAACCAGTAATTATACCTCAAATTGCGCTTGGTACAATAACAAAATAAAACATAAACAGGTGTTGCTTCATACAAATAACCTTTTAAATATTGACATATTTTTAACTAGCCAATACACGCTTCACTAACTCATGAATACTTCCGTAGTCTGCAACGTAACAGTTCCATCCCAATGATTGAGCCACAATGGTGTTCCTTTTCTTGTCATCAAAGAAATGTATTTTCTTTGCATTGGTCATTTTTTGCACGAGCTCGTATGCTCTACGATCTGGCTTTCCGACGTGATTGTTGCATTCATATCCCAGATAGAATACACCGCAGAACAAGTGTTTAATTCCCAGCACCTCGAGAGTCTTCTTGACATGAGCCTTCGTTCCATTACTCATTATGAAGAGTGGTTTGTCTATGCTTTCAAGCAATTTGATTATACTTTCTTCTTTTCTCAAAATTCCATCATAATCAACCTTAGTGAATACATGGTTCAGGTATTCATCGTAGCTCAGCAACTCCTTCATAAGCACAAACTTTAAAACGGTGCTGTAAGTGGCCCGTGAGCTGTCTATCAGGTTTTCTACATCGTACAATTTCTTCTCTTCTTTCAGATACCTGATGATGCACTCCTCTGTCTTCGTATTTATTTGATCCTCCATCGGATGTAGCGTGTTATCGAGATCAAACACAAAAATATCCTTATTTGGATGCAAGAACTCAATTTCAGGATAAAGAGTAAAGCCCATGAATATGTAAAAGATAAACATACCAGTACTTTTCTGCGTCTATTTATATTTTTTCTGTCAATCATATCAGATCACAGTGTCAAAGTTTTCATTTTTACCAGAATTTGAAAAATTTTTATCATGATAGTGTGTAAATGATGGTCGCTCAGAAAAGACAAATTAAATTTACAAAAAGGCTATTACGTTCATAAAAACGTATAAAAATATTTTAATGGCAAAATAATACCTTGTATCTCAGCTCAACACCAATTGCGAACAGATATGTCCGTTAATTTAGGCTTTACTTGGTTCGCTCGGTATAAAATTTTCATTAACAATGAATTACAGAAATATGAAAATCATGACCAAAACGATTTAAGTTGCGATTGATTAACTCTTCAAAAATAATCAGAGAATATTAACAACAACAGCCTATCAAAACACTCACCACTGTGGACACGGCTGTAATTTTATATCAACAGATTTAGCCATGCTTAACCACAGAGCAGCCATTTTATACGCTTTTATTTATTTTTATAACTTGTTAGTACGGTACAGAGCGCCTGGCCAAATAAATTAAAGGTAAAGCGAACACGTTTAAGAATATCCTTTAAATAAATGGCAACATTCACCAAAAAGTAATTTTTTAACGCATTTAATGGCATACCAACGATTAAATTGCCAAGTAATAAATTATATGATAGAAAAATTTTGATATCAGATTGTACCGATCATATAAATCCGGTTTAGTCTAATTGTGGATGATTGATAAATGAGAAAATTGTTCGTTTAAAATATCATGTTGAGGTGTTAATGGATGTAAATTTACCTATTGTTCACTGTGATTGCATTAAGCAAGCATAGATGTGGTAACTGGCAGATTTCACCGTTTACAAACACGTCATATCTATTGTATGAATCTAATAAGTACTGCGCTTTTTTTACAGAAAAGTACATTTATTTACACACACATGCACATTTTGGTTTGCTTGGATCGACCGCAATCACTAGCCTTTGGTCTATGTTCTTATTAAAAAAATGAGTATTGCAGTAGATTCACCACATAGCTGTTGATTCCTTTCCAAGCAATATGTTATCAGTAAAACGGTGAAATATGAAGCAGATGGCCAGCAAAATCTCAGGCTGAATAATCGAGATAGGCGGTACCGTGCAGAGTACTACGTTATGCTTAATGTACAACAAAGATCAAGCATAGAAGGGCAACACAAGAAGAACAACTGCCCAAACTCATGAACATGCAACGTACCATAAAATGACCCTTTCATTGCGAAATAATCGACTCAAACCATAAATCATGCTATTGATTCCTTCATAATAGATATGTCTATTGCCTGGGGATCATAAGGTACCGGATTTGTTGGTATTGTACATTTTTCCATTTATACATGATAGGTCTTGTGGTTGGACCATGTTTACTGTTTTTTTAGGCGCGCAGGGCTCGTAAGTTAATTAATGACGGTTACTAACTAGCCAGACATTTCACAGTACCGATCAAACTAACTATAGCGCTTTTGCACCGTAGTTTAGGCGATATCTTTATAATCTAAACTAACAGGTAAAAATTAGAATAATCAGGTTGATATCCTGTTGATGACATCTAAACCACGCCCTTTTGTGAATTATTGCATCGGATTTAAAAAGAGTAAATTACAGGTCATTAACCCCTTTATAGTATCAAAAGATACAAAAACAAACTATCTGTGAAGTAATTGATATTAAAAATCGTACACTACGATAATATTTCTTTTAAAGCGCAAAATTTATGTGAAAAGATGCAAAATACCGTCTACAGCACTTTTTCCAAGCAGTTGTCCATTAATTCTCATACCATTCAGAATCTGTCTCAGTTTATCGATGTCCCTGCAATTCTCCACCAGATTCTCAAATGTTTGGAAATAATCGCGCAGAAATTTTGCTTTAACATGCGAAACTCCCCTTATAGACAGGAATCCAAGATAAAGAAGATACTTCTGTGAAAAACCCTTTGTCTTTAAACTCTTATTACTAAAATTAGAAAATGTAATGTCTGAAACTGACGCGAATTCATTATTTTCATGGTTATTGATTCCATACATTCTAATTTTGTAGTCTATGCTCTTCACAAACAACACTGTTTCTTCGATATCCTTCGTTTCTATCACTGTAAAACCTTCAAGCTTGGTCTTAAGTATTGCGGAATCTATGAAATTATCTCTGCTCTTCAGACCCTCGATCAGATATACACAGTGCTTCAACCCAGTGTTCTTTAACCGATTCTTCTGTTCGGTAAATCTCCCATCGTACAGTGACGAAACAAAGTCAGAACACTTTTTTCGCTCTATAATAGTGTTTATGACGTAATCGCCTCTTATCCACATGAAATCGCCGATCACAAGGTTCAGAGAACGAGAGCCCGGCAACTTACGCTCGAAGTAGCCCCGATCGTTCTTGCTTCGCATCTCTCTTGAGTCAATCAACAGCATAGTCTCGTCAGTGCTCTTTTTCAACGCCTTTTCTGTTTTATCGAACAAGATGGTACACAGCGAAGATCCTTTGCAGGTCAAAAAATACTTTTTACTTTCCTTTTGCACCAACCTCTTCTGTAAAAGATTCTTTAAGGCGCTCCATATGTGCAACCCAGTTATTTCATCTTCTAAAAATTCGCTGTTCAGGTAGATTTGAGATTTGCACAAACCATCTCCATTGCTCAGAACCCTTAGAATGTTGTAAGCAACCGTATTAAACCCTGGAACGTATTCAAAATCATCTATTTTGTTGTATTCTTTGTAAATTACAGCATTGCTTACAAGATCTTTGTTTCGATTCACACGTGTTGGTAGGTTGCAATTTGTTTTGCCTTTTGTGTTTGTCCCATCACTATCGGTTGTTTTCTTCGGACGCACATGCTTTCCAGCACCATGGCTGGTCGATAGCGCTTCCGGAACTGCACTTCTTGTCTCTTCACCATCCACCGCGTCTGCATTACCGGCTTTATCACCATTCACATCGGCCATCTGATTTAAATCAGCAAATTTTGACAGAACTTTTGGTCCAACATACTTCAACTTCGTGAATTCTTCCCAGGTAATTTCCTTCCTTTCTTCCAATTGCAACAATACTTTGTTCAATACGTGCCTCATTTTGAAGTTATGCTGCTTGGAAAAACTCAACAATTTTTTACACTTTGTTATTAAACGGGTTTTGATGTCCATTGAAGGGTCAAGACAGAGATCCTTAAAACTCCTTGTCAGAGGTAGTTCATTAAGGGCTCTGCAACGATAAAATACGCCATAAGGACCTTAGGAGGTATGTAGGACGATACAATACTCTATAACTACCCCAATAGAAGCATTTAATACGCTAGTGCGCCCAATTGCACGGTCCGTTCCTGTGCAAACCGAAGGTACACATTCATATCAATAGATCACGTAAAATGGCAGCCTATTACACCCTGATAATCCGTAAGATAGCGGTATACGTGCACATTTTGATCGTAGAAATGCGCGCCATTTGTATGATTCAAATCGTAGGCTTTATCCATTTTACACTTTCTCATCTTAAGCAACTACCAATCTATAAAAATTATTTAGCTATAACATCTGATCTACAGACACATCATCTTTATTTGACCGCACACCACCATTTACTTATCTTGTTCTGAATTTGCTAGGAAACTTATACAGAAATTGCTATAACTAGCCAGGTCGTGCGTATAATCTCGGTTGTTGATGATAAGCTTTCCCATCGTTTTTTCGAATCTGAGTATTGGTAACGAAATAATCCTGCTCAACTCAATGTACTTCAACAATATTTCTGCGAAAGGAGATACTCTCTTCTTCAAAAACTCATCTGAAAACATTTCTAACTCATCTCTCGACAGTATTTTAATCTGGTTGTCATTGTATATGAAGACGAACGTATCTTTAGATGCGTTAAACAGTAGCATGGTAGATGTTTCGGTATAAAAATCTTCCTTTGTCATCTCCAAGTTTATCTTGTTATTCTTTGCTCTGTAAAAGGTGCGCGTCTGTCCCCGTTCGAATATTTTATCCTGCCTACACGATATAATTAACAGGATGATGGTGCCTATAAAGACGAGAAGAGAGAGCGAAAGGAATGCATAGGTTGACACCTTCTTGTAATTCATGGATTCGTTGTGTAATATGCTTTTATACATGGAAATAATTCTATACCTGGTAAATATTAATATATCTATCTGCGATTAAATTGATAAATAATATAAAACACAAAAATTTATTGTATAATTACGGCGAACGGTACTATCACGCGATTATGGCCAGAATATTAATTTTATGAGTATATTAGTGCCATGCTTGTCGGTAAAACCATCAAAACCGAAAAACAAATTTAAAACTACGAAATGCAACTTATTACACTGTGTTACATGCTATATTGCATATATTGAGGTTGCTTGTGCCTTTAAAATAACTAATACAGACAGAAAAGCACCTTTGAGTGCGTGTATGGTGAGGCATCATTCACATATATAGAAGGACAGCTCAGGAACTGATTGGTCAGTTTAGAAAAAATCAACAATTTTTGCGTCGAGTCTTTGCACAAATAAAGAGTTCAAGGTTGTTATCAAATTTATTTTTTTGCTATGCTCAGCCATTACAAACAGCATTACAAGGACATGAGATTGCCAGCAAAATTTGATTCTTAAACCCTGCCAAAAGGTTCAGAAAGTGAAACATGCAGCATAAAATGAAAGAAATACCATTTTACAGGTAATCAGACTTTGTTACGTTTTTTAAACGGAACATCTATAAACAAGTACCTGTACCTGCTTATCATCTTTGAATCTTTGTGCTACATATTCTATTTTGTCCCAGTTAATCTGTTCGTAAAACACGTTTTCTAATCTGCTTAGATACAAATCTTTAATTAGTGCACATATGGCCCGTACATTTGTACAATTTGATCATTTTCTTTTTAAAATCTTTTTATCAATTCCATCACGCCAACATTGCACGACTTGATTGTGAGATGGAGGGTGTTACCGGTATTATACCGGTAGTTGTTCGTACTGTACTTTCATTTTGGTTGAGTTTTTGATTACGATGTGCTGGCACATATCAATTATATCAACGAGTACCTCTAAATGTGCTCTTTAAAGCGTGTATTCAGGTCAGATTCTATTTTTTATTGCGATAAAACATTTCGCAATTCCACACGCCCAACACCAACCACTAGTAGAATGTCTGCAACAGCAAATGGTGATTTATCGGACAAAACAAGGACTTGCACGGTAACGAAGCGTAAAAAAGGACTACAGAAACATTCAAAACTTGCTAAAATTTAATGCAGTTTATGAGAGCTACTCATAAACTGTCAAGGACGTGTTAGAGAGTCTTTACCTGCCATAAGAAAGCGGCAACCTTTGTTCGAAGTGGATAGAGACATAGATCACCAAATACTAAGTATTACAGATGCAAAACTGCTTGATGTTCTTTTTAATCTAAAGTATGACTCAGTACACTGCCAAACTTACTTACCAACACATTTACCATCCGTTTTAATCACACAGGTCCCCAAACTACGGATTGAACCAAAGCATATTGTAAAATTCAACACAAAATGCGCTACTATTTACTGCCGTGGCCATGATGAACCGCCATCCGCTTTTTATTCGGTGTTCTGTTCTTCATTACAAGAGACGAATCAGGAAGCAGGTAATTCTCCAATTCGTAAAACGCATATTCAATATGCATCCTCTTGACTGCTCTATCTGCCGAGCCCTTCGCCAAATTAATACTTTTTTTGCAAAGTTGCGCAAAAAAGTGATCGCAGCTATCCAGAATCTGGTTCTTCACCGCATCCGTCAGCTCAAACTTCAAATTCCATCTTTTCATGAAGTACTCGATGTTTGTAGACCATTCACTTGTCCTAAACTTCTTGGCATTCACGCACATCTCATCAGCATTCGGTATTCTGTGGCCAGCCAGCAAGAAGTGGGGATCTACCGCTTTGTAAACGGATGAAGCTTCGCCAGTTGGTGTCATGCTGCCCTCTCCCGATGCCGGTTGTGAAGGCGTTGTGCTGATCAGCGTGGGACTGATATCAACCTTCATGTTGCGATGGTAATCTGCCCTTTTGGGCTGCAGCAAACTGTTATTTCCTATGACTGGCGAATATTGATAGGGGGCGTACATCGGTTCAACGGTCTTTTGTGCGGTGTTTTTGAATCCTAAAGATGGCGGTTGATAGCTTTTTGGTGCTTGCATCACCGATTTTATGTTGGGACGGTAACCGGGATATGGTGATTTGGTTGGATATGCGCCCAAACTGTAATTTTGCGGAGTAACAGGATTTGTTGGCTGAGGATTGAGGGAAAAATTGGGCCGTTTGATCCCCGACGTGTACGCACCAAGCATTGGCGAGTACTCCGACTTAGAGGGTATCCGAGCCACGGATTGCTCAAACATGGCAGGCGATGCCATTGGAGGAGCATAATTCGGCTGATAGTTCATGTTAGACCGCGGAGTGATTGTTTTAGGGAATCCTTTGTAAGTGTTGTAAAGAAGAGGAGCTGAGGAACCGTACATGAAGGGCATTGTCTGAAAATCAAAGGAACTGGGATCGTATTTGATACTGGGATCGCAAGAAAAATCCATTTTTTCTTCTATTGGAGCACCGATAAGTCCTTCTGAATTCTCCTCCGTGTTAGTTTTTGGCGGAAACGGCTGGCCCGCTCGGTCTTGCACGTTGAAGTTACCATAGTTGGGTATATCTGCATTTTGCCTGGGCTGAAAATGTGCAGTGCGATACATTTCTTCTGAGAACTCACCAAAATTGTTGTTTTGCGCCTTAATAAAGCTGCCGTATGCATCCTGAAACGCCTTAATTTCGTGTTCCAACCGGTCCAGATTTTGCTTTATTTCTGCGTAATTCTGTACCTTTGCACCCGTCATTACCTTCTTATTTAATCGCTTGTGCGTTTTCACCAACCCTTCGTAGTATTTCTTGAGACGAGCTGCATCATCCTTCATGAGGGGTCACACAAAATTGTGTATAAGTAAGCAAAATGGAACAACACGGATAGCCTGGAATAGCCAATCATACATGTGTCATAAGCACACCTCTTTTTTGTTTGTGGTGCTCACACCATGTATTTTAAACATCTGCTGAAAACATTCGTGTTTACTCCATAATCATAAAAACACATGTAAAACGGTGATAGTTGACAGCTCTGCCACATATTACGAAGAAAAGAACTTCGTAAACAAGGCATGAATATAATGTGGTTGTTTTTAGGTCAAATATAGCAGAATTGGCGATTAGTCTTGAATTTGATGAGCTTGTAGGTGATTGGTAGCAATTCCTGGTATAACTATCATTGTTATATGCCATTGATATGACAATTCTCATAACAAAAGACAGATAAAACTCTCGCTACCTGAATAAATAGACATACCACAAAATACACCACTTCACTGTAAAAACACCTGTAAAAAGATACCACAACAATTTAAGCAAACATCATATTCATAGCTTGCAGTAAACCGGGCAGATATGAAAATACATGGGATAAGTTTAATTATACTTAAAATTTAGAAAAAAATACTCTCCTATAAATTTATAATTTCATCAGGAATATGGTGCTATTCTGTATAAACTTAGTCCATTACACGCCTAAGTTGATTATCTTAAAGATCTAAACAGGCATTCTTTGTATCTCAAAATCATCTTCTGCATCTTAATTTAATAAATATTCGGTAAGAGCAGCAAACGGTTACTCAAAACTATTCGTTCATGCATGCCACTGAACAATGGCGCAATACAACCATTGAACACATATGAGCATTCAAGCGAGGATCAAGCCAATTCTTTACAAATTAAACAACAAGAAATATCTGCGATGCAACCAGCAAATGGCTTACAATTTGAATATTTATCGGTGATCCTAAAACAAGCAGGATCAAAAATTGTTAGCCATATGCTATTACGTGTCCTCATACCGATAGAAGTAAAAGCATTTACGAATGGATTAATTTAGATGACCGTTTACATTTCAGTCACGTGTTTCACCCTTTATTCTACAAAGTTAGCACTTAATTTAAAGTACATCCACCAGCAGGTGTTTATTTTTCATTTTCTCGATTAATTCATCCCTTGCATCATAGAAATTACCTTCCTTCCACTTCCCACATATTTCATTTTCCGCTACATGAACATAAATATAAACCGCTCTATCCTGTTTTTCACTCAAGAATTGCCTGAGTGCACAATATTCCTTCTGCGATGCACAATCACTTGCTGATAGTGCCACGCTGCTCATGTGTTTATTTCTCGCGCTCCCCTCTTTTGCGTCCCCCGACAAGTTTCCTTTTGAGCCAGCACCGATCACTTCCACATCCTCCCTATCGTTCATGTCGTTGTTCCTGCTTTTTTTTGTTTCTTCATTTTTTCTACCTCCAGATCTCTTCAACGCAGCGACCTTCGAATTTGTGCCTACAATTTCCTTTTCAGCCACTATTTTTTTCGTTTCGATCGGTGATAAAAATGAAGACCTTAACATGTCCCTTAGCAAATAAAGAATCAACCACGAAATGCCTACTGATATAAGCACTATCGGAACCTTCTTTGCAAGCTGTTTCAGATCAATTGTCTTTGTTATCTTGGCCATGGGCATTTTTTGCTTTTCTTTTTTATTGACAGCAGAAGCGATATGGGATTTGATTTGACTGAACAACGCAAATGTCCGGAAAAGGCGCAAGAACAGCAATATCAGTGATTACTTACGATGTGAACTGCTTAGATCGTCTCATGATATGATACATTGATAATTTTCCATGCACAACACGCTAAATGCCACAAACAATTCTAAACCACTCATGAATAGCAAATGAGATATTCACCAAAATACATCATCTACTGAAAAAAGTGCTATAATTTGCTTTGTAAATTACGCCTAATCGCTTGCACCGCAGGTATTCAAGAACGCAAATACCATCGTATAGCAGGACATACTATTTACGTACCAGGTGCTATTCCCGGTACCGAATACTTCTGGAATAAACGTCAAATAAAAATGGGGCCGATCACACAATAAATCAAACTATCTCACGTCAAACATCCCGTTGATTAAATACTCAGTTTTTAATGCCATAAAAACTCTGCCGCATCAGATCATACACAATGGGCTCTTAGTTAACAATTAAAGCGGAATTACACGGCCTCTCCGTGCTTCTATGTAGTGGTGTAATCGCTCAACCGATGAGTGAGTACCAGCTAAAATGACGGGCGGTAAGAGCAGTATGGGAAGGGCATCGCCAAAACCATAAGAAGATGACTTGCATGAGAGAGCCGTGGCCTGGTCAATCACGTTACGCATTACCTCAGAAGGGCCAGGCACGGTCACAGCAGAAACTGTGTGCCTTGGAGGCAAAGGCGTTCCAAAACAACCCGCTTAACGAGGTGCAAGGAACATGCAAAATAGCAGCTACGTATAAAAACATGAGCAGGACCCGTTTTTAAGACATAACTGGTACAAACACCATGGCTCATTCGCTCATCCTTACACCGGCAATGCTGGATATAAACGTACTCATCCACTGCATACCCGCTTTATTGTTTTTAAAGCACTTTTTTATTACCTTATGATGCAACAGCGCTTTAATTCGTTTTTATCTTCCATACACCGCTGCCCTATCCCCGTTTGTGCGTTTTTAAGCAGTACCTAAATCTAGCCCATGCACGATTACCGGGTAAAAGATTTTTTGTTTGCCTTGAACCACAACGTGCACATAGAAGTGCCCCATATTCTTACATTTGATGATGATAATCTTCATCTCTACGATATAAACACGTTTGCTCTCCTCAAACGCTTTAATATAGCAGATATTGAAATGGTTACGCTATTTACCGATTACAAACAAACATGTTTAAACGGCGTGAAAGAAGCAGTCCAGCCCTCTGAGATGGATTCAAGGCGCATAGATGATGGCCATGATACGAGAGGTTGCTCTGAGAACATGGCAAAATCTTTTTACTTTTTAGTCTACAGGAAGAACAACTTGCACGTCTACAACAACAACACGATCATAAAAAAGATTCAGCTGAAGAATATCGAACGGATTACAAGGACCGGTTCGCGCATTTACGCGCTAACAAAGAATCATTTGTTCACTTTGGACCACGATCTCACGATACAAGGAAAGCTGGATGTACCGAAAAACTGGTCGTTAGTCAACAACCAGTTCATAGGAGCAAAGGATGGTAAATTATACGATCTGGAAATGAAAATGATAGGCAGCTTTGGCAAAGAAGTATCGTTTGTACGCGATAAGAACTGTATTGGCTTTGCTGATGGTACCTTTAATGTTGATAGGAGCAGTACGGTCAAAAGAATGAAAGCGAATATGTCCGGCCGTGTTTTGTACCTCGATACACAGAATATCGTTACAGAGCACTCCTTCAACGGCAAGAAAACACCTTACACAATAAAAAGCGTGTTTGGACATGATGAGCAGATCTATCTGCTCACCGATGACAATGAAATCATTGTAAACACTTTCATAATAGACAGCGAGTATCCTGTCACGGACTTTTTTACCGTTGGTGATGAAATGTTTTATGTCAAGGACCGCTCACTAAGAAGGTTGATGAACCGAATAAGTGCATGTGTTTCTGAGGAAACTGGGAAAGAATCCGCTACAGAGGAAAAGTGGTCGCGAACACTTCGTGAATCGGATTTGATCGTTTCAAGGGATGTTCTTGTCATGGAGCATTCAATAGCAAAGACGTGTGAATTTGGTGGCATGATATTTCTGACTGATGGCCGGTGTGTCGTGGTTTATTACGAGGACAGTGTTTTCGTTCTTGCGACGAATTGTGAGATTAAGGGCCTGTGCGTGGATGGTGAAAGCATTGTATTCGGAACAGATGGAGGCGAGGTGTGTGTAATGGAAAATGATGTAAGAAAACGTGCCACAATAGAGAATACGCAACAGGACACGGATGCAATGGGCACATTTTACACTGAGTTAAGGACTTATTTGCTGGAAATGCCGATAAAGCTTCGTTTTAGTGCACACTCGGAAATGATAACCGATCTGGTAACAGCCAAGGACTTGGTTGTGAGTGCTGAGAGAAGAAGACGGGTGAGAGTACACGATAAGAACGGTAATTTGGTGAATGAGATAAAGGCAACATCCAATTCTCTGGTCAGACAGGAGGACAGCAAAGGATGTTGCTTCTTGATGGTAATGGGCAACAAAGTCAGAATATATAACAATTTTCAAATGGTTGATGAGATCGAACACGTCAATGACGTGAACACGTGCATCCTGCAGGATAAAAAGGTGCATTTGATCGATTACAAGGGGAATTACGTCCTTTATAGCATCGGTAAGAAGACGAAGGAAACTTTCAACATAAACCGGGTGTTTGGACGGGCATGCGAGAATGATAGATTTAAGACGTTTTATTCCGACAAAAGCTTTGATCTGTGCCCGTTTTCAATGCGTATTTGCAACGATACGCTGGTGTTTGCCGGTAACTTCTTCATATTCATAGAGAAATACAAAGTAAAAGACAAAGAAATCATCATCAACGAGTTAAAGAACAACAAGCTCAACATAAATTACATTCTGCAGTACAACATGAGTGTGAATATTTTAGAGAACTTGATGGATAACAGGGTTGATGGCATAGAGGTGACAAGACATGAAGGAATGTTTGTGCTGAGCAAACCATTCCTGAGCACTATTAGTGCGTGCAACCGACAAAAATACGTAAATTATCTGAAGAAATACATCAATTATAGCAAGTATATCGGGATTACACAGGTGCTTGTCAGGGAGTGTTTGGATGCAGGCATGAGGTTAGATTGTGATATGAGCCGTGTTACCGATTGGGTAGAGAACGTTCATCGTGATCTCGTTGGTATGAAGCTATTGTTCAAGAGTAAAGAGAAGTGATAATTATAAGTGTTTGGTATTTTTTGTTTTGGGAAGAGTTTTGTCTACCGCAAGTGTGGTTTAAGTGGTACTTCATTTAATTTTGATACGAGGAGGTGTTTTTAATGATTGGTATTAATCAGCGATTTTAACATTTTTAGTTCCTTTACACGTAAATTTGGGCGGTGCTAAAGAAAAGGCGTTCAAGAACGTGTTTTACCCGCAACTGTGTTTAACACATCGTGGATCGTTTATTTCACGTACAAACCAAAACTTGTTGCGCAGCACATGGTGCGTTAAAGTAAAGAATGTAAGACTTCCGAATGAGGAGTTACCAAGCTATACTACAGCTCTTTGTACGACGGGTGATCAGTGCATAGGAGCGTATTAAATGGTTTAATTTGTAAGCGTGATAACAATTCATAAGTTATTCAAAACATGTAATAGTATAATGCGCCACAGCTTCATCTACTCGGCCAAACGATGGCATAACTTTTTGAAGAATTTACTCAGCATTTTTAGCGGTAACGGCTCGTGTAGTAGTTTATCAGCAGCACAATCACCGTTTGTTAATTATTTTGCCTGTTCAGGGAAACACCACACAAAATTACCGTTCTATCGGTAGTGGATGCGAACAGAATCGATGGTTCATAACCTGTGGAAAACAAGCAGCAGCAAGAAGACGAATCGGTCACCGTAATGATCGTTATATTGTTCTAATCGTGTCATATTTAGGATGAACATGGAAAATACACCTGTTCGTATGTGAGGAGTGTTTGTAATGATGGTATTTGAATACCATGATACGCGCATCTATGCTACGATACACCACACACCTTTCTCTGCCTCACAGACGTAGCTAATAATACGCATCTTGGAATGAAATGTACCCGCTGAGATATGCATGTTAAGCAAAATTGTACGTTTTAAAGCAAGAATTGTACTCCTTGATAACGCATCCTTGCCTGGCGAGTGCGCGAGGACCCAGCAACCAAATCAAGAACGCAAGTGCCCGCGACTAACCACAGAAACGTGCAAGGAATAACAGAACTCGTGGTGCAAACACCTCAAACACAAGAAAAAATGGAATAACTCATCGTTTACTTCAGAGATTCTCCTTTCCATCGCAGCAGCTCACCTCATTAAAGTCGTTCAGAGTGTCCGAAATATTCTGGGTAAGAACATTTCCCAGTCCTATCATGTTTCGCACTTCGGTCGACGACCGCTTGAGAAGCAGGTCTGTAATCTTGGTTGCAAATTCTTCCTCATCCTTGATCCCTAGGTTCTTCCACTTTTGCTGGAATGTTGGCGCCAGCGAGAGCACAAGACCGTACAGATCGCCTCCCATTTGCTTCTTATCGTACGTCTTTCGCTGCAAATTATAGCGGAGAGTATCAGTCTTTTTGAACAGGAAAGATGTTGGTCGGCCGATGCTCTGCCGAAAACCTGTCTTAAGCGCATATCGCTGCATGTTGTCATTGATGTAATCCTGTTCGCGCTCGTTCTTGCTCTTGAAGTACGTGATGTTGATCTTGACCGAATCAATGTAGATCTCGTTGCCTTTCTCAACGGCTATGCTGGCCTCGTCAGCCGTGGAGAAGCACACATATGCCCAGTTCTTGTCCTCATTAACAACGTTGTCTTTGCCAACACATACTGAAATCACCTTTCCAAACTGACTGAAAAGCTCCTGCACCTCCTCCTTACCGTACGTATTCGGCAACCGTGTTACGTAGAGATTCCTCTTGTAATTGAGCCCACTCATACTGAGCTTCTCAAATGCTGAGCTCAGCGAGTCTAAGCGCTGTTGTTTTGTCTGCGCTTGCTGCACATAGAACGGTTCGGGATATTTTCCCTCAAAAACGTCCTTACCGGAGAGTTCATCGATAGCCCGCTGAGCATCAGTTGCATTTTCATAGTTAGCAAAGCCGAATCCTCTCAGTGTTCCATCGGGCTTGGCAGCAAAATAAAAAGATGACACTTTGCCGATGCTCATGAAGATGTCCTTCATCTCTTGTTCGGTGGTAGTCAAGGGAAAGTTCTTGAAAAACACATTGGTAAAGGCCCTGCTGCCCGTCTTTATCTTGTAATTTTTTTCATATTTCTCCACTTTTATTGCATGCCCGTCCATTTGCATTTCTGTTCCGAACTTCAGCGCCTTTCTAGCGCCGTTCTTGTTCTTAAACTGAACGAAGCCAAAGCCTTTGCATTTTCCTTGTGAGTTCAGCGCAACTTTGCAGCTCAGAATCTCACCAAAAATCGAAAACGTATCATGGAGCGTTTTGCTGTCGCAATCTGCAGACAAGTTCTTGATTACGATATTGCCGCGATCCATGCTCTTGATCCGCTCCTTGTCGTACAGCATCACACGCATCTCCTTGTCGTGCACTTTGAAGAAATTGAGCTTATTCACCGCCTCCAATGCCTCCTCCTCCTGGGAAAAGAGAACGTAAGCGTAACACGTCGTGTAGTTTGGAAAGTTATCCATGGCCGGCTTGACCAGTTTGATCGTTATAATGGAGCCAACAGTGCTGAAGATCTTGTAAAGATCCGATTCAACAGCCTTGAGAGATAAGTCGCCGACATAGACGGTGCAATTGTTTTCTTTTTTTGTTTTTTCTATTTTTGACGCTTTTTCCATTTCCTCCTTCTTTTATTTTTTTGCTCAGGGTAATTTTTTTTTGCTTTTTTATATTTTATTGATTTTTGATTTTGTTTCAGAATGGAGTGGAACAAATGATGAAGTAAAAATAAACTTGGACATGCGGTCGGTTCCCCACACAAATAAATGATTACAAATTTTGTCTGTTGCAGCGCTTTCAATTTATTCAAAATTTTTCATTAACGAATCGTATTAATGAATTAAAATAGGCCAAACGGTTCGTTTCACAAATTACGCACAAATCAGGCTTCTTATGACGAAAACAGGATTACTTAATCACGCTTTTCCACCGGATATGATGCGCTTAGGCACCAAATTGTGATCAATTTATTTTGTTTAATTTCCACACATTTTCATAAACTACAAACACCATTTAATCAACCGAATATTTGTTGTGTTGCACTTTTAAAAAGCACCTTACTGGCGGTCACGCTTTTCTCCGTTACCCTGAAGAACATGGCAATGCACGTTTTTGAAATTTTTAAACATTCTCGTACTCAGGGCCTTGATAGATCATTGCAATGAATTTTCTGGTAAGTAATGTTTGTTTTAGATTCAAAAATTTTTGGTTTTGAGGTGTTATCAGTTAATGAGGACCTCTGATATTAATCAGCAACGGTATCACGGATATTACATCATTTCAAAATTGATAGACCATTGTTAAAGTCGGTTAGAACCATTTTTAATGCTACATAGTGTATATGCAACCACTTATAGACCATAAGGCATCGCATTCCTATCCATTTTCAACATATCGCTCTATTTCTTCTCCAAGATCGCCTCTTTCCGTAATTTTGCCTACTTTTCTGCCACAAACCACGCATTCGTTGAAAATCACGCAATTCTTGCAAAATGTGTGTCCGCACTCCGTGCTCACCGGTTCATTCATGAGCGATGTGCAATACTGGCACACCAACCTGTCACTGCTAACGTTAATCTGCCCGTGTACTTTGAACATGTGAATCTGAGGCTGTGCCTGCACGTAGCTACCCTCCTGTGTGACCAGCAGCGACGTGCCCTCTTTCTCCTTGACCGGCTTCAGAAAATCTTTCGGTATGCCGGTTGCCTTTCTGATCCGTAGCAGGTCGTAGTTCTTATCGTCGTTGGTCGGACAGTGCTGTATGAAATGGCCCTTCTGTCCACAACGAAAACAGATGTAATTGGGCGGCAGCCTAGGAACATACTTTGAGTGTTTCTTAGGTTCTATGGTTGTTTTACTCATCCATATTGGAATGCGCTTGACAATTACTGTTGTGTTCCTGTACACCGGTGTGCTCTCGTTCGTTAGTTGGTTGTCATCGATGAAAAACAGAAGATCGAAGTCCTTGGCGGTCATACGCTCCACATTGATTACTTCGGTACGTAGCTCCCATAAAGGTATGCTTGCGCCCTCAAACGTAAGTTTCTGTGCGTTTGTAGACGAAACGAACCGGTAGTGTATGAAGGATGACATAGGGTGCGTATTTTTTGAATTACTTGAGCAATTGGATGAAAGCTGCAAAACTCTGATTGTTATTGTTAAGTTAATTTTATTTGGCGTATTTTGTACACGAGGCACATCATGTGAAGAGCTATGCTGTGCAAAGGCAAGCGGTGATGTTAATAAATTGTGAGTGACCAAAATACTTCACCGGTGTGCTACTCTCGTAATTAAAGGAAAAATATGCTGTAGAGCAATTTGAAGCATACATAAAACCTGTAGTTCATTCATAAACAGTTTGTCAGAAGTTAAAGGAACAAACAATGATATGTTTTACTCTCTCGTGCTAGTAGGTTATTTAAAACTTAGAGAACTCATAATGCCACAATTTATTGCCGTATCACTTCAGGATCGTATATTTCCTTGCACAGAAGAAGAAACCCTTTTTCCGAGACACAACATCTGCAAATACTTTGCAGCAATCCTCTTAGCCTTTAACCACATTTATTCACTGCTCAGCCATACATTTCTGCCAACTGAAATTTCAAAATTATGGATATTGCAGATAAACTGCTACCTACGACAAATGTTCTCTATTCACGAATGCACTATATCCGTCTGTAAAGCGGAGCGAAAGCTCGATTGTTGGTAAAAATAATTCTTAATTTAACACTTCATCTTTTTGTCCGCTTTTCTCACTTTGTGTTTTTGGTAACTGTTAAAAAATCTATTTGTGATTGATAATTATGTTTTCAACTATCGCGGTACAAAATGGCAGAGCATGTCTCGGAAAGAATGAACAACATCGCTCTATTTTGGAAATATTAAAATATTTATTTTAATCAATCAGCTGATCATTGTTCAAATCGTTTGTTCTGTGCTGATGGCGATTAATGTGCTTCTGCTGAGGAGAAAATGAAGAAAAAGCAAAAGTAATTAATACTGATGCAATCCTTTTAGAGTGTCTAGTTACGAATTATGAAGTAACAAAAAACAAATTGTCATAAAAAAGCGTATAATATGTTGGTTTCCCACATTTTCAATAGCCATTACACAACGGCCTGCATCCTTAAAATGACTCCTTTAATAGCCTGAAACGCGTATTTGATGACGATGGGCACATTAAAGCCTAAATAGCTCCTTCAAACAGTATTAATATGATGTTTTATATTTTATATTGCATTCCGGTACCCGTTTTTCCTATTACGAGTGACATACGTCTCTAAATCGTATTACTGCGTTGTTATGAACAAGGTAGTAGAGCTTTTAACCCAAAAATAGCCGTAACCGTGGAATTATATAAATTTTATGTAAAAGTAAGCAAAATGTATTAACTCAATTGCTTTCTTCAAAAAATGTGTGCCTTAACAGTGCCTGAGCATCCGGTGTGGAGCGTTCAGTATGCTTCATCACATGCACTACCAAACACTTATAATACTTCTGTGTGTAACATGAGTGAAGCTCCCTGTCAATCCGTTAGACATAGAATAATTTTCCCCCTATAGTAAAGTCATTAAATCTCTAATTTTCTGTTTATCAGCGTAGGCTATATTCATCTATAATTTAAGGATCTGGTCTACGGTACATAAGACAGACAATCTGCTGTTTGAAACGGCTGATTTGATACTTGGTCAAATACGTGCCATCAAATTTGTTATGCAGATACCATGAGATTGGTACACAGATGATGTTTAGTAAAAAATTGCGAAAAGATTTTAGTTATTGGAATTAATTAGGGGCACGAGCCTCACAAAAACACCTGAAAACAGATATCGAAAATTGAACACTTACTCATGCCTGACACCTCGCTGTGTTTAACACGTGCTGCTGCAAATATCACAAGTGCACCACGATAACAAATATTTTACAAAATAATCTGTTTTTAATTGTGAAACTATCACACGTATTATCAACCTTGCCTCGCGAACAGATGCTACCGCAGCACTCCCATCATACTCCTATGTTTCATCGATTTCCATACAATCATTTATTTATAACAACATCCCACGGATGTACAGTCCCTAGCTCCAGTTCAACAGAACAATAAAAAGTAAAAGTATGAAAAGCACAAACTTGTATGCATCTGGGTTATAATGCACCGGTCTAAATGCTTGTGCACGTCTGGGCGATCTATCACTGTAAAAAGCACTGTTGTATGCTCTGCGCTCAAAGTGGTTGTTCAAAACGTTGAAGAAATTGTCATCGTTATACGTGTAGTAGAAATGGTAAAATCCTGGTCCGCTCTCGTAAAATCTATTAGTATAATTAAACATGTCCGTGTTGTAGCGTGCATGTGTACGAAATCTCGTCTGTGCACGCGCATCCCTGTCCAGAAGATAGTCTTTCGCGTTTAGCATCTTCTTGAAGGCCTTTTCGCTGTTCTTCAGTTTGCACCTGTCGGGATGCACGAGCAAGCTTAGTTTGCGAAAAGCCTTTTTTATTTCATCATCTGTAGCATCGCGTTTTATTTCCAGAATGGCATAGCTGTCCGTTTCTCGCAGTATTTGACTTATTTTTCTCTCTATGTCGCTTTTATCTGGAGGTACTCTTCTGGTAGTTTGTGATTCGGCATCAAAACCGCCCAAACTATTACCGGTCGTCATCTAAGGGTGAAAAATTGGATGTGTAAAAGAAATTAACGACCATGCCCACAAACTTGGCAGTTGAAACGCCGGCACGACCGTGATTGTATCACGTGCTTGGTGGCGCATTCAAAAAGTCATTATTATGCGGGCAAAAATGCCGTAATACAGCAAAACGCTTGCAACGAAAACTCGGCAATGTAGAATGTTCTAAATTATTGGCAATGCATGAGAGCTTCGCAGGATAAGTGAGCAGTAACATGTCTATGAACACACAATTGGTTACTTCAATGGTACAGCTGGGAAAACACCTCAAACACACATGCAAGATATGGGTTCGTATAAACAAACTGGAAATACGGTAGAAGCTGTTTATGTTTACGCCGACCACCAACATGATAAAGAAGGATTGACGGGCTGTTTACCTTTCTACTACCAAAATTTGTGAACTATGAGCAGTTCATCGCCAGTAAACAATTTCTTGTTTGGGAATACACTACATTATTTATTTTTATTTAATTCTCTACACCCTACGTTCACAAGAACATGCGAAAAGCACAGTCGCCACAAAAAGCGGAGCAAAAAAAAGATCCAAATAAGCAAGAAAAAAGTTCTGACACAGACACGCGGAAAACTATGGAGCCGAAAAAGGATGTTTATAAGGTATTTGATCAGAAGAAAGACTCGGTGAGGCAGGATAGAATGGCACCGGCAGCCGACAGCAGAAGAGACATAGGCAAGGCTTACGAGATGAAGAGGGAGTTTGCAAAACAAGAAAGATGCACATTGATTGTCGACCAGACGAGAGAGCTATCAAACCTTTTTGATACCAAAAAAGACGGCAGACTGGATGGCCAGACCATTTTTCGTGAGCAGAGTAGGGAGCTTCACAAGCCTTTTGAGCTACGGAGGGAGATGGGCAAAAATATAGATCAGAAAAGGGAACCGCCTTTGAAAGCAGTAGAGCCTAAAAAAGATGTGATAAAGATGGCAGACCAAATGAAATGCATACCTCTGCATCAAAAAGAGCCATTGACGGCTGCAGAGATGTGGAAAAATGCAGCAAAGCTTTTAGATTCTAAAAAGGTACCCAAGAAATTCAATTTTGTTGATCAATTCGATAAAAAATTTGCACCTAGGAGCTACACAAGAGATGAATATCCGATCGCGTTTCATCAGTCGATACTGTACCAAAACACACTGCGAAAGCCGCCACAAACCAAGGATCGGGTGGCAGTTCCCGATTTTTTTCCAAAACAGGGCATTCACATTTTTGAGGGGCCTGAGGTGTACCACAAATTAGATATAGACACTCTCTTCTTCATATTTTACTTTGCCAAGGACGAAAAACAATACTTTAGTGCCCGCGAGCTCAAGAAGTATTCGTGGAGGTTCCACACAAAATACAACACGTGGTTCCAAAGACTGGAGGAGCCAAAGCTTATTACGGAGTATTATGAGCAGGGAGTATTCTTGTTTTTTGATTATGAAGTAACATGGACGAATAGAAAGAAGAAAGATTTTACTTTTGAGTACAAATATTTAGAGAATATTGAAATGTAAATAAAGACTTATTAAATTTGCTAATCAGCACTTTTTGCGAAGCTCGCATGCACCAGCGAACATGCTGTGCAACCGTTTGTTAAAAGTCTAAATTCTTCGGTTTTATAGAATAGCACCGATCAATAATATTTTTTTATCGGTGCTTAGACCGAGTGTTTTAGCACGTTTTCTCTACGAAAGACATGCGGTGGATCCACAGAAGTAAATGGTGTTATAAAAAGTGAATGAGGGAGGAGATCGAATAAATTGATTTTCTGTCTTAGATTGTATGCCAATCGAATAAAGACCGGAACGTTCCTTTTCTTGCCGGTATATGCCCATCGTGAGCAGTTGTTCCATGAGCTTTGATTTCAGGATAGCAACTAACCAAATGATTGTAGAATTAGCAAAGACCTCCCAAAACAGCAGTTTGCAACACCGTGGTTGGCAGTAACCGACCAGAAGTTAGCATATGGATGGTCTGATGTTGTAGGTGAGGTATAGCTGTAGCAAGAAAGCTTTGTTTGATCCAATTTTATGAAAACCAGGTAAGCATCGCTTTTTGAAATGTAAATTGGCATTTACTACGATTAGGTCAAATAATGGGAGTAAACGAACAATTCATACCAAACAGAAATTAATGAGAGAAATGACCTCCGCAGGTACTTGGCCAAATAATAATTTGCCATTTAACATAGTAATAACAAATATTTAGTCATATTTCTTTATCTATCACAACTTTTTTGTGAAATTTGCTCACATTATCTCTCCACGCAATCTCACCATCGCTAACTTTGATCCACAACGACAGTGCAATGTATTTATCACCGATCCTTTCTCGAGCCACGCCACTCATAATCCTGTACGCGTGCGTAAACACATCTCTGATAGCATTCATATTCGTCGACAGGCTTCCTACGTCATGGGTATTATCTGTAGGATCCTCGATGGACAGGTAGTTGTTATTATCCTTCTTTTTGTAACCGTACGAACAAATTTTGGCCTTGTCATAGCAGAAATCCTGGCCGTAAAACAGAAACAAATCCATGAACAAAACGGATAGATTGGGTGTAATAGGCATTTGGCGCTGCACGAGTGGGTGAAGATTGAGGAAACTGATAATCATCAACAGCTGTGCATATGAACACAGTCCTCCTCTTTTGCTTTCGTTCAATCCGCGCGATTTAAGAAAATACTTCAAAAACAGCGCTATATCCTTGATGTATGGCTGCTGCTGCAGTACCTTTTTTACAAACTTGGTGTGTACTATGCCAGAATCCTGATTTAAAGACAAGTCATATCTGAAATGGCAGATATCCATAAATCTAAGTATGGGCACCCGTGCTTTGGACAAAAAGATAACGCTCTTCGTAAAGATAAAAGCACTGTCGCACAAATATCCTTGCAACTTCTTCAATGCGTCTTTTTCCTTGGTAAAAAGTGTCAAATCAATGTCCCCACCTGGTAGGTACAGCCCGGTCTCGTAGCTACCAAAGCAGTTGACCGTGTCCTCGTAACTTGCAGTCTCGTTCTTTTCGGCAACCGATTTATCATCTTCTGTCTTTTCCTTTCCGTTCTCTATCTCGCCACCACCAATTAAATTTGACTCTTTGCCCGATACGTTTGTTGAGCAGTCATTTCCGCTCTCAGTGCCCATTCTCTGCCTCCTTATTTCCTTTAACCCGCTCAAAATCAATTGCCTTACTCTTTCTATCATGACTTTTCTAAGAGCAACCTCCTCATGGCTTGGCTTCAGGAACTCAATGAACTGTCTCAGTTCATTGTTTAGATGGTCCATGAACGAAGTTTTTCTCGATGGATCGTATTTCGGGTTCCTATTGAGAAATGTGAGTGCCTCGAACACGGTGTATGGCCTGCTCTCTTCATTGCTCTTGATTTGAACGTAGTCTTCTCGCATTAGGGGTATCGCCCATTTTTTAGCGCTTCTACTAAAATACTTTTTATGGCATGGTGCGTGCCCCATGTGTGCGTAGCATGTCGTTAATTGCATTTTTGCAAATTTTTTATTTGCATAAGCGCAGTTTCAATCAATTGAAAATTTTAATTGAACATTCCACTAACTTTGGCACAATTCATTAGGTAACAAAGAATTTTGGTTGCATTCCAGCTCTGCACCATACAAGCAATAATTACAGATCAATTGATGCACATCCATTATTTTATACGAGTTATTGCTTTATAAATGAGCAAATGTTTTGGTTGAATGAAAATTGGAGAAAAGGCTTTTTGTCTTACGTTATACCAAGATGAAAATTACAAAGTAACTGAATGATGTGACTAGGATCAGCAAATGTGTCTAAAATAAAGAGATAGTCGAAGAAAAAAGAGTATCTGTAAAAAGAGAATGAGCAATAGCATACAAAAGACGTATAAAATGAATCGGCAAGCAATCAAAACCAACAATCAACGTAATTTTTATCAATTAACCAATATCTAAGCTAAACACTCTCATCATACTATCATCGCTCACCGTAACAATCGTATTCCCGTCCACTTTGATTTCATTGACAGACTTGCCGTGTATCTTCCGTTCATAAACCTGTGTATACGTGCCGTCATTCGTAAACACTTTTATGAATCCATTTTTCAGTCCTACAAAAAGGTTCTCTCTGTAAAATCTAAGTGCTGTAACTTCCTCTTCAAATTTTAGCGTCCTAATTACCTCAAGACAATCCACAGAATAAATTAGCACATTTCTGTCTTTTGAACCGGTGGCGAACAGCGTGCTTGTATCATCGAAACTGGCAGTGTTTATTTTCCTCGTGTGAGAGAGAATTCTCTTTCTAAAGTCTAAATAGTACAGCGAATCTTTCAAAATTTTGTTTATGACTTTCTCCGATCCATCCGCATCGATTTGAATGGCATTTTTACCGTCTTTACGCACGTATTCATTCTTTTCAGAGTGACTTCGGCTTCTATCCAAAATCTGGTAAAAAGACACGCTTTTATCCCTCGACACCGCCACGACGTACTCCCCGCTATTACTGATCTCAATATTTTCAATTCCTAGGTTGTGCACAGCTATGTACTGCACAACAACGAAATCTACAATCACAAAAATACCAGAAAACTTTAGCGATGAGCTTTTGTTTGCACACAGGATAATTTTGTTGTTGGATGCTAGACATGCATTGGCAAAGAACTGCGCGTATATTTTCTTCCTCTCCCTAAAGCAAAGAATGTTCTGCAGCGTGTGTTCGTTCAGGAATAACGGAGTTGTTATTTTTCTTATTTCGTTTGTGAGTGACAGCTCGCTCGGTGTGGCCACGAAGGGAGCATCCTCCTGTTGTACCTCGCACTTTTCATCAACTGTACCCGTGCCGAAAGTATCGCTACCCGGTTCTGTGGCGCTAGTTCTCAGATCAATGTCGTGTAAAATTTTTTGCACTCCACTTGTCTTTTCGTACACCCTCAGGATACTTTCATCCGATCCAACAATGATGTAATCGTTGAAAAATACGGCACTTCGTATAGGATGTCCGTGAATGCACGGTCGTGCCACTTCCCTCAATTTGTAATACAATCTTACCGTTCTGTCTGGTGAGCCAGTCAGTATAAAGTCGTTTTTAACGTCTAGCGTTGTTATTTTATCAACATGACCACTTACAGACTCTACCAGGTCAGTGTTGCAATACCTGTACATTCCACCGTTGTACGATTGCACTATCACGAAATATTCGTTTTTTTGCTCTGTTTTTCTGTCGGATCGCTCCATATCCTCTTCTTCGAGCATGCCCAGTTTTTCATTTATAACCAGTGCACTGTAAAACGGAGTGCTCATCAAATTTCCCAGTCTTACCTTACTCTTCCAGCCGTCCTTAAACTCCCATACGATAACACAGTTATCGGCACCTGCACTGATGATCTCGTCATGGTTATCAACAAAATTGCTCTCGTACACGTAATCACGGTGTCCTATCAGTGTGTCTACGTGTTCAAGTGTCTGCAAGTCATGAATTTTTGCCGTCTTGTCCTGCGAAGATGACAATACAACTGATTCGTTAATTTTAATATCAGTTACCGTATCTTCATGGGCCTTTACGCTCTTCACCGTGTAGCTGTGCATGCGCTTTATATCTGTAATTTTCTCTATTTTGCGTTCTTCCCGGTACATATGTTCATATCCATGCGTACAATCCGTTCCAAAGCTGTTTCTGCCACTTTCATCAAATCCTAGCAGACCTGCGAGTGAGATCGTAAATTTTAAAATTTTACCATCCAACGTTCCGCACACCAAGAACACGGATTCGTCCACGATTATACAGTCTAAGGCGGTGGTGCCCTCCTGTTCAACATAGAAAACGCATTTCTCGCAAAAAATGTAAATTTTGTCAAAAGAGCAAAACACCTTCACATCGCATAACATCCCGTTATATTTCACTATTCGGCTCTTGTTCACAGCCTGAATAGCATCATTGCACTCAAATATCACGGCATTGTTGTGTTCCACGTAGTTGTCTCTATCACTCAGAATGATTCCATCCCTAACCTTTAAATTCGTGATTTCACTCCCATAACGTATGATCGGTGTTATTTTATTGTTCTCGTACCTCATTATGTTGGTTGAAGCTGCATAATAAATCACATTCTTCTCCTGACACATGACATGGTTTTTTTGCGCGATGCCTGCACTGTTGAAAATGTTCTTGAGCATTTGAAGGGGCACAATGACCAAAATTAATAATGACCGCAGAGGCGGTGCATGATATTAAAATACGGACCGTCTTTCTTCCGCTAAAATGCGTGTATCCATCTTCTTATACGATAACACTTGGCAGCACATTTTCTGGTCTGCTGGGATCAATCGTGGCCACCAATCTTTGGTTCGTGGATACATACAGGTGGTTAGGGTCAAGATTTGCCACCTCACAGGCCTAGCACGTCCACAGCAGTTAAAAGAGGAGAAAACACAAAAACACGGCAACAAAGCCGCAAACATGTGGTAGAATTCGTATGAATGGCCATGTTTAATCATTTACACACTATCTAATGGCACGTTCCCGACACGTTAATTATTTGCCGAGTTTGTCCAGGCTGTACGAAATATCACCCATCTCATCCGACAGCGAGAAAATGTTGTCAAGAGAAACATTCACCTGTTCCAAATAATGTATTATTCTGTCCAACTCATCTTCTGTGAAATTATCTGACATTGAGGGGTGATTAACTCAATGGTATAAAGAAGGACCGTGATGTAACGAATAAATTTGGTATTCATTTTAAAAAGAAGAACAAGGAAGGGGGAACTACTCGGTTTTACTCAAACATAGGATTTTTACCTATGCAGAGATACTGATGAAATACCAGGACTTGGTACGCAGGGGTACATTCAAATGCAACAAACCTTTAATATCTGTGATGCCGTATTCTCGTGTGGACAAACTTACAATGCCATACACATCGGTACGCCATTAAATACATGTTTGCATCTTGTGCAGCTCATCAAAGACAAATTCGAGCCAGTGCAGCAATATCTCATTTTCTAATACGCCAAAATTCACAAATAAGTACCTGATCAGATCCACAAATATCTCTGTTCCCAATATTTTGCTTACTCTCATAAAATGGGTAAACACCACCACGAAAAACAGTCTTCTCTCATTCTTGGCGCTCGGTAAGATGCAGAGATTGTTTTTCAGGTTTGTAAAAATCATCTTTAGGTCATCATACGTGAATATATCATACACTGCGTATTGGAAGTATGTAGCAACTATGTTGGTGAGCTTACTTGCGCCTACTTCTTCCAGCACGTTTCTCTTAGGCATACCCTTTCTTAAAAAGCCTTTGAGATCGCTAACGCGTATTGTCTTATAAAATTTGATGCTCTGCCTTTTGCTCCCGAAGAAACTGAAGGTAATAATCGTGTCTTCGTCCTCATTGTCGTCCCTGTGTTTGCTCAGCTCCTCCTCTATAAATAGCATGCACTGCCTTATAATATTAAACACTGCCATGTTGGTCTCGATAAATTTGTAATCTCCGGGTATTCGTAAGCCGTAATTATCCTGTTGTTCATTAACCATGAGATTGCAGCGCATCTCAGCGTTCTTTTCCTTCTGCAGAGGAAAGAATTGCGTGTTGATCTGTATGCTTTTGAGAAACAGGCTCCTAAATCTTGCTTTGAACTCGTTGCCATCCATGATCAATGGCTTGATTCCTATCTTCTTCGAACTGTACACAGTACATTCTATCAAGTTTCGCTCAAGCAGGGTTTCACCCGCAGGTTTGCTGGTATGGCTCCGCGATAGCACATTGCCATCCATGTCTCGCTTTGCACATTCATGAGTTATACTCGTTTTAATCGTCTTCTGTCGTATAGTCCATATCAGTTTCTCCCTATTAATCAAGAACTTGCTAATCTCTGCATTAATTTTGCCAATCATCTTCCGTTCCCTTCCCTTGCTGATTTCCTTACTGCTGAGGTTGAGAACTATCGAATTGCCCCTTTTCTGGTACTTATCATACTCTATCACGTGATAAAACATGAACGAGCTATCAATTATGTCAAAGAACATTTTACTCTGCTTTTTCATGGAATAGTCATTGTTCCTGAAAAAGAAGAACTCCTTTAGAAAATCGTTGGCATTTCTATCCTTAACACTCACAACGAATGTTTCAGTTACGTCATCACCCGTATTGATTACTCGGCTGCCTGGTACGTTTGCCAAATTTTTTTCTGTAACCTCTTCGGTAAAGATAAACTTCAGCATGTTTTTGCCCACTTGTATTATTCTCACATTTTGTAGAGGCAAATATTTTACAAAGCACACCTTCAACCCGTTCTCTTTGAACACATCTGTCTCATTACTGCTTCGTGCTGCCACCATGATGATATCATTGTACAGAAAAAATGTCAATCGCACTATTCCTGCTATATCACCATTCAGCTGTCTTTTAAATGCCCGTTTAACGTTAAGAATATCGGGTGGACAATTTTCAACCCTTTTTTGGATAATAAAAGCTTTTCTTCCGCTCTCAAAACAGAACCTTTCCCTATCAAGCTCAAAAATAAAATTACTGAGCTTGGTCAGGGCATCCGTAAACCGTTTAGTAATGAATCGAGCATCGATGTATTTGTAGAATTTCTCCAGAAACTGTTTATAACGAACCATACGTTGCACTGGAAGTATAAAAACACCTTCCAGGCCACCCTCAAACGAACCAAGCAATACTTTCTTCGATTCTAATATCGGTGTAATATCATGCATACTGTAAAGTGTGAAGAATCCCTTATACTTCTCCATTAATTCCACATAGTGATCGAAAAATACGAAAATCTTCTCAACTCTGTCACTCACCTTCCCCATATTTTCTAATTTCTCAACAATCTCAACGATGGCCTCATTGAGATTGCCGCCACTAAATTCATAAAACGAGCCATCAAGCAGGCGTTCCGCTACTTTGGCCATTTCGTTTGTCGTTTCAGTACCCGAGGTACGGAACTGCTTTCTTTCATTGCAGGTTTGCTCGGTTGCTCTGTGCGATGATGAGGAATTATATATTGACGAGCTATTACGTGATGCATCAAGAGAGCTGTCGGTCCCACTATCTTTAACTCGGTGATCAAATCCGTGCACTAAAATGTTTTTGTAGTAACTTTCATCCGTATCCATGTTGCGCATCCCTCTCCACTCCAGTACACTATCTGTAAAGCCTAGTATTCTCATGAAGAAGTAAAATATTACCCGCTCACTTTTGAGAACCTCTTGAAAATTTTCAAATACCTTTCTAACCTTCAAGTCGGTAATTTGTTCACATTTCCTCACAACGTTATCATAAAAAGACTCCAAGATCAAATGGTAGTTGTTCTGTGTCTGAAAAAATTCTGTGAAGCAGCTCTTCAGTTTTTTAAATGATGGCACCTGTTTCAGATTTAGCTCGCTGACAACAATTTGAGGCTTTTTCTTCGTTGATAAAAAATTAAAATCTTGGTTTTCGAGCGGCGCGCCGAGCAATAATGGAATGAGATCGCCACTCTTGGATTGGTCAACAATTTCCAGTGCATCCTCCAGATCCTTGTCCACGACAACATCCACTGCAAAACTGTTCTCTGCTATACCGCCTTCCACATCGTAGTACTCCTCCTCTTGTATTGTGTTGAACTTAGATTGAACCGCCTTGAAACTAAAGCTTTCTTTTTTAGCACTGAGGCTCTCCAAGACCTTGTTGTATTCTGTTTCGAGGTCCAGAAAAGAGACCGCTGTGTTCAGGTCTGTGCTGACAGAACGGCTCCTTTCTGTAGTATTTTCTCGCAGTGACTTATAAAGGGACTTTACCGTTCTGTTCCAGAAGCCCTTGGCCGCTTCAGGCTGGGTCTTGGAGAAAATCTTGTCGAGCGGCACACCGTTCTCGTAGTCTAAACTTTGCTGTGATGGTATTAGATCACATATAAAGCTGTTGTATCCCAGACGCAACGCATCAAGGACCATATACGAATTGTCCACGTGTTTCTTGCTGAATTCGTACTCATGTGTGCCAAACACACTCTGAACGTACACTATCATCGTGTTCATCTCTACTACCGAGAAAACTGTGCTGCTGAAGTCCAAAAGATTTATTATGAACAGTTTAGCGTTCAATGGTCTAATTCTAGCGTTGTAATAGCCTATTGGCGGGAAGCGCGTATATTTCTTATACTCCGAAAGTATTGCCGGATATTCATCCCATAAATTTATCTCGTTAAATCCATCGCTGTTCTTGTAATCGCTATTTCTTTCTTTCACATCCAAAGTTGCGCTGTCGACATCTCCAACCGGGTCTTTCATTTCTTGTGACATCTTCAAGGGTGTGCGTGATGGAAAACAAGATGATAGGAAAGTGATAACTAAGTGTATAAACAATATCGCTTAGCCAGTTACACACCAAACGTACACGTAATTCAAACGCATCTCATGATTTGTGTTGCCAATCTTTTGTGTGTTGGATGGAATAAGTACGTATCCAGTTCCAAAACAAAAAAGTCCTAATCTGTTCATATTCCAGCCAATAATACACGTAGTAGAGTTAAATATTGTGTTTTTTAATTAATTGCGCTTAATTAATGTTTTTATTATTGTTTTTATTATTGTTTTGCGCCTAAATTTTTACTTTCCTTTTGGGCTCGTCAAATTTACACCGCAATGCGTTGGCCATTGTACACGTGCCACATTGAAAACAGCTCTTTCACTGCATGGAACAAAACATTAAATTGCTGTAAATAGGAGTAAATAAATTACCTGTAACAGGTTCTATGCCGGATCACTATGTTTTATTCAAGTTCTAGATTTGCACAGCAAATTGGTGCTGAATAGCGAGCTCTCCACGATTAATCGTTATATGATCCGGTAAGATTCATCATACTGTATAGGGCGCATGAAGAAATGATCTTTTGTACGCCAATATAAGTTTACTTCCATTCTGCAAAACTAATGATAATGAGTACGCAGCTAAACCACTTTACAGCGCGTATTTTATCCTTTCCATAACGTAATACGTACGATAAATATATTTTACATATCGCATCAGGTATATTTATAGGAATGCTGGAGCTTTAATCATGAAGTACCGCCCAATGAACCGTTAATAAGAACGCTTAAACCGCTAAAAAAGCTCTTATTCCCGATTTACTACCGGTAACATGGTTGCTGGATGCAACTAGGTGAAACTAATCTTACCTGAGCAACAGAACTCGATGTTTAATTCACTCCGTGTTATTTTGGTAATTTAATTAGTGCCTACGACTAAAAATGTTAAAAATGGAAGAAAAATAGAAAATGTGATGCGCAAACTGAATGAACCGATCAGTACGCACGAAGTAAACCCGGCCTGTCAAAGCTGCTTAAATGTAGAACATAAAAAATTTACTCACACGAATTTGAAGGTTCAAAACAGAAAAGGACCAGCTCAAACAAAAATGTGCTAAGGTTTGACTGACTGCAATATTGCCAGCTGTTTAATTGTTTGTAATTGTTAATTTTCATTTTGCAACGAGGTGTACCAGACCGACAAAAACATGTGAAACTGCGAACGGTCCAGCGTCCTTTTTGATCTTTTTTGTCTATTGCAAGGCAATTACGGCTATAACTCGTAAATCGATAAATTTTACCCTCCATGTCAGAAGGTATAGCGTACCACGTAATTATAATAGGAAGCGGTCCGGCAGCGTATTCAGCGGCGTTATATCTCCAGGATTACCGTGTGCTCATGTTGGAAGGCGGCATTGTCGGGAATAATGGTCCTGGTGGCCAGCTTACCACAACAACGGTGGTTGATAACTATGCAGGGTATCCGAATGGTATAACAGGTCCTGAATTAATGGCAACCATGAAGAAGCAGGCGGAACATGAAAATCTTTGCACCAAGGAGGAGACAGCAACCGCACTTTCTGTGAGTAGCGATTGTCCAATTTTTAGGGTGAGCACGAAGAAAGGTGATTATTTCGCTTATTCGATCGTGATCGCAACAGGTGCACAGGCAAAAAGACTGTGTGCGCCTGGAACGGCAACTTTCTGGCAGAAGGGCATTTCTACATGCGCTGTATGTGATGGTTACATATTTTTAGACGAGGTTGTTGCCGTGATTGGAGGTGGTGATTCGGCAATGGAGGAGAGCCTTTATCTGGCAGGAATCGCGCGAAAGGTGTATTTGATACATCGACGTGACACGTTCAGGTCAAGAAAGGACATGCTTATGAGGGCCGAAAGGAACAAGAAGATAGAAATAATACGATCGAGCACTTTGGTGGAGGCCAAAGGCGATAAATGTCTTAAGAGCATCATCATAAGGAATGTTGTTGACGGCGTGTCGAGTGAGTTGGCAGTTGATGGCCTATTTTTTGCGGTTGGTCATTTACCGAACACCGATTTCATAGAAAAGGACTTCGTTGAAATGGACGAGGGATACATCAGAACGGACTCGTTGATGAGGACCAGCCGAACGGGTGTATTTGCATGCGGAGATGTACAAGATCGGGTGTATAGGCAGGCTAGTACAGCAGCTGCATCCGGATGCATTGCTGCCCAGTCCGTTCACGAATACCTGAACAGCAGCAATATAAAAATTTAGAAAGTAAATTTTTTCACTAAAAACGCATCCATTTATTTCCTCACATTTTTGGTCCGCTGAGACCAACCGCTGCCGCTATCTTTTGGTTCATAGAACAACACTTGTTTTCCTATCAATCATCGTAAATTTAATACCTACATATCTCTTTATGCTCGCCAACTCGCAGTGCCCATTTATTTTATATTCCAGAACATATTTGTTGATGCAGTAGAAGGACAGAACCAAGCTATTTCTTATGCAAGACCTGAACATAACATCACAATCTGCGTTTAACAAACACTTAGTTAATAGCACCAAGCTACAGAAACAGCCATAACGAGAGGAATGCGACAAAATTACAGGGTACCAGAGCTACATCTGATGCTCGATAGAATCGGAAGTTTTGGATAGCGCACAAAAAAACATTGACTAGAGCCAACAAGCCATCCATTAAAAACTGTCTTAAGAAAAGCATATTTACAACACAATGTATTGGCTATCCACTGATGAGGTCAGCGCATTCAAGAACATTGATCGGCCACATGATAGATTGCATGTAAAATTTCTAAAATACGGCTTGAAACCAGAATACAATATGTACCGCTCAAGTCCAGCGCTACATATCAACGGGTCTAGGAATAAGCAGAAAATTAATTTTTGCCAGGAAATGGCAAATAACGCTTTTACTGCTACAACTCCTGATATACCAAATTTTGGTGTTTCATTCCCAGGTTTATGCAATCCAGAACCGCATATATAGTTTGTTAAATGTTTGCACTGGTCTTAAGCATTACACATAAATCATACACGCCTGGCAACAATACAGCCCACAAGTTCAAATCTCCTCCTGATCAATAATCATACCGCACTCACACTTGCAGATTCCATTCGCCAATATGAATGTATGCTTATGTGTCCTGATTTTCATTCTATCTTCTATTAACGTACGTTTTCTCAGCTCCTTCACCCTCTCCCTAATTTTTTTCTTTTTTTTATCCAACAAAAGCTCTTTTCTTCTTTCTTTCTCTGTTTCTGCGTTCTCTATGCTGCCCCATTTCTTTATTGCTAGCTCTTCAATCTCCTCGAGCAGGAACAATTGCATGTCACTCCACGTACCCTTCTTTGGATTGGGCCGTGTTAAGTACCTGCTGTTCTTCAAATCATCGCTCGTCAGCAAATACTCTCTTAGTACGGCTGTTTTGTTGATGAGATGCAATTTATCGTACTTGCAATCATTGCATACGCTCACACCAAAAGTTTGTTGCACTTCAAAGTCGATACGGGGGTTCTCGCAATATTTGCACAGCCTGTTCGCAGCGATAGGCAACTTCAAGGACGGCTCTTGCACCTGTTTTGGTTCTTTTGCCTTGTTATTCTCATCTTTGATGAAGCCGTGTTCCATATAGGGGCTGGTAAGCACCGATTCGTTATTAATGAGCAGATTGCTCTTGATGAGATGGCAATTGCGGTTAAAAATAGCACATGATGCCAAAGTAAGAGGTGGCATCAGACACGATATTAAAATATGTGATTAAAAACAGAATGGTGATGGAATTGAGCGCGTAAAGGAGCTATAAATCTGCAGCACCGTTGTAATATAGGAGTTCAATAAGTTATATGTTGTTTTTGTGTGCTACGTCGCGTAAAATGAACCGTGTAATATGACAAAGCAGCCTATCACAATCACTCTCTACGATTGCGTACAAACTCATTCATCATTTTTCACAGGTTTTAATACGCTGCAAAGGTAGAAATAATACATTATTGAATGCTTAGGCCTCCACGCCGTATAACACGCACTCCTATATTTTTGTTTCAAACTGATTGTTACACAAAATGTTCATAATTTTTTTACCCACTAAAAACTTTTGCGTGCCATGACCAACACAAGCTCATCCTCAGCATCGTTCACAAACACCGATTCGCTCTCCGATTCGGATGACACATGGATAAGTCGTTTCCACAACCGATCAGAGAACTCCGGTCTAATCATGATACACGATTCGTTTCTCCAAGACAAGTTCAATCTCGTTGGCCTGATGAGATATATATCGAACCTAAGCAGATCATTTGACGTAATAAAGAACAAAATGCCCAGCAGGAACAAAAAGGAAGAGGCGTTGTTGTACTATTTGGTGCACCAGCGATATATTCTGACGAACGCGGGGATGGAAAAGATGCTGGAGAGGGTCATTCAACATTTTTATGGGGATTGCCGACGTATGGGATGCGAGGACATCCCGCTTATACCGCTGGGCCTTTCGAACAATCCAAAAATCTCATCCGTTAAGCTCTATTGCTACAATTGCAATAATGTGTTTGATCCGGACAACTCACTATCTGGGCTGGATGGCTGTTCTTTCGGCAGTTCTTTTGCACATCTGCTTATTCTCACGCACAAGGAGAATTTTCCAAAGAAAAAATACGGAAATTACATTCCCCGAATCTTTGGTTTCCGGATATACGAGGAGAAAGAGAATCAGTGATACTTTGTTTTTAGTAAAGCTTATGGTTCTGGTGTAGTCGGCCATTTCGTTCCGGAATGCTATCAAGGCGCGATTAACGGAATAATAATTTTTTACACGGGCACTTCAGCGTTTTTAATGACACAGTACACACGATGAGGTGATCATCGTCTACGTACGAAAGTGGTGTGCTATTAATGTGAGCATAGCTTCTATCTGATTCCTTTGTCGCGCGCTGTAATCGAGTACAAGCCATGATTTACTGCGTCAGCCAGCAAACGCAATATTGTTGTTTGGCACATCTCGTCAAGTACACGCAACTTTACGGGCACGCTTGCTCAAACGTTGCCACTGCTGATCCTTCAGTCGATGATGTGCACCAACGATTTACGCTTAAGCACGACCCTGAACAACATTCAGAATATTTTCATCACTTTCTCATGCCCTGTCGAATACAAAAATTTGTTTTGAAACAGTTAGACCATACGTAATCAGCAACCACTTTCTAATATGTCTCTAACCGATCTCTTGATAATAAAATATCTCGGCTGTGAATTGTTACTGTGTATAAAATGTCGATCAGGTTCGTTTCCTTACTCGCGCCTTTAACCGTACTTTTAAACCAGTGTTGCGATGTAAAAGATGTTCTAAATTATATTTTACGTACCGAACTGTAGAGATGCAGGCTATTGTTGAATGTAGATGTGTAAATGAGGATATTTGTGCTTGAGCAATCTCATTTTTGTTGGAACAAATCTATTCGAAACGGCAGATCTTTTTTCTCATTTATCGCATCTTAAGATGAATGTGCACATATTTAGATGCGTAACATCTTACAAACCAATCATTTCTGACCAGCTCAGAGCTATCAAATGCTGATTATTGTCCGGTCCAATCGGAAACAGCACCATTCTAAAACACAGTAAACGATTTTAAGTTTCAAATAGAAAAAACAAAAAGAGCACTACGATGACAAAAGGCACAAAAAAGCGCATATCTAAGCTAAACGAGTATATAAAACGCAGAGAATTTGTGAAGATAAGAGATTTATTGAAATTGTTGGAAGACGCGAGCCTGAGTGCTGAAGAGCACGAAATGTTGAGAAAGGCTAAAACGCTGCTGAAGAATCTCATAAGAATTGAAGTTAGAAAGTACTTGGCTGTCAATAGGACGGTAGAAAGAATGAAAATAGAGATAATAATGCGAATGGATGACGATTTCATTGCTGAAATGCGCTCTGTGATACGAAATTCGATGCTTAAAAGGTATTTAAATGAATTTCAGACCAACAGCACATGCCTGACCAAGCTATCAAACATTAAGGAAGCTCTCAACAACCTATGTGAGATGTTTGACAAGGTAAGATTTGGATGCAGCAACATACCGAAAGAATGGAACTTAGAAGGCGACTTTATGTTTTATTGCGTGTTGCACGTCAAGGAGATTCTTTTCGAGTCTTACATAGGAAAATGGAGCACTAAGGAGTATGTTGAAGCACTAAAGCATATTATTGAGTTTGAAAAGAAGAACACAAAGTATTACTTTTCCAAGGAATGCTGTTATGGCTACAAAGAAGGGGAATATGCCAATAAAACGTGTAGTGGTGGAGATAACACGTTGAAAGAGAGTAGGGATAATAGATCGGCAGCAGAAACGGAGAGAAAAAGTAGCGTTAACGATGTGAAAAACGTAAAGAGTACGAGTAGCATGGGTAAATTTGAGAGCTTAGTCGATAATAAGCCATCAATAGATAAAAAACATAGCGATTCTAACGAACGAAATGGTGATATTTCACGCAACCAGGACGACATGAACTGTGCGAACAAAAATTTGACCGGTGGAATTGTCAAGGTCGATGTTGTGAAGGCTGCCACGCAGCTAATTCTTTTTGACAGAGACCAAGTTCTTACATCCAAACCAAACATCAAAACCAATTTTATCGTTCTCTATGATGCCAAGCAGATCATCGTATCAGATTTTTGCAGGCACAGAAAGATGCTATCGCACTTGTTGCTCCCAAACATAAATCTGCTCATCAATGATCTGTTCCTCCCCGTTAAGAGAGTCGCAGTAAATCAGAAATGCGTAGAGATGAACCTGATTGCATCTTTTATTCAATTTTTTAGAGAGTTGGGGAATGTTTTGATGGTTGTTCGGCACTTTGAAAGTGCAAGCGTGCACGAGTTGTTTATACACGAGGCAAACAGCACACTTTGCATGCTGCTGGCACATGTAACTGTGCCTTATAGCTACAAAGACCTGGTTGTCATCCTCAACACTTTGTACTTCGTTGAGACCACTTTTTTAGAGCTTGTGGAGAAGATAAGGAAGTGGGGAACTATTGACCATGATGTTAGCACATACGTGAGAAAACTGGAAAGCAAGGTCACCACTCGGATTGAAAGCATTTTGAAGGTTATTTTTAGGCGAAACGTGAAAAAGAAATTTGCGTTTTCAAATGAGTTTATAGAAATGCTGAAAAAAGAGGTGCTTGTGTTGGATAGGATAGAGTTTAATGAGAGCGTTTTTCAGTTTCTATTTGAAACGCTTTTCTCGCTCCTTTTCAGCAAAATGGTGAAATTTAAGATGGAGCCCCAGCTTGCCGAGCTGCTCATTGAAGAAATAGGAGAAATAAGGCTATTTCTTGAGGAACAATGGCCAAAGCTGCCGTTGATAGATGTCATGGAAAATTACCTGAAAATATTTGTGTGCACCACCGATAATGTCACAGTATTTGTTACGTGCTTTAACCAGCTGAACAACAACTTGTTTGATTTCAAGAATATCATTGAAGCACTCGAGGACTCTTCCAAAAACAAGCTCCTTGTACGAGAATACGAAAATCAAAAGAACAAAATGATCAAATACGAGAGCTGCGAATAGAAGTATCATACGCCAACAGAAAGGGAAATATTCTCAAGATAAGCAGTTAATTGGTCACAACGCCTTTAGTGTAGATTTGCGGTAAATGCTCACCTTAAAGGCGATCGGATTAATCACTGTGCAAAACATTCGGCACAGAAAAGCGAGCCTCATTGATTTCAATGCGCCAAAATCAACTTGCAAAACTTCTCATTAAACCCGTTTAATTGATAGCTCACCAAAATTACCACATTACATTACCGAAATTGCTAAGAGTCCACGTGCCGGCTCACAACTACACAGCTAGTGTTTATTTAAAATCAAAACAAATTCCTCTTTCCTTCATCCTCACACACTTTATATCATCATCCTCTACGTCATCAAATTCTACAAATCTCATCACGCTCTTCTCGTTTTCAAGTTTTTCTTCATATCCTATCGGTGGCAAAAATTCGACAATCAAATCTGTGTCCACGATGTAAATGGCATCATCGTCTGGCTCTATTTGATTAACAGTGAATCTCATAACACCGTACTCATCAAAAGAACACACAATCTCATCACCGCATGTCAGCACCTGGTAATTCACCAGACACTTCTCCAACTCTCGCTTCGGTGATTCGATTTCCAGAAAGTCGGTGGTATGGGGAAGAAGCTTGATGGAGCGGCCAGGCATCAACTGCTTATAAGTTACGGTGACAAGTCCACACTGGTCCATCTCAAGCTGCTGGTACAACCATTCAGGCACAACAATCTCTTCACCTCTCGCAGTGAACTCTAGAACGCCGGTGTGTGAGACGTACAACCGGTTGCTGTGCGATATTTCAAAGGTGTAAGGCGCCGGTATCTGCAAATTTACCAGGTCCTCGATTACTCGCTGCGGAAGCAACGCCTTTCCACCGAAGTTATTTGGATTGTTTGATGGGTACTTTGTTGGTATAAGACGCCATTTTAAGGACAGGTCGTAGTCGTTTTGCCTAAAAAAGTTGAAAAGCATGGGCTAAATTTTGTTTATAGGATTATTTATGGTCTGGAGAAAGGGGTAGGAAGAGAACATGCTCCTGGTATGATGCAGAAAGGTAAATGGTCTATAACATGTGTCTTTGCCAATGATATGCACAGCAAATAGGGGATAATGAAAACTTGGTTGGATGTAAAATACTAAAATTGCGTAACAAACGGATATTCATGGTGATGGCTTCATACAAAATTACTAATAGAACAATCGAGAATTAGAAAACTATTGAAATAATAAATGGGTGGACATGCTGATATTATGACCAATTGCACGTTCAAACAGCGAATAACACTTAAACATCACATATTTAATCAGATACGCCGTTGGTGCGTGTTATTATCGCACGCTACCATGAATACTCTGTTTATATGTCACTGAACACGTGGTTTCTCAAGTATTTTCTTATGCTTTAATCAATAGAAGGAGAGTTGGTGTCAATGTTACAGGACAGCATGTCCACTGCCCCTTTTATTCGGCCCAATAGAACAAATCGTAGCAGGAGGTACGCTCGACGCGGAAATGAAGAAGCAATACCGATACGAAGCAAGCATGGAATTTGAATTGATTGTAAAAATGATAGAAGGCGATATTAAATGGAAAATCGGTTATTTGCTCGTATAAAAGTACGAAACACAATTCATGTATATTTAGAGCATCTAATTGGTTCTTAACATGAATTATAGCGTTTCATATGAAGTAGTAGCTTGGTAGGAGAGATTGACCGCAATTTTTCCAGAACTCGTAGATTAAGCAATGGCCCTATGATCGGTAGAACCTGCATTTCACATTTTGGAATGTTTTTCCTGCTAAAGGAAAATTCTCATGTCACATCGCCACGTTCATTATGAATATTACATTTATGAAACACCATCAGACCTTATTATTAGGCTTTTGTAAGATTCTATTTACCAAAACTTTCTTCTTCGCGACATTCTCATCATTTACCGCCAACCTGTTCGGTTTTAAAGAATATTTGTGATGTATGAAATTTCTATGATTTACATTGACCTGGGTTATTTGAAGTTCAACACTAATTTTATGTTTGAAAACCACGCATTTCTGTCCCAAGTAACGAAGCAGCGAACTCTTTTTGCGTATTATTTGAGAGTTGAAAGTGATTGATTGCTTGATGAGAACCTCTTCCTGCTCGCTCACAACCAAGACCATTCGCGATAAACTTCCAAAATTTTAGAAAATTGCTTTTATCTGCCCCATGGATACGATTTTGAAAAAGACCAAAGAAGAATACGAAAAAATCATCGCATCCATACTAAAAAAGAACGAGGTATTCGTCAAAAAAGGGCCCGTTCATCTTGAAGAATTTGAAAACCAGAAATTTATGAAAGTTGTAATCCCGCAGATAGAACCTCAGCCATCATACAGGTATTTCGTGGGCAGCCGGATAAATATAAGCGGTGCTGATGACCCGGTACTGAGATTTGTTCCGTTTATTAACAGCGAGGAGAACTACACAACGATTACTAATTATGATGACACGCTACTTACAGAGAAACCGTTAACGCAGAGCGAGGCTATCAAAAATTTGGCACTGAAAAAGGTGTTTTCACAGTTCAGCGATGCAGCACTTTACAGACTGAAGTGCAACATTGTGGATGGAAAAATAAGCGAGATCAAGGATACAAGGGAGTATATAACGCTGCAAAGCGTGGCTGCGTTCCTAAAAACACGTGTTATTAAGCTGTTGGAGAAATGGGAGCGAGATTTTGATAGAAATGCAAGGCCTTTGTATACAGACAATGATTCATTCAATGCGTACTTCTGCAATGTGTGCCTAATCTTCGATTGCAATGTTCATGGTGCTTTTACAAAGAGGATGCCCAAGATTGAGAACGAAGAGCCCCCGATCAAATGTTCAAATAGATGCTATTTGTGTCTCAGTACGGAAGGCGCCTACAAACCTGATGCGCCTGCTTTTGAGGCGGCAAGCAGTACATCAATTCACACTCCGGCGCTGTCATCAAAGGATCTGTACATTGTCCAGAAAATACGCAAAAATTTCGATTTTAATTGTTGCGAACTTACCAAGGCCTTGAACTTCTTCTGTGATCTCAAGTTAAGCTGCAAAAGCGTTTTCCTAATCTCAAAGAAGCACAAAGTCAACCTAAGAAAATACACCTATAAAGAGAAAGCGACCGCAGCACCGTCAAACTACCTCATAAAATACTTTGAACTGCATCAGCCATGCGACCACCCCGGATCCTGCCAGAAAAACAAAAATTGCACCTGCCACATCAACAAGGTATTCTGTGAAAAATCGTGTTTCTGTGCTCAATGTGACCTTGTCCTGTCAAGCTGCGGATGCAGAAAATGTGGAAAATCGTGTCCGTGCAGAAAGTATTCAAGAGAATGTACCGATGGGTGTAGGTGTACACACTGTACAAACAACGACATTCAAAACATGAAGGAGCGCCCCACATACGTTGCACCAAGCATTATTGAGGGATACGGTCTGTTCACCACGGATGAATTGCACAGGGACGATTTTGTAATCGAATATGTAGGCGAAATAATCACGAATGAAGAGGCTGAGCGACGTGGTCTCTTTTATGAGAAGAGAAAGCTTTCATACCTTTTCGATCTTTCCAATCAGTCGGACTGCACAAAGGAGACGATAGATGCCACTAAGATAGCGAACAAGGCACGGTTTATTAATCACAGCAAGAACGCCAACTTGATAGCCAAGACAGTGCAAGTCGCTGGATGCAAAAGAGTTGGATTCTACGCGAAAAGAGCGATCAAACGAAACGAAGAACTTTTCTTTGATTATCGATACAAAGACGAACAGAAAAAAAATTACGAGATAAAAGAATTCATGAGCGGCTCGTAGCACATGCTAAATAAATTAATTTGTGATGAATTTAGTGTACAGGTATGCAGGTGCATCTGCTCTTAGTTATCATCCAAAATTTTATGCTTTGATTACCATACTAGGAATTTTATCACAATACCAGGATTTTTGCACAAATAATATTTTGGAAGAGAGTTCAGCGAGAAGTAGCGACATTAGAACTCATTGAGGATGCTTTTCTTCAGATTAAGCCGATACAAGTATCAAAAACCAAGTGTCGCACTCATTAGAATACAACAAGAATACGCCAATAGTACAGCGAGTATTGATACGGCTGTTCACACATCCATAATTTGGTGAAAATGCAAAAGTGAACATGGAAATATCGTGCATGTGTTCACATTAATCGTCTTAATTCAATCAGAAGCACTACCGAATTGATTTATGGTATAAAATTGTTTAGGAAACACCGTGTAGACAGGAGTGTGATTAAGTGATTCGCATTGTTTTATTTAACATTAAATCTGATATAAGTGGCTCACTAGGACATGTGTTCTCCTGCAATACACTTTTTTGTTCATTTTCGCATGTAAAAGAACGTAGCAACACCTACAACCGAAAAATAGACCAAAGCATTCGCTATAAACGTATAAAATGAATTTCCGCAGAGATACTGGTAGAGGAAGAACGCAGTGAATGACAGATGCATAGGATTAACATAATCAAAATAGAAATTTAGGAGAACCAGAACGAGCGACGGAACGATGAAAAGAACGGGCTTATCGTTTGCTGTTAGTATATTCAACATCTTAAATATTAGAAAATCAAAATTGCTGCTGAAGATAGCTTCTGTAGGTGTGGATGTGTGTGTGTCGTCCGTCATAACGCTCTCAGAAGGCTGTTTTGTGCTGGTTACGCGTCTTTTGGTCCTGTCCTTCTTTTTGACATAATCTGATGAATAGCCAGACATGGGTGGAGTGACAGACCCAAAATTAATGAAATTTAAATGAAAAGAATCAAATTACAAAACAAATGCAAAAAAAGTTTCAAAGTTTGATAATAAAAAATGAAATTCGCTCAGGACGAGAAATTATCAGGAAAGACGGTGAAATATGCATGATTGCCTGCACAACACGAAGTAAACTATCAACACGCACGTACACTGCTATGCTATTCATATGATGCACTTTATAGATACATTACTTGGAAAGTGCACTACAATTAAATATTTGTCGTATCTCAAACCGCTAAGTTTCGCGTGTTTGAAAGCCAAGAAGCTGCGTAAAACAATTACAAAAAGACTAAACAAACAAATATTTTATCTCTGCTTTGCCGCTCTCTGTGCGATACTCTACGTATGCGTTGTCATCACCGCCACAGCTAGCTAAAATTACGCCATCACATTCCACGATAAACGCCCGTGTGTCCTGTCCAACAAATATCAAATGGGGTATCTCCTTGAACCCTACCTCAAAATTATACGTATACTGTGAGAGAAACGTTCTTGCGAACGATTCGTAGTAATTGTCTTTAAAGAACATGCCCTGTGCTTTCTTCGCACAAATCTCATCCTTCACGACGACGATGTTTCTGTTATGCAATTGTATGTGTGCAGGGTTCGTAGCGGGATGTAAATTGGACGGTTTTTCGGGGATTTCAAAGTTTACCGGAAGAATTGTCTGAACAGGTTCATTCCTGTCAAGCATCACTATAATATCGTTTTTGCATGACTGTGCGAATCGGATGACCGTACTTGAAATGTTTTTTACGTTGAATCGGCCCGTCAACACGACAATATCACATTCAACTTCTTTGATCCGGTTTAGAGCGTCATTGTCCAGGCTGATGTTGCTGAAGAAAGCAATCGTAACATTCCTTTGTAGCAAATCCCATCTTTCAATCGATCTAACATCTATTTTTGGCAAATAAACTCTTTTCACCACGAACACTCCGTTCTCGTTACTTCCTAAGGCTCCAAAAAACATACCGTCAAACACGAAAAGGTCCTCATCAACACTAAATCTAACCCTGATCACCGACTCATCATCCTCCACAACATCCTCATCGAACTTATTCTTGTAATACATTCCAAATACCTTCATACCATCCCCACGTGTCAGAGACTGCAAAAAGTAGTATTTCTCTAGATTAGTGCCAAATTCTTTTTCAAAATTCTTTAATCTAAAAATATCGCATGTTAAGGACTTCTCTATCCGATCGATTACAAAATCTAGATTATCATCCGTGGCAACACCACTGTGAAAGTGTCTGAGGTATTCCTCAGCTATTTTTTTATATTTTTCTATCACGTACTTTTTTTCACTTAGCATTTTAATCTGTGCAGATGACAGCAGAATATTGTTTTTCCGTATGAATATCTCGTAAATCTGTCGGAGCATCGAATCCTCTAGAGCAGAACAAAAAACATGGGGATACGAAAAAATATGGAATATGGTAAAACCACGTTTCTTCGCAAAACACGTAGCAAGTTTATCTCGTTATAGCAAGTCGATTCATGCCATGTTGTTTTTCTTGGCTGCCAATATCATTTCATTATTGGTATATTACCGAAAGACACGTACTTAACTACACAGCAGGCTCATAACACGTTTGCACACCAGGTTACCGTAAAATATCACTTAGTTATCAGATTGCTATTGAATGCACACCGTACATAAATGAAGACTTTTGTCGTTATCAGAGGTAAAACAGGAAATGTAAACTTTTCTCCCCACTTACAGTAGGATAGTGCAGATCAGACCCTTTCCGTATTCTACTACTGAGTTTCACTTTTAATTCTAAACATATTTGTTCATCAAACCAGTTATATCACGCCAAACACAGCCTTGTTGTGATGTGTTTGATGAGCAAAAGGTGTGTATAACGAAAAAAGAGCTCAATTCTGAGAGACTCAACAATTTGGCAGTATGGATCGATGTGGAAGAGAGAATGATAAATAATTGTGTGGTAAATGGGATTATAATCAAATTATTCGGTATAAAGTACTATTCGTGAGTAGAAAAACGAAAGAAAGATAAAGTATAGATCTTTGAAATTTACTGTGGTACATCGGATTGTAATTACAATGTGTGTTAGATACAGGGTAGGAATATTCGTACGCAAGTAAAATTATAACTTTTTGTCGAAGAAATTAATTTGAACTTGAAGAGACGAGAAAATAGGACATTGCTTAATTTACTTTGATCATAACATAATGGTTTAAAGGAGAATTGCAAACCGTAAAGAAGGTGAATTATTTGATACGTAAGAAATGGTGGATGATAAGCCAAAATATTCGTGAAGAAGGAAGCATTCACGGTATCATGCATTTTTAACTTTTTCAATGAATGTAACCTTCAATAACGTTTGAAAATTTCGACAAAACAGAACTACACCTATAAACTGCAGAATATATTTATGGATAAGAGCGAACAAAATAACAATAATAGCGTATTCATCAACAACAAATCCGTATACGATTGCCATAGCATTTGAAAACATGGCATTAGATGAATACATCTATACATAAATCACGCTGCTCAATAGTTAACTCTTACGCCCTTTGCATGGTTATCTCAAGTTACTTCACCACAAATGAACATTTTTTGCGTTGACGAATTGCGTGTTACACCCGTTCTATAGGTAATATGGAATATTTAGTATTCTGCAATTCGTACGATCGCGAATAAAGTTGAGCGCAGATCAAAAAGCATTCTGTTGTCCACGGCAATACACGGAGATATAGCAGAACATTCTCATCGTAGAAGAATGAAAATTGCTGGCAGACCCTGCGATGAAAAAAAACGAACTGATGAAATATGCACTGACAGCTGGAAATCTGCAAATAAAGCTAGAAAATAACTGTAATGAGTGTTATTTGTACTTGCCAACACCAATTTTAGAGCAGAACAATATGTTTGGGCCGGACATAAGGAGCAAATATGCCAAGATAAACGCTAAAAATTTTTTCGTGCAAAAACGAAAATGCCTAGTTGAAAGAAACTGCTTGGACTACGCTCTGTTTTATTCATTGCTTCGAGAGGTAAGGGAGCGAAGAGATGGTCGCGTACGTACCAGAGTGCGAAATGATAGCGTTGCCGACAGACCAGCAGACAAAGATGGAGGCGAAACCAGTGAGGACGCTGTTTTATCGACGAAATCGGACAGTGATGGTTTTTCAGTTGATAACTATCCGATCAGTCGAACAAATTTGAGCAGAAAACCACATAAATTGAGAATTTCGCGGACAAAGGCGTTGCTTGCCGAAATTTGGTACGGTAATCACTGCAAGAGACGATCAAATGATTTGTTCCTGACCAGTATGGCTGATCCCTTGGTTGTCATCGGAGCTCTGCTTGGAACAAAACATTTTTCAAAATTTGTTTACATGGAGAAGGAGGCGATCAACATCAACGGTCTAAGGCTGAACAGAAACACAAATTGGTACAAATTATTTCATTTTTCGCTTCTGAACGTGAACAGTATCGGCATTAGAAACATTTTAAATCTTGGCGATGAAAAGTTATCGATGATGCTGTACATGCAAAACAAGAGTAGGAGCGATGTGCTAGAGCATATGGTCGTTATGGATTTGGACCTGGCAAGGAAGATTGTGTTGTGCTACAATGACGCGGAGAAAGAAATGCACAAATTGTACGTAACAGAATGTGAAAAAAGAGCAAACAAAAAGTGTGTGGTTGAGTTTCTGAACTGCAGCAACATCGAAAATATCAGCCCAGATATATTTTACTTGTATAGGAAATACGAGAAGAACGTTGAACTGGCGAAGATTATTGAACTGAAAGATTATATCGATAAGGCAGAGAATAGCACATGTGACAGCATCAAAGACATGGTAGTTCGATGTAAAGAATTATACTCCTTTTTCATCTCGTCTGAGAGCATGACTTCAGACGAATCGAAAGTGAAGGAGGTTTTTTCAGCAGAGTTATGTCAGGAGGTAGCCGATGAGACCAAGAAAATGCTTTGCAGGCTCGTAAAATCAAACATAGAATTTATTTCGAACGGGTTGAACGAGCTAAACACTAAATCAAGGCGGACAGTGATGAGACAAATCGTCACAGAGTCGTGGGAACACATGCTGCCCATGTATTCTGATCTCGTGTGCATGCAGGATGATCTGAACAGGTTCATTTTTGAGTGTGAACTGTTTAACTACATAGTTGAAGCAGGCAAACATACGATGCCTGGAGATGCGAAGGAGATGGAACGAAAAAACATATTGAGAATGAGAAAGGCAGCCAAGTTCATCGATGTGCTTAAATTCAAAGATCCTTCTAAAAGCATTCTGCTGAATATGCTACGGGTCTATCTGGAGCGAAGTCTTTCTAAAAAACGCTACGGAATGGTCAACGTGCTGCGGGCGTATTTGAATAAGCGAAATGATTTTGACTACACATTACTGCAAAACTTCAGAAATAACATTTTTAAGATGAACAGCGTGAAGCTCAAACAGAAAATTGCGCTCGTCGACCTGTATTATGAACTGGTGAGGGATGTCAACACGAAACAAAGGGACCTATCGATCAACTTTCAAGAAATTATGACAAGAAGCACCAGCAATCCTCTGAATTACAGCAGATTAACGCCGCTCGAAATAAAAAATGTTGAATTTGGACCTGATGTTGTACGATACATTGAAAGCTTCCGAGGTAAGGTCTTTGAGCGGTTTTTCGATGCAAAAAACTTCATCTTGTTTACAAGCCATTTTCTCGGCAATCTCACGGATCTGGAATGGATTGAAAATTCTTTGCATAGCATAAAAAGCTCACGAGAAGACCTGAATGTCATGGTCGAGAGCTTGATCAGTCAGGTTAAGATAAGAAGATCTGTGCGTGGGGATGTTATGGTTACCACAGCTAGTAAAGAAACGGATAAACGATCAGCTGTGGCTGAAGGTAATGTCAAACGAACAAATTCAACACAAGAGGAACAGAAAAAAACCACGGACACGCAGCATATGCCACGGAGCACTGACATAGAAGGTGCATTTAGATCGTCATTCGTGCGTCAACCACGGGACCGTTATCAAGCAAATCCGAAGAATTACAAAAAATGTATGGAAAAAGAAATTGAACCTGGAGAAATCGTATGCGGCACCAGAGAAACCCGTGGGAACGCCTCGGTTTATGAGCATGATCGAAGTGCAGCTTATCGGTACGAAGAGTCTTCCCAGTATGATGAGAGAAGTGATCACGGAGACAAAAAATACTGCAAAAGTAGAAATGATAGCAGGATAAATAATCGTGAGGCATCCTGGGATGGCAATGAACGCGTTGAAAGGGATGAAGATCGTAGCAGGTCTTATGTATACAGGGGGAGGGAAAGAGAATACGGTGGCAATCGTCGCACAGACAGGAGATCGTCATACTATAATACACCACCACATGAAAACGGTTCAGAAATTGGCTCTCTTCGCAATGTGAGATCCGAAACAAACTACCGAGCATCCCCAGCGTATGTTGAGAACGAGAGGACGGATAATTTCGGTTCAGAACCGCGTGGACACAACAGAGGAAATTTCAATAATTCCTATTCTTCACACAGCGGTCGTGACCGAGAACCATGCAATAGTAACACTTGGCGTGCAGGCTATCAAGCGGAGTACACCCAGAGAACACGCGGAAATAATTATTGTGGCAGGGGAGACTTTGATGAGCGGAGGGTAGACCGCTATAATGACCGAGGGAGAAACGAATACGGCCGTCCGTATGATGAACGTACCTATGAACACGCAGATTATCGCAGATATGACGATGATAATCGCAACTACGATAGAGAGAGTGACTATTCATGGTCGCGATACGGTCGAAGGGACCGGGATCGTTCTCCTGATGAGTATTCGAACGAAAGAGCGCGTAGAAAGAGGAGAGAGTACTAATAGAACACGCGTAAATATGAAATGATGCTCGTTATCTTCCGAGTTATTTGTACCATGGGTGTGTCACACCCACAACAAAGGGCCAAAGCTGTCTATCACGCCAAATTTTGTCCCGCAGTGTAATAAAACTTTTTGTTTTTGCACCACGGTTATCGTGAATAACTCTTTTTTCTGTGTAGCGAGACAATTCATTATTTTAATCAAACAAAGAATTCATAAAGTCACTTTTATGTTGTTCAGTTCAACGTATTGTGTAACAAATACAATCAAAGAAAATATTTAAATATGATTTTGTGTATTTACACGAAAGTTTTTGTTGTGGATTGTCTCTATGGTGATTTTTAGCGTTCTATCACTCGCTTATGAACACGGTGCAGATATCTCCTTTATCACGGCAGTGATAGAGAAAACTGAGTGACTTGCACGGTACTATAAATAATATCTGTTTCACGGGGCTAATTAGGTGGAAAACGGAAAAATTACCATTTGAAAGTCACCGCTTCATCACTCAGTAGTACCACAATCATCTATGCATTATATTAAGTATGTGGATTTATTCCTCTTTGTTTTTTGTGAATTCACGGGTGGTCTGGCCGTGGTGGCGGGTGATTAAAAAAATAATTGCTATTTTTGCGTTCTTCGCCACCGTATTTTCAGATAATGTAAGCAGAGCGGTGCTAAATTTTGTCATCGTATAACAACAGCAGATCGTATTCGGGGAGGTGGCCATAACTCGTGCCACTTCAGCTCTCAAATAACAAGGCAGTAAGACTGATTGCAAATGCCTGCAGAGCATTCCATGGAAACGAGTAGTTCAGCTTATAATCGTTTTCTGAATTTGCACCGAAGCTCAGGTTTATGTAGTCTGGCAATTTGGGATGCACCAGCTGAAAGTTTCTTTCTGAAGGGATAATGGACATGTTATTGTAATTGAGCGTATACAAATCTCTGTCTTTGTTATACCGCGGCTTCTTGTTCGCCAGTCTTATAATTTTATCCAGTTCATTGCTATTGTACCGCTCTAATACAGAATCACCCTCCGTGGTGTAAATAACTTCCATATCATGAAAGAGCTTTTGATCATACATGATATTCGCGTATTTTACTATTATGGTATCCTTTTCGCCTTCATATAGCACAAATTCATTTTTCTTCAGGTTTACCTTTAGCCAACCAATTTTCCTCAACTTGTGGTTCTTTTCAAATGTGTATATGCTGTAACCAAACAGAGTTTTGTATGCATTCATGACCAGCAATTCTCTTGTTTCACTCATTTCCAGGTGATAGGCAAAGCTATTATTCGATATTTTTATGACCTTTCCGCTCATAATTATTTCTCGGTTAACACGGGCGGTTGAAACCAAATATTTGAATTTCTCTGGAGGAAGTCGCAGTAAATCGTTGTTGAACGCACTAAAGCGGAAAGGTTGTTCATTCATTGTTTCATAGACCAACATTTGTTAAAAGAACCATCTGTTTTAGATTCACAAAATCAATTTGTCGTATATTGCAAACATTAAGATTCGATTGACGAGTGAAACAAGAAACCACGATTAAATGGCCTAATTTTGCGACTGGATTCTCTGCATCAGTTCTTCAACAACAGTATGTTGTGACTACAACATTAGAAGATTGAAACCTGGGAATAAAAATAGGACAAGTGTTATAAATTGAAATAATGGCCGAGTAATTTTGTCCAAATATCACAATGATTTATCAGAAAATGTGTTTTGTCTGGAAATGGATAGATTTGAAACTATTTCGATAAAATGGCTATACTGATTATTATGAGGGCACACGCGCGAATATGAAAGAGAAAGAAAAACTACCTGATCATACACGTCAAATGCACTTGTTCGAAAAGGCACATTCGGGCATGAACACAATTAGCGATGTAAAGTGAACGAATCCAACTTTAATACGTGGTTCCATGACACTTACGGTCACCTTTCGGTAAAATTCTTTTTTGAACGCTAAAAAAGAATTTTTTTCGTAATATCACAGCAATACATTAAAATACGATTACTTTTATTCCTGCCGTGCACTGCTGCTCTGAACCGCATTCTGTGCTGATTCACGTACATCCGGCCATAGATGTTAAAACACGGTACCAAAGACAAAAGAAACGTATTTTGGTCTTTAGTATGCAATTTTATGAACAATATATGTAATGAATAAAGCTTACACCACCATATATTGCTACCTTTTCGTCTTAATCTTTCTTTTTTCTATCGGAGCATTGTAATTCTCATTTTTATAGAACTGCCTCAGCAAATCAACACATTCTTTGTTATCAAGAAAAATGTTGTCATTTGTTTCAACCAGACTGCATCCAAAGGTAGGATTAAAGCATCCGAAATAAATTTTGCAGTTCAGCCGTTTCAACACGCCAAAACACATTAAGCACGGTTCACATGTCAAGTACACATCGCAATTCGTGCAATCAGCCGATCTTATACCCACGATTTCTGCATGTGCAAGCGGATCGTTGAGTTTATTTGTCAAATTATGAGATCTGCTTACGATTTTATTATCTCTCATGAATATGCAGCCCACAGGTACTTCGTCGACCAGCAGAGCTTTCTTTGCCTCGCTGATAGCCTCGCTCATGTAGTAACGGGCAGTTTCAAACGTCATCGTTGAGGGTGGAAACGCACACAACCAATTTTCATCGTTGTGCAACGAACAACAATAAGCAAAAAAAAACTGAAAGCATCGTTCTATGATGTTTTTGAGGTTTGAAACGAGTTTAATAGATTTTGTTGTGTGAGAAAGACATTTTACTTGTATGATTGATATGAGAGAGTCACTCTGGCAGGAACAATTAGTCAGCATAGCTTCCTGTCATGCCTCAAAATGAACAACAATATGATGCGCCTGAATTATAAAAACACTTTTTAAATTTTTTACAGCATCTAATTCTAACGAATGAACAATTTAACGAACATATCTTTGAATAGTACATGTGCTGCAGGTGAAGATGCGTTTAACTGATGATGTAGAACATGTTGTAAATCACTGATATGAAATATTGTGCTGTGATCATGGATTCGCAGCGGTAAGCTTAGAATTACATAAGTTCATTCAACAACTGCACACGATGTGCATCCCACATTTATCTTAAACGGTACGATCCTACTTTAACAAGAACAATGCTCATCAACTGCTGTAATGGTGTGAATATGCCCTACACACCGAATAACGCTCAATTGTATTGTTGGCATTCATTTCTGGCAAATTGCTTGAAAATAAAAAACTTAGAGATTTTAAGATACGAGAAATGAATGACTGGTTAGACCACAGATCTTTACTTAAACCTTAGATGCTGCTCACAGAACACGCAACTTCCATAAAACACCAGTCTCTATTTAGGAGGTGCAGAACCTTCGGATGGTGCGTCCGGTTCACCTTCCGGCTTATCTTTATCGCCCTTCTTATCATCCTTACATTCTTCATCTTTTTTATCGCCCTTTTCTCCCTTCTCCGGCTCTTGAGGCGACTTTGAATCCCCGCTAAACAAGCTCTTAATACCTCCTCCTCCACCATTTCCACTATCTCCGTTCTTCCCTTGATCGCCCCCTTGATTCCCCCCTTGGTCTCCATTCGATGGCGTATCATTTTTATTGCCCATGAAATGCAGCAACAACGGCATGCCAACGATAAAAATAACAGCTAATACTGCAATACCGATAATCAAAAACAGTAGAGACATGAGATGTGCGCTGCACGCGTATTTATACGAAATAGCGGTATGTGAAGACAAATAAGAAAAAAGGATGTACATGTCGAGGTATTTTACATTTATCTGATCGCACTGACAAAACCAATCTGTACGTATTTCAGGGTGACATGATAGTTTAAAATTAAATTTAAGTCCTAGAGTAGCAAATGAGATATCTGTGATTGGCCTTCCATGCTAATTTTGCATACTGGTCATGTTACTTAGTAAGTGGTGAAATATAAAACATTCAGTTGAGTGAACCATCTGCTGTTGAAATGAGGTGTTTTTACTTTTCTGAAGCATTCATCAATGATGAGCCGCAATGATACTCGTTATTTTTTAAATTTCATAGGTCAGAAATAAGTTAAAATATCACGATCGGATGGATGACAGAAGTGATCGAACCCGGCCAACAAGCAACATCTAGTAAGAAAGGAGCACATTTATAGCACTAACTCATTTTGATGAGCGTGTAGTGATATAAATGATAGGAACAAGTCTTGATCTGCAGTTATGGCAACAACAAATAGAACGTGAGCAAAACAACCTACAGTTAAACTCGTATTCATGAAAAAGGATAACACAATGCTGAAGAAGTGACAGCTGAAGTATGATCGAACACAGGAACGAGTTTAATACCGTACCTGGCATAATTACGCTATTGAAGCGTATTTTGTGTGAGCAAAACAAGGTATTCGTGACACACCGGGCAGAACGAGATCTTCCGAGCAATCTGCAGGTAAAACACACGAAAATTACAGCAAAGTATGGTTATGTAGATGGTGACTCTATTTATACAGAATGCCTCAATACAACGATATGAGTTCAAATCACAGTCTCATTCACCATTTAAACGATATTTGCGCGCGCCATAGCACTGGCTAGTAATAAGCGAAGTATTACGACGCTATTTGTGAATTTGAGCGACGTAATGGTGCAATGATAATCTGGGTGATAAAGAAAACGCAGTTTTTGAAATTTAATAGCCAAAAAACACTTTATTCTCCACAGTGAAGCACAAAATCATGGCCAAACGAAAAAATAAAAATAATAAATTTAATCAAAAATATTTTGTACGCATTGAGAATGCCGTATGAACACACCCTCACCCATGGTACAATAACATTGCTGTGCTCCCCGGGAACGAACGAACACAATAAAATGACCGTTTTACTGAGGAGCAATGATAAAAATTTTGTGTTACAGTGATTTGGTGAATTTCATTATTTTTTCAGGGTAAGTTTTTTTGTTCTTTTTATAGACAATGTTCGATTCTTTTTCGTTTTGTAGTGGCGTGCAAAGCGATTGAATTAGCTGCTCTATTTGAACGCTTTTACCCTAGTTCAAGCAACTAAAACGTAAACACGCTAATCGTTGTGTATCATCCGTAGTAATACATCGCGAAAACGATTTTCTAAGGATCGTGTCCATGCAAATAGGTCAACTCATATGTGTGCACGGTATAACTTCTATGCAGCAATATTACTGTGCTGCAATGTTTTCTGATGTGCATCTAAAAGTTTTAATTTATCTGTGTTCAGAAATCATCATCATACCTCAATTTTTCAAACTCTCCAGCCACCAATTTCTCGCTCAACTCGTTAAACCCACCAATAAAATCGCCTTTATAAAAAATCATCGGAAACTTTTGGTAGTCCAATTTTTCCATGATATTCTTTACGTACCTGCTGTTAGGACTACTGCTGTAATACTCGTAATCCAGTAGGTTTTTATCCAAGAGATCTTTTGCTTTCCTGCAGAAGATACAATCTGGCTTACCTATTATGTAGATGTCGGCAATTTTTGATTCTGGTACACTCATATACTGTCCGGTGCGTTCTTGGCATATTTATACGGACGTGCTGAAACTTTTTGTTTCTTTTGTTGATTTGGCTGTCTGATCTTAAAAACTGCCCAATCCATGATCAAAAATAGTGCAGGAATGAATGTATTGGTTGTCTTAAGCTTGTTTCATAGGCTAACACTCGGCGAACGCTTCGACTAATGTGTAATTGTCATACTAAACATGAGATAAAACGTTTTACGAGAATTACGCACAGTATCTACTGTATGTGAAGCGAGCACCAAACACATTCTACTACTAAAGATTACACGTTTACGTCCTGCCCAGTGTAACACGAAACGTTTCATATGCGATTTTTATATACGAACAATTACAAGGGAATTTTAACCACATGGCGTATGTTCCCAATGGCAACATAAAAACAAAAATCAGTATTTTTGAGCGGATCACCTCGCTGAGACTGGCAGACGAGTCTGTGAGAGAAACGAAAGTTATACCCCGTGTATCTCTGATAAATCACACGTCGTTTCCAAAGACCGAGGAGTATCTCCGGACCCAGAAAAGCCACATTTTTCTCACATTCGACGAGGACAAGCACAACTTTAACAACGAGGTCCGTTTTAGCACACGCACCAGCCTAATTGAGTGCATTTCATTTGTCCGAGTTGCAGAATTTTGGCTTAAACTCGACAGCCAAAACACAGTAATCATAAGAAACTCGTACAAAAGCAGTTTATCGTTCTATCTGCTGGGCCTTGTGCGTTATATCCAAGATACTACGTTTGAACAAGCGTACAATACCGTAAAGGAGAAGGTCAAAAATCTGGAGATGCCAAGGAAGTTGTACCTGTCGTATTTTGAGAACTACCTGAGTAGAAATGAGTTCAAAACACTGTGTATCCACCAGATAGTGATAAGCACTCTGCCGAGGAAAAGAGTAGAAAGCAGCAAGCCGTTCGGTAAACCGTTTTATTCACTGCGAATCATGGAAAAGCCCACTATATCAACGGTTATCCACGACGAACACCATGTTATATGCAAGGTGGATACCTCAATTGCTGGCGATGTCACACTGGTGCTCAACAGGAACAATGCCAAGCTGTTCACGCTCTTTCTTAACACGAATTCCTTCGAGGAAGGTCTTTATCGGTTCAGCAAAGATGATTTGGTGCTAGACAGTGGTACAATTCTGGATGATGATTTCACGATCGATATTATCTTTTTCAAAACTGATAAAAAAAGTAAGGTTTACAATCTCAATGGTAAATCACTTTTGATTGACAAATTTGCTGGTAGCTACGACGAAAATCTATTGAACCGGCTGAAAGGAGAAGGTTATAGCAAAGATGATGCAATGATAGCGACAATTACAGCAAATTCATCAACTGGAATGAGCAAAGTATTACAAAAGCTGAAGAAAAGAGAAGAGGTGCCAAATTCTAGCAAGGAGGCATCGCTGGATCGACCATATAAGCCAAACGATGATATTACCTTGGTAGACATAAACCTGATAGTCGATATAATGCCTGAAAAAGAGAACACAAAGACGAAAAAAAAAACGCTGCCGCCCAAAAATATACCGAAGACGGAGATAGCCAACTCGTTGACGGTTCGTCCGTTCTATTGGGCGGTAATTCCAAAATCGTGCGACAGCATTTTCAACGAATTGGACGATGTGCACACACAGATCGATTTTATGAAGTTTGAGGACTGGTTCTGCATTACAACGGACTGCCAACAGCTTAAGGTAGAAAAGCAGGCTAGCAGTGTGATACGAGACAGCAGACGGCTATTTTTGGTCTCGCTGTCACTGAAAACGTTTGAAAAGAAACAATTTGTTCTGCACAACAAACAGCTGGCGGACCTGCCGTTGGAGGACCTGACAATGATAAACACCATAATTCCTACGGATGAAGAGTATAAGATGATGTTCTCAAGAAAAAAAGAATTGAACGATATAGAACGCAAAATGATCGCGTTCTACCCGTATAAAAAGCTCATCAGGCTGCTAATCTTTGAAAGACGGTTCTTCGAGAACAAAGACAACTGGATAATCGGCGTGGAGAACATAAAAAGTGTGTACGACACGATTCTGCAGAGCAACAACATTCGTTTGCTTCTCAAGACGGTTCTAGAGCTCGGAAACACGATAAACACCAACTATGGAAATAACCGAAGAAAAGCATCGGCTTTCAAGGTTTGTTCTTTAGTACTAACCAAGAACTACAGGGGAAAGAAAAACAACCAATCACTTCTAAAATTTGTTGCTGAGACGGCACGCAGCAGACTGAAAAGCATTAAAAGCGATTTGGAAACAATCGAATCGATAAGAAATGATGAGCTAAACAACTACAAGGAAATTATGAACGAGTACATTCTAGAATACAGAACATGCAAGGAATGGGTGGAAGAGCTGGATGGCGAGCTAAGAGCGAATATGAAGGCTTTTCTCTTCTACTTCTCGGAATTTGTGAGAAACTTCTCAAACGAGTATAGGGAGGCGGTGATCTACTCGAGCATAATAAAGCGAAAGTTTGGCGAGCCTGAGAACAAAAATGTGAAGGAAATAATTTCGATTCTGTACAATTTTCTTAAATCTGTGCGCCATGAAATAGAAACTTGAACGTTCCCAATAAATTAATTTTATAGAACTTGAAATCGCCACTTTCCACGGATAAAGCTCGTGTCTTGTCTATTATAACGTGCCTTAGCAATTGATCACCAATCAAAATCGTTTTACTGTACTTTTTTTTGTTTATTTTTACAGACAAACATACAGCATTGTTTTTCGCAATCAAGAATCGCTTACCAATCTGACGTGAAAGACATTATACACCTCCTATGTTGCACGTGAATGTAAGAAAACTATTTGTGTACGTGCTGCATTAACCACACTCAGCGAATTGTTAAAGGACTATTTTCTTCATCACGGAATGGCAATAATCGTTACATGGTACTACTAGATATAGTGATATTGCAGTATTTAGGTAAACATTGTCATGTAATTTAGAAAATGGTATGATTTAGTGATGTGGGGAGTGATTTGAGTCGGTTCATCCTCTTTTGTGAAGAATATCCTTGGATCACACATTCGGTGGTTATTATCAAGAGTGATGTACAAGAAGTGTTAAATCATTCAAACAATGAATTGAATGTAAAAATCACCAAATTATTTTTTACATCTGCGAGACCTGCATCTGTGCCTAAACACTCCTTGTACACAAAAACGATACCAATGCTTGTTATGGACTGAGCGCGGTCCTTGAGGGCAGCGTAAAGAACACCTGAACTAGCAGTTATACAAAACGCATCATATATGACAGGTTTTAATTAACATGCGCTCTAGAAAAAGTCTTCTGAGTGATGATTTTCGAAATTAATGTCAAACAAATTATCATTTCTATCATCTTCATCATCGTTATGTCTGTTTCGGTTCTTTTTAGTGGCATTTTCCTGTACCTGAACATTCTTTATATCCTGTTTTGAACCGTTCTTCTTTTCTTTCTTCAATTGCTCGTACGCTTTGCCGTGTGTTTCCAGCTGAACAGAACTCAACACGGTGTCTTTGAGGACACCAAAGTCACTATTCGGCAATGAAATGGGTGGAATTGCGTATTCCTCTGGCACAAAATGCTCCGGTTGTGTGTAAAGCTTTGGTAGCACTTCTCTCTCATCCTTGTCTTTTCTTGCACCCCTATCTCCATTTAGCGTTTTCTTAACCTCCTTCATTCTATCCTTGAATCTCTTCTCCAGCACATGTGCACATTTGCAGTATGTGGTGGATGGTGCATTGTAGATGTAGCAATTCTTAAAAATTTGGACGAAATCTCGTTCAAACGCTTCTAGGCTGTCATACTTATCATCCTCTACGTTCTGCTCGATCCTGGATATGTCCATGGGTGCTTTTATGATTTGATAGTAATCGGGAACTTCCTTCTCGTTGACAGGCTGCAAGAATGGCCATGCATGCGTGTCTGTCCGTATATCTGAGATGATGTATCGAAATACGTTTTTAAGCTTTTTAGTTGTCTGATTGAGCATTTCTTCAGTTAGCTTTGCCTCCTTGAGACCAGGAATATCCCAGACAGTTTTTACATCCGCAAAACTAGGAGGATCTCTCAATATGTTGAACGAAGACAATTGACTGATCTTGTTGATGAACTCCATGCGCTTCTTCTCCACGATTTCTATTTTGTTCAGGTAGTTTATCTCCCATAGGACCTTGCATTGCATGAGTGTCCCTCCCTCGTAGTCCTTTATGTATCCTCTCCAGTTCTTGAAATAGATTTCCGTGCTGAATCCCTGTTTCTTGAAAAAGCCGATTGCGTAGTTATCAGCGTACGCCATCAGATAGACTGGGTGTATCAATCTCTTCGGGTACGAAAGGTAATCAAGGAAATCTACTTCAATGTTCTGTATCTCCCGTTTGCAATGTTCTTTCAACATATCAATGATCATGCTGCCGTGTCCGTTCACCTGAACGCTCGAGTCGATCGCAAGAAACACCAGCTCAACAAAGCTCTGCTCATAGAACGGTCGGTAGCACACCCCGCCCACGATGTTCTCATCGATTGAGCACAGTATGTTGCTATGCTTCTCGTTGAATATCTGTTTGATGATGTATTCTTTGGGCATCCTGGGCAGCTGCTTCTGCAGTATCATTTTATATCCCAGTAATGACTCCTTTGTGTCTGTATCCCACGACTTACCCGTACTGACCAGTTTAAATCGAATCTTTCCCATCTTAAACATCGCAATTAGGTCTTTTTCACGGAGCTCCTTCTTGTTCGTGTCGCTCAAAGTTTCGGCGTCTTCCATTAGGGGTTTCCACAAAAATCGCGCTTGCTTTTTTCACAGACCACACGTAAAGAAACGGCTGGATTTCCTGAAGAAAGGCCCTCGTTCAAGGTCTAAGAGCCACATTCACTCTTACCACGCTTAATGGCATAATATGTTCTCATTTACACTGATAAATAGAAATTCATAGCGATGTAATGATGATATTATTGATCGTTTCGGTTAATGCACTGCTGCGATCTTTCTCGTCTATTTTCAAGGCCAATTATCCATATTTGCATCTTATGGTAGCTTATAACACGCTAATGTGCATGTACTACCGTTCATAGCATGTATTTGCGTGTATCATGGCGTGCAAAAACGTTGTTTTGCTTTGCACCCCCATGCTAGTGCTACCAGGTGAAAACGGCGCGCAATACGTTATGGATGGAGATACGGGCGAAAGGGTGTTTTATGAACCATTGCTGACCATCGGGTCACTCGTAAAGTGCAGAATAGCCAGGGTGTGGCCGGTGTATCTTGAGCTGGAGATCGTTGATATAAACGGACACGTAACAACAGTGCCATACAAAGCAATTTATAGACCAAACTTCGTAGAACAGGACGTAAATGCAGTTTTTTTAGACAACACTTACAAGCACGGAGCTGATTTCGAGGGCAAAGTAATATCGTATGGTGATAATATGGGAGTGGTGGTAGGAATGGTGTGAATGTGATCGGTATAAAATAAAAACGGGTTAATTGTGTAAATGCAGAGAAAGCATTCATTCTTGGAAGTGCTGAGTAAAGACTGTGCCGCATATTTGCATCTTTTAACGCGTTGCAGTGAGTTGCGTACGAAGACACAAACACATCATATCAAAACTCATTTTCAACGGAAAACAGCTCCACAATTAAAGACACGTTTTAGCTGGTGAACTGCAAATGCTAGTTCATAGCTTGGACCTAACTCAATATTGCAGATGTTTACAGCAACTTCGTATTCAACTCGGTCGTTACAGAAATAGCCAATCTGTAAAAGTAATCGATATAATGCGAACAAAAAAGCGCTTTGATGTCGATACTGCGCCTGATATGCATGTACAGCATTTTAAACACATTAATCCCAAAAATTGGTGACCCTGCTCGATGGTTAAAGAGAATTTCTACCGTTCACAGAGAAAGACCAATCTCTTGAACATGTACAACAACAAGCCAAAGTATTCGGCATACGGTGAAATTTTGCGACCAGCACACTTTCAATCAAAACGTGCAAAGGTAGCGGTTATTCCTCCGAATTACAAGCTGTTTACGAGCACACGCACTATCAATATGAACGAAATTACGGAGGAGAAGGAGAAAAGTGCGTACGAAGTGCTAATAAAGAAGGGACAAATCCCGTTTTCTATTTTAAGTGAGCGGAAGGGAAAGACAAAAGTGGAATACAGGGACATTTACAAGACGAAGAGGGCTCGTGTGGAGAATTTGCTGTTTAGCAAACGAGTGGACAATGATGAGAACCAGAATGCTGCTGATATCAGCGTGACCGGGAACAGGACCAGGGTGTGTGAGCAGGATGTTGTTCACGAGGAGGATGTGCTCAGGCCAGGACGATCAAAGCGCATCTGGAACGAATTGTATAAGGTGCTAGACACGAGTGACGTGATTGTGCATGTACTTGATGTGAGGTATCCGAAAATGTTTCTTTGCAGACAGGTTATTGAATATATAAGGGCCAACGAGCACAAAAATATGATAATTGTGCTGAATAAGGTTGATCTAGTTCCCACAGCCGTAACGAAGAAAAACATCGACATACTAAGCAAACATTTTCCTACGGTGGCAATGCACAGCAAATCGCTTGTCAACTTTTATGGCAAAAACAATTTGATGAATCTGCTCCGACAGTACAGAAAAATTCACAAAAAGACGATTTCTGTTGGGTTTGTGGGATATCCTAATACCGGGAAGAGCAGCATCATCAACGTGTTGTTGAACAAGAAGAGCACAAAAACAGCACCTCTTGCTGGTGAAACCAGGAACTGGCAGCAAGTCAAGCTCGATAAAGGGATTTATCTTTTTGATTCACCGGGCATCATAGACATTAAGGATAAATCGGTGAGCATAGATGATTTGGAATATTCCTCTGTTCTAATGGGTGCCGTAAGAGTCGAAAAAATCAAAGAGCCGGAGATTTATGTCAGCCAGCTGGTCAGAATTGCTAAAGATGGCTTAGAGAAAAAATATAAAATTACTATAGAGGATGAGGATCTGTTTTTAGAACAGCTTAGTCAAAAGATGGGGAAGCTGAACAAGAATGGGCAGGGAGATGTGCATCTGGTTGGTAAAATGGTCCTCAATGATTGGGTGCAGGGCAAAATTCCATTTTGGGTTGAGGCAACTGAAATATCTCTGTGAGGACCAGTCTCTACCGACCTATAAATCGGTAACATCCTTATAAATGATTATTAAAGTATGGTTAGCGAATTTCCTAGCACAAATATCCCATTTGATGTTATAAATAGCTTTTTATAATGTGAATAGCTGTGCTGTTCTATTTATAAAACAGAAACAGGTTTGTTTGCGCGCTAAATGATATTTTATTGCTTTGATACGTCATATTATGTTTTTTAACTGGTTTTGAACCTTTTGGTAAAAAATAGTTAATTTCTACTGGGTAATTGTAAATGATATTTAAATGCGTCTCAAAAAAACGAACTAAATCACAATCTTGTGCTCCTTATTTGTGCAAAAATATGAAATTAACATTTTGGTCGTTTTTGAACGATTCAACAATTCTTTTTTTAGAACTAATTAGTTAGCTTTTGAGTTCTTTTTTTGTTTATATTAATGATGCTAGCAGTATAGGTTATTCATTAATTCTAGACAGACCGTACTAAGGTGGTAGATACATCAGTACTCGTATGTGGCATAGAATTTTCTTTCAGAATAAATGAATTTCAAACACGTTTCACTTGGCTTACAATGAGCAATTTGTAGAATATAAGATGAATAAGTGAGCCTATTCTCCTTCTTTCCCATGATTTGTGTTGATAAGCTGTCACCAGAGATGACTTTTCGGTCACAATTAATAAACGACATTTGATCAGCACAAAACACAGAAATTCTGTGTAAAAAAGCGATAAAAACTATGAAGACAAAGAAAATTTCGAAAATTTAGTTGAATTAGTTCCGAACAATGAAACATTTTAAAGATGAGCAAGAAGATACATGCACAGGACTCATGGTTTTCTCGTTCGTAAAAAATACATTAAACGATCTAAACATGGTTGGTAATAAAAATGAGAAATAGTAGTTTGATGATGTAAATGTGGATATGATGTCCGTGCAACGAAAGAAACTGGTATATAGACAATAAGTACAGAAATATGGAAATATAACAATGATGAAAGTTAGTAGTCCTTGTATAATATCAGATGGTTTGTAGAACGTGATAGATTTGCGAAATTTGCCGGCAGAAATAAAAGATAGCAACGCAGATCCTCGTGTTTGGCGAAAAAAATTTCAACAGATTTGACATTATCCGTGAGACGATAGGTTGATCAAGACAAGCACTTCGTGGAAAATGATATCCCATAACCATGAGCTACCGTGATCAATAGGCCATATATACTCATTTGCATAGCATATTTATGAGTATATATACACTCTTTTGCTATTTCAAGTAATGGCATGTCATAATTGCCAAACGATTCTAAACACCGGATATCAAATTGCGCAACAAATGAAATAATGTAGTTAAATGATCATTATCAACCTCATCTTTCATTTCTTAGTTAGATTAAACTGCCTTTCATATGATATTTACTTACCATTCCAAAAAGAGGAATTGATAAAATTTTTGAGACGTTGACGTTTAATTAGTATGAAAAGTGCAAAGGTTTGTGGATAAATTATCTTTTTGTGTGAAAATATAATACATAGGAACGCAATATTATAATTTTGTGCAGGAATATTGTATTGTATCCGGCAAATACTCAAGATTTGCAAAACGGTGCAGATGATATAAATTTAGGATGTTTATTCTTAGTTCATGAGTTTTGTATGCTGCAATGATACTTGTTCTGAATAATAAAAAATAGATCGTTGTGTATCATCGGACTGTTTTGATATTTCATTTTCATAATCCGAGCTGTCAATAGTGTGAAATGAGCAGATTTAGTCCAGTGAAAGAATATACCACGTAAATAACTCATAATGCTACCATGAACGCCCTCTAATCTCATTAAAGTCAACACCAAGAATGGGGATAATTTAGATAAGAGTGACATTTCATGATTTGTGATCCATTGTCCAAAATGAAAATGACAAAGCATGTTGATCATCGCATACATGTCTTTAGAATGCCGTAGGATCACCAGATGTGACGCAGTAGTGTTCGTGTGTCATATTTTATTGCGCCAAACCAATCCTCTAAAAAATCACCGGAAGCAATTCGTTAGTATAAAAGATCAAACACCAATATTATGTTAATTACGTGATTTTACCAGATTTGATAGATTAACATCGGCAGTTTCGTTATTTAATGAAACTGAATGTAATCCCCTCATTTAGACAAATGTTTCGAACTATTTTAATAGAGGATAATATCAGTATTTTGCCAACAAGCAAAGATCACCTAACATCCTTATACATGGCCACAAACAAAAAATATACCAATAGAATCATACCTAACGAAGGCATAGGTATAAGAGTGAAAGAAATAAAAAAAATAAATGGAAAAGAATTGGTCGAGGGCTGCTACATCATCTATTTGGAGTTCATTCTCATCACTTATAAGCTCTTCAAGGATGAAATAGTCGAAGCTACCATTATCAAACAGGATGAAAACGGAATATACTTGATGCATTCGATTGTAAATACGATTCATGTAAAAATACTGTTTCCTGGAACGGTGAAAAAGTATTTCGTGATGAAGGACTCACCCGAAAAACATATGTGCTGGTGCTGGACATATAAAAACGACAATTTTTATTTCAAAAATGGGCAATTCGTGAGATGCAAGATTGTTCATGTGTCGTATACTCCTTTTTTGGTGGAGGCGCGAATGGATGATAACGGGCTGGGCCCAAAGGAATGGTGGTAAGGATGGCCACCACAGCGGGGAACTTGGTAGAAGCGTTTACTAAATTAAAACTGGTTTTTTACCAATTTGGGCACTCATTTAGGTCTAAACCGTTTCATAGAGCGTTACTGATCGATTGTAAAACAAATTTGGTAGCAACAAAAACGATGAGGGCCGGACTTGATGAGGTTTGACACGGTCTTCATCAAAAGTAGGAGTTGTTGCAATAGCCTGTTCGCAAAACGTGATGCAGCAGATTATCAGGACGACAACGCTGGATTATCCAGTACGAAAAGCCAGCACCTCTGAAAAATCCTATAAAATAACTCATACATGAAAAGCTACACAAGTGAAACGTATATTCTTGTAAAGACCTAAAACATAGGAAAAACACAAAATATGCACCAATAAATGGTCATGAAATCAACGATTGAACATGTACCATGACATAACACCGAAGAACATTGTTTATAACAGTTGCTTTTCCGCCAACGGACTGAGAGTGTAACAAACATATTATTAAACCCGTGTTTTACTCGGTTAATAATGGCCTCACATCAAACTCTGTAACGAACAGCAACACCCTCTAGCATTCATGAACAAAAATTTATTGCAAATTTAACAGTGCCACGTTAAATGCAACATCAACAAAAGTATCCAAGCTAGAATCTGCGTTAATGAGCTCCACTTCGACCTCATAATTTACTGTGCCCTCCGATTTTGTAACTGTAAAATCAAACCGAGAATCATCCACTACAAAGCTCTCGCGTTCCCTTTCTCGCCTATAAGAGGTCCTTTTCATTACATTGGTCACGGGTACTTCTCTCGATAAGGCTATTCTAAGATCATACACAGCATTCGGTATATAAATATCGTACGCTGCTATCCGATCCTTCCGGATGGTTGTAGTTTTACCGTTTGATAATGTGGTCCTGAATCCTTTAAAGAGGCACACGCTGTCCTTTTCTATGGTACCGGTTTCATTTTTGAACAGATCCTTTATTTTGGTAAAATAGTTCAGCGCAACACCCGTCTTGAACCTTGTATCATGTGAAGGCTCCAGTATCACCGGATGAAAAGTGTTGAGCCTTAGCCGTTCCGACGTAAAAACTTCCGTTATACTACCAAGCCGGGCCTCAATCTCCAAGTTGTCTTTGTTCTGAATATTTAATTTGTTTATGAGCATATTTTTAAGCTCAAATGTGAACGCCTTGTTCAGCTCAGGGGGAAGGGGCATGGGCCTGTGTATTTTATTTTTTTATTCCCACGTAAAATTTGTGGTGTTGCCACAGTGCTTGCTCAAGTTTAATTCCAAAATACCGCCTTTATTACGCGGATCTATCATTTATCATGCCAACCCCTTTTTATTCGTTTGATAACTTCTCCATCTACCAGATCCACACATCGATAACCGGTAATAAAATTGCTATACATTGAATACAAGCACATCGTATCACCTCTCATTTACTTGTATACCTATGATAGTGGGATTCAAGAGCAGAAACAAGCCCTGGTTCATGCACCAGTGTGAATATATACCGTAATAAAACACGCATTCTTCCAAATAAGACAATTATATATCCGAGTTGCTCATCCAACTGTTTGCCTGGCAATATGAAATCGCTAAAACCGACACTCACCATCTGCACGTGTATCTTTTCCAAGTATGCAAAGCAACATTTATCACCCGAAAAAAGCTCACCAACAGCGGAAATACAACAGGAATTTGTCAGTGAAGTGATACATTACCAATTTCTTCCCACAAAATTCGTGGAGAACGTGCCACACGGGGTCAATCGATCATTCAACTCATCAGCAGTTGCTTTTCTTGGTCTTCTCGGTCTCTCGTAGTGTTTTAATTTCTAAAACACATTTTCTGATCTCTTCTTTGATATTTCTTCGTAATTTGTTAATACGTCGTACAATCTGATCGAGCTGCTCGTTTTGCATTAAGGGGGCATTGGTACGAAAATATGGCGGTAAAGATTACATGTCGTTTCAAACTTGTCTTGCTTGGATATCTGAAATAACAAGTTTACGTTGTATCTGAGGAGCAGATAAGCATTGTGTGATATCACAAGTCATGAAACCGGCGGCGTGGTTAAATCAAATTTTTTATGTTCCTCGTCACTGCTGATTCGAGTATTTTGGTAAAAATTCTTGAACAAGAAAATTGCAGCGCAACTTTTACGGTGTAACACTTGAGTTATGTTCTTTTCTTAGTGGAAATATATTTAATTACGTTTTTAGCAATCTTTGTTGGTGGTGCCATCAAAAGTGACATATTACCCTTGTACGACTGTTTTGTCTTCGTATCCAGGCAATTTGTACCAGAAGAAGCATAAAATTCATGTGGTAAAATTTGCCTTGGTGTGGAAATGAGCAAACATGTTTTTAATGAAGAATAACGAATTGGTTGTTCCGAATGTTGATCGGAATACGGAAAGAAGGGTGTAAACAGCTAACATCGTTGTAAATCAGAATAAATAAGGGAGACAAACACAAATACGGATTATTATTCATTATAGAAGGTGGTTACATGCCTTGTACCGCAGTATGAAGTACTTTTGTTTCACCCGTGAACGTATAATACCGAATAGATCGTTTTTTTTCACAGAAAAAACAGAAGGAAGATACATGAGCGTGTACATCATGTCTAAAAGTGCTCGAAGAAACCCTTCGCGCCGATGAAATAGAAAGGTTCATCAGGCTTATACTACTATATAAGGTTCATTAGAAAATGCTTAATGACATAAATGGCTGAAGTGAATCTGAAGGTGGCACACTGAGCGAATAAAGGTAATGAAATGGAGAAAGGCCTTGTACCAAGAATATCGGTATAATGAGGAAGAAAGCATATACATAAGATGTGCATTACACGACAGGAGGAGAAACAGGTTAATACTGTGTTCTAACCGAATATGGGAAGCGTAATTATAATGCGGTGAATTAATTCAGAACTGTACATTAAACATACTGTCATAAAATATTGAGATTGATAATGAAGTGTTTATACAGCAGTGAGGCTGTGCTAGTGCTACACAAATTGTATACAATGAGTGTAGACCTACTCAGAGAGTGGGAATAAAAAATTTGTGATCGAACAGTATTAAAAGTGTAGAAGGGAAAATCAAGAGGATCAAATATAAACAAAGTGGGTTGATGATGAAAGATCGTTTGATGCACTGGATGTGTAAAGCTTCCATGTTTAGTGAAAATAAATTATAGAAAAGTTAGAAAAAATACATCCTAATTTGGGACAGTAATACCATGGTGGACATCTTAGGCGGACATTATTTGTCGCTAAAATTATTGCAGATCGCTAACTAATTACAGCAAACATCTTTTCATCTCAAATACGCTAAATCATCTGTGGTACCTCTTTTAATTAATATTAAAAAACTAATGCGCATACCAACTCGTCCTGTTCCCAAAAGGAACATATATTGATATCTTATCGCATTGCTGTTCTGTTTCATAAATATCATTGCTCTGTGGTTGTGCGCTTTCTTTTAAAAATTATTTTTGTGCTTCTAGATAAAATCGGCAGTCAAGCCATTTTAATGACATATTCCAAAATATTGGTGCATGTGCTGAGAGTAAACTGTTTGTTGGCGTAAGTGGCAATCATTGGCCTGCGTTTCACATGTTCCCATCAAAATTTGATAAAAAGTATTCACCCCAAATGAACCGCAATCCCGAGCTGTTTGAATCGGCAGTTCCCGAATGTACTGAGCATTTAGACCCGAGCAAGCCGACCAAAGAAATGATATTTGAACTGATAAGACATATACGAGACCCTGAGCACTCGTATTCCCTAGAAGTATTGAACATAGTAAATTTGGACAGCATCGAAATAAAGGAAATACCAACCACGTATGGAAAAAATTTGCAGCAGATTGCTGTGTTCTTCCAGCCAACAATTCCCCATTGCTCGATGGCTGCTATCATAGGCCTCTGCATTTTCTACGTTCTGAAGGCACGGCTTGAGACCTTCTGGGTACGGGTGCAAATTGTTGAAGATGCGCATGTGAACTGGAAAATGATAAATAAGCAGTTAGATGATAAGGATAGAACGAATGCAGCGTTCGAAAATGTATCCATTTTAAATGTGATAAACGATTGTGTGGGGTGGAGCAACGCATAGAGGGCCATTCAACGAGAAATGTAAAAACGCGCATTCTTCGTGAATTCTTGATTTAGGTAAAACAGACAGGTTGATTGCTGATCGATAATGAAGAATTATACGTGTTCATGAATGACAACTGCTGCTGCATTCTACCAGGTCGATTGCCGCATAGATACAGGATCAAAATCATGCCGAGTATGTGAGATTGTTTGGTTGTTGGTACATTAATTAAATCGATGTGCTTGTTTTGCCTGCGTATTTTTTCTGTTAGGGTGTGGGTTTCATACTCGGATACATATGCTCAATCAACCTGTTCATCTTCGAGGCCGGCAAACAAAAAGTCATAGAAAATGATTTGTCCAGAAAAGGCAAATTGATAAAAATTTTCGTACATACCATCCCAGATACTGCACATGCTAGAGTATACATGCATTATCTCGCAGATATAAGCATGACTGTGTGCTGACATTCTCACGTTATTTTACTTTTTCATGGAGTGCGCTGGTATAACACGAGCTTGAATGGTTAAGACAGTAAGAACAGATCAATCAGCGAATTAGCAGCGGAAAGGTGCTAACATTAGAATTAATATAAAATAGCCTCGTGATCAACGTGTTGACACCAAACAATATTTAAATTATTTTTGAAACCATGATATACCCTTAAATGAAAAAAGATCAGAATAACGAACCAAGCGGATCGGATAGTGAAATAAGCCCGCTTATAAATTTTTTTAACACTAGGAAAGGTAACAAAGGTTCGTTGCACAGGGGAAAATCCAAGGATAAAAGCGTTCTTGACTCTGAACTTGACTTGGGATACGCCTACTCCTTTAGGACATCCCCTAAATATATTAGAGGCACGCTCAGGGAGTACCAAATAGAAGGAGTGAACTGGCTAATCAGCATGCACGAGAAGAATATTAACTGCATTCTTGCAGACGAAATGGGGCTGGGAAAGACGCTGCAGACTATCACATTCCTGGGCTACTTGAAGAATTTTCTGAAGAACAAGGCGCCCCATCTGCTGATAGTGCCCAAGTCGCTCTTGCACAACTGGAAGGCTGAATTTACAAAATTTTTACCGTCATTCAGGCTGTTTATCTTTCATGCCAGCCAAGCTGAAATCAAAGATACGGAGGAAAACATGGAGAATACGAACTATGACGTTGTGATAACGACGTACGAAATGTGCATCTCTGCAAAGAAGGTGTTTCAGAGGATACAGTGGTGCTATCTGGTTATTGACGAGGCACACAGAATTAAAAACGAGGCCAGTCTGCTCTCAAAAATCGTGAGGATTTTTCGATGCGAGCACCGCCTGCTGCTTACTGGCACGCCTCTCCAGAATAATGTGCATGAGCTTTGGGCATTACTCAACTTTCTTGACCCGAAGCTGTTCAAGGACCCAGAACAGTTTGAGAAGTGGATTACACAAATGGAAAACGATAAAAAAGGAGGAATAGATCAGCTGAGAAAAGTATTGCAGTTGTTTTTTCTGCGCAGAGAGAAACGTGACGTGGAGAAGACCTTGCTGCCAAAAAAGGTTATCAATTTGTATCCACAGCTCACTACGATGCAACGGAATTTGTACAAGATGATCCTCGAGAAGGATCTAACACCTCTATTGAACAAGAGGGAGGTTAAAAGCAGCCTGTTGAATGTGGTCATACAGCTTAGGAAATGTTGCAATCATCCGTATCTGTTTGATGGGATGGAACCAGGCCCACCATACACGACAGATGAGCATCTGGTGTATAACTCAGGCAAAATGATGTATCTTGATAAGCTTTTAACGGAGATGAAGCGCAGGAACAGTCGTGTTCTTATATTTACGCAGATGACTCGTACGTTAGACATCCTCGAGGATTACTGCACAATGAGGGAGTACGAGTACAGAAGAATTGATGGGAGCACATCGGCTGCCGAGCGTGGTGAGGCGATAGACGAGTTCAATGCGGAAAACAGCGAAATCTTCATTTTTCTGCTTTCGACTCGTGCTGGTGGCCTGGGGATCAACCTGGCAACGGCCGATATTGTGATAATGTATGACTCTGATTGGAATCCGCAGATTGATCTGCAGGCACAGGACAGAGCGCATCGAATAGGGCAGACAAAGCAGGTGTTTGTGTTTAAATTCATTACAGAGAGCACCATAGAGGAGAAAATAATTTATAGAGCACTCAAAAAGCTGAAACTGGACGAAATTCTTGTGAAGAACAACCTGAACACATCGTCCAACATTAATGAGAAGGAGCTGATTGAGATACTGGCAGAGGGCGTCGAGAACATCTTTGAGAAAGAAGAGAAGACTGAAGAGCTTAACATCGAGGAAATCATAAAAGTTGGCGAAGAAAAAACAAAAATTCTGAATTCGCAGCTTGAAAGTGTCACGCTGAGTGAGACACAAGACCACAACATTGAAATATATGAATGGGAGGGTGAGGACTACAAGAACAAAGCTAAGATAGAAAAATACCTGCTGAGCAACAAGAGGCGGAATCATTCGCTGTTTCATCGGCCAAAGCAGTTGATTTTGCCCGAGTACCACTTTTATCCGAAGGAACTGTTTGAAATTATAAGAAAGGAAAATGAGTTATACGATCAGGGAGAACAGCTGAGCGAAGATGATGCCAAGAGAAAGGAGGAGCTTATCGAGATGGGGTATAGGAACTGGACAAAAAGGGACTTCCTGGCCTTTATAAGAGTTACGGAGGTGTACGGACGAGATAATTTTGAAGAGTTTAATAAACACATTGATAAGAGCGAGGAGGAGATCAGGAGTTATCATCATGTGTTTTGGAACAGAATAGATGAGCTTGATGAAAAAGACAAAATACTGGCACATATAGCGAAAGGTGAGCAGAAACAGAAGAAGGAAATGATCATAAAAATGGTTCTAAAAAGAATATTTGAGGATAACGAGCCGCTGCGTCTCAAAAACATCGTAAATGTTAGATCCAGAAATTTCACGGAGCCGATAGATATGGCAATCCTCAAGGGTTATTACAACAGAAACGACTCTGAATATTTGCAGAAACTGCTCATAGAATTGAAGAAAAAACACATTTTCAATTTTTTTGTTAGAACATTGACCGTACATGACATCCAAAAAAGGCTGAAAGCGCTTAAATCCGCTCTTTGTAAGAGTTGTAATAAAGAATTATGACGAGAAAACGTCATAGTCATAAAATAAATAGCAAATTGACAATATCTGAGGTGCATACTTCTTAGCGCAGACATGTTCTTGTGTTTACCTCAGAATGAATGACTTTTTTGTTCTTAGTGTGGTACCTATTAGTTCTACGGGACTATCTCTTATCGTGACCGTAAAAGTCTTTTTTAGAGTGTTCTACGTCATTTCTAAAGCTAATATGTATGGCAGCCAGGAATGGCGAAGCATTTCGTGCGCCGTCTTGCAATAGCGGATGTCATGTAGTGCCATACGTACATCATCACGTGTTATCGGTGAATTGGCGTTTTTGTTCTTTGAACATGTCTTCCGCCAATATACCCCGATATTCTTGTAGGTTTCTCTGCTAAAGCATTTAAATTATAGTTCGAACGGAAAAGCTACTTTCATTGCTCACTCGTCCACCGTTTTACATTTGAAAGGAACAGGTATCCATTCATCATCCTACTTATACAGATTTTACTACATGGTACAGAAAGATTTAGACAGTTAAATTTTCGTTAACCTTTTATTCAAACACAGGATCGATAATAAACAATAACATAATATTCCAATTTAAGAAAACAAGCTGTTCATGTTCCCTCAATTCTTAATCTGTAGAATTGTTCCATTTTATATTAATTTAGTCGCATATTCATTGGTTAAGGATAATTCGATGAGTTGCTCAAATCGTATTTATTACAAAAAAACGTCTTCAATAAACTGACGGTTTTCAATTTGACATTTGTAAAAGGATAATAACATTAAATGGATGTTGTATCTTGAGTTCCATCACACACTGTCAAATGCACATTAGAACTAAAAAAGCCATGCAAAAAATGGTTAAACAAGATTTTGTAACAAAAATAACCCTTCAAACCTGCTGGAACTGTTGCATCTCATTTATTTAAATGTAAAGCTGATCAGTCACACAGGCAGTCTCATAGATAAAATACGTAATTAACCTGCTTTTATCCAATTTTGTTCAAACGATAGCTAGTTCCTAAAATTTGCTACCTGAACGTATGTTGATCGGTCAGTTAAAAAGTACAAAGACATGAACGAATCATTAAATGTAGAGAATCACATGATATGTTACAATATTTCTTATCCTGTGACATAAAGTGCAATCAGCCAATTTAATCTCGTCTCTTAAACATAAAGATGTGAGTATATGCACCGTATTACTTTAAATTGTTTGATAAATGTTATACGATGTAGTAATCATAAGGCAAAGTAATATAAAACCAATTCTAGTACTGTTTTAGTCAACATAAATCTACCTATTAATTCTATTCAAAAGCATGTTTCAATACTAATTTTAATACCAAAGCCAGTGTAAGAGTGAACCTCGTACTTTTTCAGCGCCAACAACAAGTTCATCGAATCAACGGTGTAATCAGCACCAAACCTATCTTCAAGAAATATAATTATTAGAATTCCGAACCCCAATCACAGTGACAAGTAAAACCGTTTAAATTCTCTTTCCCGCATGTCAATCTTATAGTGTAGCCTTCTTAAGTAGCAAAAACATTTTCCCGTAACCATGATAATAAAAGTCTATTTTGCTTAGGTACCTCGCACCAGTTTCGATAGATATGTATATAAATAGTCATGCTGCCGTTATATCGTGCACCTTGTTGATCATCACAACCATTACATTATTCGGTTCTTGTTGCAGCACTGCATGTGAATGCAAATTAAAAGGGTTGTATGCTCCAATTTTTAACATTTACTGATATTTAAGATCAAACTTTGTTAATGTTGCTAAGCAACGACAAATGAACGCTTGTAATTTATTTTTGATAGTACTCTCAGGTTGTGAGACAGCATCATTATAAATATTTTGGTGCCTACAGAGAGTAGAATACCATCGCATTTTAATATTATGAAATATTCTCTGCAATAGCAATATTCATTAGAAATGATGCTTTAGGATTGTGATTAACATGGATTTGCGGTTAAATGAAGAAGAATTAGATGAGCAGAAAAAAGTGGTATTAAATCGCTTGATACATAACAAAACGATTGAAACAACAAATGTAAGCGCAATAAGTCTTATCTAGCTTCATATATTCTAGAAGTACCGTAAAAAGCATTATAAATGTGTGTTATGTAGAATATTTGGCAATTATCTGCGTAAAACTGTGGTTTAAGCCGTTGAATACTTTAAAGGGTGCAAATTCGTTCATAATGTCTTTTGATTGATCCTGAGAGCGTGCATGGTATAACAAAGTTAGACGGAATTGGTACAAAGGGGTATGTTGGACATGCATTTGTATCTCATGCGGTAAACATTTTATCAAAGAACAATCTTTGTGATGAAATTCTACTGTGTTACACACCATATATTGGCATGAACATGCACGATAATAAAGCTTGTAGCAGATTTGTGTGCAAATACGTTCAAATCCTTGCCATAGGTTCGGTGCTTGGTTAATTGCCAACATTTAGTTAAGGCTTATGATTGGAAATACAACGTGCAAATGGCAATATCCTATTCAAACTACGTGCGACATGCCATTTCATACAAAAATATGCAATCAAATACCCACAGCCTTCGGAACAGAAAGCGCTAGTTATCATGGACCTAGAGAAGTAATAACATAAATCGGCATGGTCTTGTATGTAAATAGCTCATCTGCCGTATGATCAGTTGTATGCAAGAAGAATAATTGGAATTGATAATGAATAGTGTTGTGGCAGGTTGGTACCATTTATACAGCGTAAAATGATAAAACTATTCGTAGATGATGTGAACGAATTATTATGGAAGAAACACACCAATAACATTGCATCTATTAGTATTGAATCGAATAGATTTACGCACCTTTAAGTATCTGATATTTAGAAGAATGTCTGGTGACACAAAAGTAACAAGACTATCACAACCGAAGTGCCAATGCTCTTGTTGTTTTCAATCAAAAACTCCTGCTTTGCGAAATGTTACGACCAAAAAGGAATTTATTTGCAAAATTTTTTAAGAGCACTTAATGATTTGAAAAAATGGAGTTGGACTTGAGAATTGACCATTTGATCATGGCACTTAGAATTGTTACCACGTTGGTTGTTTAAATGCATGGTGCTTATTTATTGCTTTTTGGCAAATCTTGACGCTATTTTATAGCTTATTTGGTGATGGTGTCGAGTGTACATCTAACAACTGTAGCATTCCTCAATTCCACAGCTCTTATCGCCTATAGTAACAGCGGCAGCAAGAAATTATCGTATTTTGAATACCCGATCGAAGTACACGCACCTATCCATACGTTAAAATATTTTAATCGCACGTCAAAATGAAGCGAAATGTCAAAAAAAGAAAAAATTGCAAAAAGTGCTACTTTAAAATAAATGAAACCGATAAAAATGCATCCCTGCCTCCGTACTCCACAAAAATATACCGTTCTGAAAAATTCTTATAAAGGAGTATAAATTGAAAAATTTTTGTTCACCCCGCATGGATTGCCGGCTTTTTAGTTTGTTCATGATATCATTTTTCCTATACGCGTCAATCTACGCCGTCCATAACTTTATGTTCCAAATAGTAAAGGAGACCGGAGTCGTCGACAAGAAGAAGTACTGCCTACTCCAGCTGCTTTACATATTTAAATTTGCTGGTGTCGTTATTTTTTGCAATCTCGGCGATAGAAAGGGAATTCACAGGTACATATTGGCTGTCAACGTTATTTTGTATTCTTTCTCCATGCTTGCTTTGTACAACCTGAGCTCAATTGAAAGTTTGGGTTTGAGAAAGATTATGGTTATAGTGACGATCGTGTCGAGCTATATCTTCATCAGCGGCACATTTCCGCTTTTAGACTCACTGATATACAATTATTTGGAGCATAAAGGAATGGACGTGAGGCAATCCGGCCGAGTTCGTATGGGAGGAGCATTAGGGAACATGTTTGTCCAAGTCGTGTGCTCGATGCTGCAGAAGTTCTTCAAGAATAAACTAAAAGGTGAAGGGATGGTGAATCGCGAGAATATGGTCAATATCGGCTGTAATTTATTTTTTAGTGCTGGAACAGCACTCATTGCTTTGCTGTTTGCACCAAATTACGTTCTCGGTGAAAAAATTGTCAGCAAACCAAAGAAGTCGTGGAACGTAAAGAAAATGTTCAGTGACTTGATGTCACTGTTCACTCCGCTCTTCGTGCTTTACACAGTGGCAGTGTTGGGCCAGGGAGTAGACAGAGCTGGTATATCGACTTTCCTGTCCAAATACCTGGATACCAATGGAATTGACAGGTCCTTTGTACATCTCTTGTTTTTCTTTAGATGCATTCCAGAGATACTTATTTACGGGCTATCACAGCAAATAGAGAGTGTCCTTGGCATGAATGTGATGTTTCTATGTTCAGTCATCGTATCTACGTTTCGATCGTTCTTCTACGCATCGTATGACTTTGGTGGTTCCAAAAGGACAGTGATGACGATCACCGTTATAGCAGAGATTTTCAAAGGTTTGTATTCATCATTCTTCAACTATTGTGGATTAAGGATATTTAGGTCATTTGCTGCAGACGACACGCTCTCCTTGGCACAGGGTGTTTTCAATGGCACATATAACGCTCTTTCGTATTTTACTTTTGCATTTCTGGGTTATTTCCTAGTTGATTATGAAAAGGCCGGTTTGCAGGACGGTGACGATGATATTCGAAGCCTATTCTTTGTTGTTGCCTGCATATCATGCATCTCAATCATTGCTCCGATCGTAGCTATCGCAAAACGCCGCGTAAACCGAAAGAAGGTCTATAAAAGCAGTGAAGTACAATCCGAATCCACAGAAGTCCAGTAATTGCGTCATACTAAGGGATTTTTATGATTAAAAATCTTACGTGATTTTCTTAACTTTCAACGGTCCACGGTTTCTATGTTATACCTGTTTTGAGCAACTTTTTGATCGTGTTTATGTGGCGTTTTGAGCGTTAATGGCTTTTTACCGTATGACATCGGCACTGTAATATGAATATTTGAAAGAATACTGCGATAAATCAGCTGTTGTTTGTAGGCATCCGCGGTGTTGCACTTATTTATTGTTGGCGTAAGCTGTGATGGTGTGCACTGTTTGAGTATCATGGTCTGTTTATTCCTGGCTTACTGCAAGTTGAGAAGCTAGTTTTGGCGTGTTAGCGTCATTGCAGTAACATGACACGTGTTTTTTTGTTATTTATGAATACCTAGGTTTTTGTAAGCTAAGCTCTATTGTATCAACTGTCGTTCAATAGATGGAAAAATGTTTAAATATGTTCTTACAGAGATGTGGATGGTATATAAATTGGTTATTGCGCAAATAGACATGTCTTGTTGTGCAGGGTGAGTTTACCGTTTATAAACTGTAGTAGAATGAGATCACCGGATGGGTAGTCTCCCAATAGAGCAAACGTCGATTTGTATGGAACTGCGATCGGTTGTTGTTATTGTCGTGGTGGAAGATATTTCAGGTATTGCTGAAGCGTGAGAAATGTCCCATAGGTGCTGCCAAGTTTTGTAGGCAGTGTCGGTTGATGAGATGCTTCCGTCCAACGCATTTTGTTGTTATGAATTGCTGATTATGAGGGTAATTCTAGGAATTAAACACTTGATGAAATTCATGGCATATAAAGTTTTTTTACCAGTTCCGCTATTTTTGTTAATAATATAGAACAAAAACGTGGTTATTAGTTCAACAACACTGATTCTTTTTCTTGATTACCGTTCGGAACTACTTTTTGCTACTCCCTAATTCCGAAAAGATTGCTACCAAATGCGGAATATCCGTTCTTTGAGAATTACGAGAGTGAAACTGCATGAAATTTTCTCTGGAGATGTTAACGATAGGCCGAACATTGAGCACGCTTCTTTGGCTGGATTTTAGGCTATCAAGAGTTCTATTTATCCTTGAATCCCGTGAAAAGATTTGCTGGGAGACGAGTTACAGCTTGCATATTAGGATCATTGCTGTGGCAGCTAGCATACCTTTCTGTTGTGATGAGGAAGCGCGAAGGTTCTGTGCGAACTAGTGCGCTGATTTCCCCTATAAACAAAAGGCCAGTGACCACGCTCGACCTCAGTAGACCAGAAAAATGTGTTTGTTTGGATATTGCCGACGTGTAAAGGAATAAATATGCTTTAAATGATAAAATGTCATTGGTTAAAAACATAAAATATGCTTCTGGATGAGAGACTAGTGAATTTACAGTAGAATTCGTAAGACCGAATAATGCTATCATATTTACACATATTGAATAAATTTTAGAAGTTAGAACTGATATCATTAATAATCAAAGTAATAAAAAAATTTTTTTCTTTTAGTATTCGGAAGTTTTTGGCAAATTTAATGCAATTTAACTATATAAGCTTCTTCTTCGACCAGAAGCTGCAAAGAGCATTATAGGAACCAACATTCTGAGTGTTTTTTGACATAAGGTGCGTCATATAAACGACTTTCTATTCCATAAAAAATGAATTAGAATCAGAAACAGTTAACATTTAATTACAACTATAGATACTTTTTAAACCGCAAATCATTTCTACTTTGTTAAAACATCACGTCTATAACTAAAGAAAGCGATAAGACAGTGTCTTTCTATGATTTTATCTACACAGTACATATTTAATAATGTGACACGCTTATCAGATAATTAGTACTTTTCAAGCTTATTATTTAGTTACTTATTCCATCCATTTTTATTTTTCATGCTACCAGAGTCTATTCGATCAACAATTCTTACCACGGTTTATATCTTATTCTTTAGTCCGGATTATCTCGGCAAGATAACTGAGAAAACCGAGTACTTAGTTGTTCACGATAAAGAAAAGCTTTTTGTAACATTTGAAGAATTGTCTATTCATGATAATTGGGAGAATAAGGATTCCATGGCATGCAGGTGTTATAGCGTTCCCGGAAATGAATTGATTGCCAGATCCTCAAGTGCTCATAACTCAATCGCGAGTGATGAAGATAGCATTTTGCTCAAGATAACCGGCGAGTCTTCAAAAGCTGAAAGTAGCTCTCCGGTCGAATACAAAATCATTATACTGCCAATCAAAAAGCTGTTGTATGAGAAGTTATCAAATTCATCATGGAAGTCAGATACAGAATTTACAGCCGACGAAATACATGATATTATCGCCATACTACCACGTTGTATTGAGAAAAGAAGTCTTATTGCGTTCCTAATATTTAAAAACCTCATTAATGATACCAACCTGTATCAGCAACTGGAAAAAGTTTTTGCCGAAGAGCAAAGTCAACGAGAAAAACCATCTCTGTACAACCAATTGACTTGGTACGATGATATCCTCGCATTACTTCATGAGAGCTGCTATTTTGTTCTTGAGGACTGGACTGGCGGCTTAATGGTAACTGCATCCGAACATGAAAAGAAGTATAAATTTCCTATCTACATTGGGTCTATTAATGACCATTCTTTGTGGACTTTAGCTGATTATTTAGCAGTTGATTATCAATTTTTACGGGAACTATCCCTAAATAAGTTATTAGCTCCTAAAAAAATGAACGTATTGACATGGGACATTGATTTTACAGGCTATTTCAACAGAGATAGGAATTTTAAGCGGAATAATGATCAAGACACAGAAGCTATTAGAGATGACTTTGTGAAATATTTCTATAAATTGTTCAATGATTTGTTTGAATTATTAGAGAATGTGGAGGTAATGATATTACGTATATCATCGTTTCAGTATAATTCTGACTTTAGCTTTATGCCCAAAAAAAAGATTCACCTACACTGTAGTGATTGTCATTTTGATGTTTCAGCATGTTTGCCCAAAAACCTTGTAGTCTTGCACATAAGTCATTCAAAAATAAGCGGGAGGTTAGAACTGCCCGAAGGACTATGCTCGGTTGTGGTAGAGCATACGGATATAATTTCTGAGGGTGTTTTGGTTATCAACGACAAATGTGAACAAATATTAATCCGTGAAACAAAAGGTAACATACTCTTCTCATGTGCATATAATTTTCATAGGATTGAGTTTCCGAATCATCTTATAAAAGTCGATTTTGGCAGAAATTCAGATGACACAGTGGAGTCATTAAGTATTGTTGATGCAAGGATTGTTGGGAATACAGAGCTCGGTTGCAACACCAAAACACTTTTTCTGGAAAATGTAAAGGTTTCTAACAATGCAGTGGTTAAAATACACCGCTCATGCAATAACATCATACTGAATAATTGTATGGGGTGCTTTGATCTAGCAGATGTTGTAGTGTGGGGGAGATTACAACTTGCCAACCGTAAAAATACATTTAAATTGGTCAGATCAGTGGAGAAGAATATACACGAGTTGTCAATGATAAACATTAACTATGCTAAAGCAGCATTTTTATACGGTGAAGGGACAAACATGGCTTGTCTAGCAAGTATGAGTTCATACACAGATTTGTATCTAAAAATGAACATGAAAACAGACCGCATTACATCTCATAACCTTAAGTTTTACTTGGATATACCACTCCTCATGCACGGAAAGATAATATCAAGAATAGACCAAACTGAAAACTGCGAGTTCTACCAGTGTGATGATAACGGAAAAATTCAAATAATTCTAAAAAATGCCCGGATCAATGAAAAAATGTCATTGGCTGGCTGTAGTTTTCAAGAAATAGCACTAGTTAATGTTCAAGTCGCTCAAAATCAAATATTTGAGATCAATGCAGCGTATGAAAACTTGTCTTTGAAAAATTGCACCGGGCGCTTTATAATTCTGGGGATTGCAACTAATAAAGAAGAATACATCGATTTACAGAACGAAGAAAGTCATATATGGTTTTACAAGGTGGGGAGAAACGCATATAATTGTGAGTTATCCGGTCTCTCGATAAATTACGGATTCAAGATTATTCATAAGTTACAAATAGCAAGATTATCAAACATAAAGATGAGTGATGGCGCAATTTTTGATTTTGCAAACGGATGCGCAAATTTACATCTATTCAATTGCAAAGAATTTGGCTGTACATCTTTAGATAGTCCGAAGAAAATTATCATGAACACTTCCATGATTGGCGTACCGAAATACAAGAATCCGCCACACGAGGTTGAAATTTCATCATTTATATACGACGAAAAAATAGAAAAGTTGTTGATATCAGTGAAAAAGATACGTATTTACAGTCCTGAGTTGAATATGGACCTACCAATGGTGATAAACCATGAATGCGAACAAATCATCGCCAAAAATATCAAAGGTTGTTTGAAAATACCACTCATTATGAAATCATTGAATGATGCGTCAGTCATTACTTTACTTAATGGTACCTGCATATTTGACAGAATTTCACTTGGCATGTTTTTTAGTCTATTTTTAGAGAATGCAAGCATTGACCAGACGGTGGAAATATCAGCAAACATACACAGTCTAAGTTTAAAATCAGTCACTATAAAAGAGAACGCAGCATTAAGAGTTAATGCTAGTTGCGAAGTCATATCAATTTATAAATGTTCAGGCGACATTGATTTCAGGAAATGTGATCATCTAAGGTCGCTCACGTTGAAAGAAGGCCTGTTCATCTACTACGAAGCTGTGTACGCAAATATAACTTTCTTGCATTTAGAAAATGTTAAAATATGCACTTCGGTGTATTTGAATGAGAATATACGGTCTGTTAAACTGGTTAACGTGGAAGTCAAAAAATTTAAGGTTTTCAAAATACGTAAGAATTGCAGTACTGTATATATCCGTTGCTGTAAGGGAAATATTATCACACCAAAAATGGCCAATATCAATGGCGGAGAACTCGAAACGGCCCCGAAAATAATTATCATGGAAAACAGATCGGAAAATTA